AAAGTATAGGGATTGTTATCAAATAGTGATCCGAGGAGGGGTAGGAGGGGAATAACAAAGGGTATTAGTGGTTTTTGTAAATTCAAAAGGGGTATTAGTGGCGTTATATTTATGGCCAGGTGAGTCACATTGATTTTTATTATTACTAAAATCAGAAATGCCATTTTAATCTTTCTTTTTTGGAGGAATTATTGTATTGTCAATTTATTAACAGAAATCTGAGGTTATCGACTGATGCGAATTCTTTACTTCTAGATAGTATCGATATAGTCGGTATTAGTTTTGAAAGAGAGATTTGGAGAGATTTAATAACTATCCCTAGTTGTAACTGTGAGTATTGACTTGTAAATAATATGACCAAAAGGGTATAAATAGGATTCTGATTGTGTACTTAGAATCTATAAATGAAGAGCTATGTAGGGTGCTAAAAGGAAGATTATATATACAGGTTTTGGGAGCCTTAATAACTAGACCCAAAGGAGTGAAAGAAGAACTAGAGATAAGCATTGTATAATGTCTAGGTCTAGAGCTATAAAGCTAGAGCTCTAAGCTAAGAAAGGAAGGTCTAAAAGAACCGTCTTATTATACTATGTAAGGTGTATGAGCTAGTGGGCGGAAGAGAGCCGTCTGTTCCGTCACACAAATTGTAAAATTATTTAGTTTAATTTCATTATATTATAGACTTATAGAAATCTTATATATATAATATTAAAATATTACTATTCTGGATATCAATTAATCAAATGTTATTATATACTAATTATAGTACTGGTTATTATAATATAAAAGTAAAATGATCTCGAATTTTGTTATAACGGAATATACGGCTCTCTTCTGTCCACTAGCTCATACACCTTACGTAGTATGATAAGACGATCCTTTTATATGTTCCTTTCTTCAAGTTAGCTTAGAGCTCCCAAAACCTATATATATAGTCCTCCTTTTAGCACCCTATATAATAATAGCTTTTCACTTATAGATTCTAAGTACACAATCAGAGTCCTGTTTATACCCTTTTAGTCACATTTGTAGTATTAGAGTAATTTTCTGTATATTCAATAAAATTTCAAATGATTATTGAGATAATAAGAATCCTGAAAAGTAGCATGTTTATCCTAATGATATGTAGAAGATGTTGAAGAAACATGAAATCGGAGTGGTAACGACATTCATTGATATTCAAGTTCGGAAAAGAGTATTTCATTCAATTATTTCTAACTGTCAATTAAACCCGGAAAGACAATAACTCAAGCAATCTCCTTCCCCTTGCCTTTTCCTTTCCCCCTATGTGCATTCAAACTCAATTGTACTATCTCCTCCCCAATTAGTTGTCGTTGATCTCTGCTCCACTCACTTGTCCACATCTCCACATCCTCGTCCTTAAAGAAATATCGCATCATATTATGAATGGCAACGACCCCACAATCGCTAACATTCCCTTGTGTCATAGATGGTTCATTCTTTATCTTGAAAGTAAATGAACCACCATCGACCATGAGTATATCTTGAAGGTACTTTTGGTATGGCATTATAGATGATTTCCCCCCCAAACTATCCCAGATTCTAATAACAACGGGGATCTGGCCTTTCTCATTGGGGTCCTATTGAATTTCTGCAACTTGCATTGTCCAGTGAGATGCATGACCGACGATTGTCAAAATCCTAGGCTGCGCAACGGGTACCCGCGGGGCGGATTATTGGCCTGGCGGGTCCCCCGCGGGTCCTCCGTTTGCGGGGCGGATAAAAGAAAAATCTGAATAGGGACCCATTGGGTATCCGCTGCAAATACTCCGCAGATACTCCGCAGATATAAATTTTATAATATTTATAATATTAGTTTTTATATTAATATTATAAAAATTAATAAATTTGCAGAGTATTTGCGGGGCGGATAATTTTGAAAGCTCAACGGGTCCCCCGCGGGGCGGAGTATCTGCGGGTCCCCACGGGTAGCGGAGTATTTCTGCGCAGCCTAAAAAATCCTGTATTGTTGTGTTAGTTGCTATTAGTTTGTGTTGATTGGTAAATATAAACCACTTACTTTGTATAACCCCCTATTCTTGCCCTCTCACGTGAAAGATACTTTTGCCTTATTTCATTAGAGAAACTGCTCCAATGCTGAAGAGCAGTTGAAGGAATAACACAAACGTCCGCCTGCTTCATCTTTCCATAACTATGCAAAGCCAAATCAATAACGTTGCCCGTTAATTTTTTGTTGACTGACAAGCATTGTAGATCTTGCCGAGAGATTTTGAGGTTCTGTGTAATTACTGTAGTAACCTGTGGCAGCTCATCCATCAGTCGTTGAATGAATTCTTCTGAGGCTGGCAGTTTTCTTTTACCATCCACCACACCATTGGGAGGATCTGACAATTCAGAATTATTGATCGCATCAATGATCGCATCCATATCCAAGGGCTCGGAAAGAAAGGGTTGTAAGTGATCCGCGTGTAACCCAGATAAGGCCACCATATTCTTTTTCGACTTGTGGTCCTTCATCTTGATTAATTCGATAAGAACATCTAATCTTGCCTTATGCCATTTCCGAAAACCAGTACGATCATGGCCAACCTGATAGAAGCGTTGCATAAGCATAGGCAATAATATTATCATTCCCAGTCCAAAGGCTTCGATGAACTTTGCATATTTAACACCCAGGCTCTTTCTCTGTCTGAACTTATTGATAGATGCATCCTGTAAGATCATTAGTAAAAGTACTATATCAATATCGAATGATGAAACAACCTACAATACGATCACTGTTCGCTTCCAATGCATTCATATCTCCACCATTTCTCATATACTCGGCTTGAGCCATCCTCTCATAAAACATGCTCTTTGCTATCGTTTCAGGATTTCCTCTTCCACGCTTAATTGTTGTATCCAGTCGATTCGTGATGGCAGCACCCTCGATCAATCCGTGTATGCAATAATCTGCATACACAATCTCAATCTCCGCCCATGTCTTTTCACTTTCTGCCCGATATGAATTCCTAGTAACAGAAACTAACCTCTCGATATCATCTTTGTCAATAACTCCCGCATCCAAAGTAACTAACTTGGATGTGAGGTCTTCCTCACTGATATGGGGGCTATCAGCTTTGTATCGGTATCGAGAACATGCAGTTCTCAGAGGTTCAATAACCTTGATATCATTCCAATTATTTTCAATATATGACAAGAACAAGGAATCAGCTTCGATTGCCGTGGCGGAGTACAGCCCTGCTCTGTATGTTGAAATTCTTGAATGGATCGCCAAATTATGGCCTTGACCCTCCAACTTCATCAAATATTGCTTCTTTTCTTTGCTGAGTAGGTCTGAAGGCATGTCATCCATTACTGTATGCTCGTCAGGGGTTAGTTCTGCGGCACCTCCCACATCTTTTGTTCGAGACTCCTCGAGTTGGTTATCATCATACTCTTCATCGTCGTCATCATCATCTGTAGTTGTACGTGAATCTTCTGAGCCACTAGGCACTCTTGAAGATGATAAATATTCTGCTTCTACTACTGGTAGCAACGAGGAAGACGCAATTGGCGTTGGTGGTGAAGATTTCTTCTTCAATGATGAATTAGACATTGTGCCACTTGAAACCCCCTTATATCCGGTGATTTTGCCTTTGGATTTGGTGATTTTACCAGATGCAATAACCCTCACGGAATTAACTTTCGCTCCCTTAACCTTTCTATTACCAATGTTTGATTTGAGCGTGACATTGTTCGTAGTATTCGAGTCTGTTGGCTTGATTGTCCAAGAATCTGAGTCTGGCAAACGTTCCATATTGGCTAATAAGGTTGTGAAATCTTCCCCAGCAACTTTAGGCATGTCCTCGAATATGCTGCTATCTGTTAAAGCTTTGAGGAGGTTGCCATTGGAAAACATCTCCTTCAGATATTCCGGTGTCTGATCCTTCAAGAAGATTGCCATATCTTCACCAGTATGATCATAACGCCCGAGTACTTCTTCGATGTTAAAATTAAAACCTCTAGAAGCCATTTTGTAAAATCTGGTTCTTTTTGTTAGAAAATGGGTGACATGATTAAAAGTAATGTATTAACTAACCTATTACTTTACGGCGAGGCTAGAAGACCGAATAACTGTCTCAGATCGATGGAAAGAAGGTCGAGAAGATCTGCGACCAGAAAGAAGTTGCTTAGAAGGTCGAAAAGATCTACAACCAGAAGTTCCAGTTGATTTGATAGTAGGAGAAGTTGAGAAGAACGTTGGAAGTGATTTGGGACTAGAAGTTGAGAAGAATGTCCAGAAGATCTGTTACCAGAAAAAAGTAAAAGCTGAGACTTCACTTAAATTTGAATTCAACAGTGAATTATACATTGAAAGAAAACGTGAGAAAATCTATAGTCAAAGGTATATTAATCATTATTTCTGATCACATCTTAATAATTAAATGCGATATCTGCCATTGGGAACAACCTCATTATCACCATTAGAGTTGTGCATATAACCCCAATGTAACCCATTATCACAGGATTGATTCTACCATAACGTTCTTCCTCCGCTGCAGTGTCGAGTTCATTAACACTTGGAAAAGTCCTCCTCCCCACCTCCACCTTGACTTTCACACGTTTTAGCCTTTTTCGCCACCAGAGCAATATCTGATCCAGCTGAACGTTTGTGATTATTTTCATCAATCCATTGAACATCAATAACCACAATAATTTGACCTTCGTTAGGAACCTCTTGACTGTCTGGAATCTCTCTCTTGTCATCCATGGTCAAGTTGAGTCTCTGGTGGATTAGAAGGTGTCGCCATTGTGATTGTGAATTGAAAGTTTGTAGTATGAGTATGAAGAGAAGATAGATAGATGTGAGGGTTTGTGTAAGAACACGACTCATATGACTACCAGTATCCATAAGAGGAAAGTATGATTACAGTATATGCTTCATTTACCACTACCTATTCTTCTGCTAACTTGGCCCTGCAGCTTCTCAAATTTGTAGCTTCACAGTTTTACTTACACCTCTACAGAGTCACACACACACACCGTCGCAGCTTCATAGCTTCATCATTCGCAGATTAATACTGCAGCCCTCCAGCTTCACAGCTTCGTACATATGCGGTTTCCAACTTATGATCTTCACCGCTCCACAATTGCATTCCTCTGTAGCTCCATATCTTTACAGCTTTACAGCTTTATAATTCTGCGACTTTGCAGCTTTGCATATCGTTTCTTTGCGGCTTCAATACCGATTCACAGTGCTAATGTTCTATAGTTTCACTGCTTTGTGGTTCACAACTCCACAGCTCCATCGTACCGCAGATCTATGGTTCAGTTCCCAACGGCTTCATCGTTCCGCAGATTTGTGGTTCATAACTCCACACCTCCACACACCTCCATAATTTCTCAGTGGTTCACAACTCCACGACTCCATCGTTCCGCAGATGTGTGGTTCACGACTCCAGAACTCCATCATTCGTTCAGCAGTGGTTCAAGACTCCACAACTATACAACTCCACATATCCACATTTCCATTGTTCCATGGCTTTACGGATTCCCAGTCCCATATCCCTACACATTCGCATACAACTTCGTATCATAATAATAAGGACACCCTTCTTCACACCTACAACATGAATCCTTTCACCGGTTTCACAACCTCGCACAATCACATCTCTATGCCTTTGTGGATTAGCAGCTTCGTACCTATATATCCACATCACGGAGATATGAATAAATATATCCCATGACTCGAACAATGTGCGAACGCATATAAACGTGATGATCGACGAGTAGGTGAATCATGAAGTTAGGTCACAACCTCTACTCTTTGGCTATAGTGATGTGAAAAAGGGATTGATGAAAAGCATGTTTTAGGTTTCGGAAATCAAAGGGAAGATACAGAATAGGGGTAGGTAAACTATACTCTATCCAATGAACTGATTAACGACTGACTAACTTTGAGACGATATCAAGTAGAAACCGACTGAACTATTCACCACATCTCTTAACCGATAGAAAGCTTACTACTAGTATACCCCTTTGTTATGATATGTGTTGGATGATAGCACAAACCTTTGATTCATCATCTTATCAGCATATGTAACGAAATCCAATCTATATGTATCATTACCATTCGATTCGGCTCATGAAAACAACTGTGGCTCCTTTCCTTTGAACAAATAGTAATGAGGTCGATTCGTTGAAGATTAAGATACATGCAAAGGATAGATTTATATAATGGAAGTTTTAAGATACTGGCTTGTAAAGAATATATTTCTGGTTCTAATATACTCAAGAAAAGTGCTCTTTTGTGTGTATTTCACTTCATCGGGAAATATTTCCAACTAAGCCCTCATGCTTCACTAGATTTCTTTCTCAATTGTTTATTTTATCTAGAGGACCAGGGGAGAGACCAATTTCCAATACAGTAGAGATATTAAGGTATTTGAATCTTGCTCTCAAGGTCAAATTTCTATCAAGTATTTTGAAATAACATTTCATAACTGTGTATTAAGCTGTATAAATAGTAAGACATGACCTTTAATTATCAATAGGTAGGTGCTATCAGTTCCTTCAGTTCCTTCACCCTTCTCACAAAATGAGAAGGAACATTATCAGTGGGAGCGGGGTAAATGTTCTTTACTTCTCATTCACAACACTTTCAAATTCCACCTTCATTTACACATCACAATCAGTTAACCAATATCCTATTGTTTTTATTTATCTAATACGAACCATCATCAATTTGCATATATTCACAATGCCTCCGTTACCTCAAGAGGATCCCCCGATCTACAAGTGTACTGCTCAGTACGTACCCTCGATGGACCAGCAAGCAGACAGACACGCAGGTTGAAAGGTATGGAGAAGGACAGCTATTGCTAAAGAAGGATTATTGTCAGATTTTTGTATGACAATATACTGTCATACACCACTAGAACATATTTGGCTGACGATATCGGATATTCACAGTTTTGAACTCAAGCATGAGTGCATTTATTCGAGATTTATCACCCGGTGGCTCAAAAGACATTGTTGACCTCCTCTACTGCTTGCATAAAATAAAGACTTGGTTACTTCAATCATCAAGAATGACATCGGCCATGGATGTCTGGATCAACTCAGAATTGAAAATCCGAGATTGCTCAATTCATTGCTCAATCGAGAATATGAGTCATTGAAGGTGCGAAACCAGCAAGATATGTTAAAGAAAGATTCCCTCCTCATCGATTTACGCCAAGACAAAGATTCCGAGATTTCGAGACTGCGAGCTGAGAAAGATTCCGAGATCAACCAGAAAGATGCTGAAATCTTGAAGTTACGTCAAGATAATGATAACAAGGGCCAGGAGCAACTGGGGAAGATTAAGGAATTGCGAGAATATATCTCCAGACTTGAGGGATTGAAGGTTGATGTCAGGGAATTGAACAAGGAAAAGAAGGGTATAATTACGCAAATCGACGAACTCAACAATCTCGCACTCAAGGAGAAACAGCGATTTACCGATCTATCCGGTGAACATGAGAGTGACATTTCGACTTTACGAGAACAAGATAAAGAACTCGGGAACGCAAAGAAGGAGTTACGTATCAAGGACAGAAGTGTTACAAATATGAGGGAGGATTTTTTTGGCAAGGATACAGAACTCAGAACAGCGAAGAAGGATTTACAAATACTGCGAACCAATATGAACACTTCGATGACCACGATTCGAGACACAGAGAAACAATTGTCGGATTCCAAGAAAGCTAGAGATACAATTACGGAGAAATTTCAGAAGCATAACAAACTTATTGTGGCAAATGGTTTGAGATTTACGGATATGGGGAAAGAGTTGAATACTTTCCGGGAGGAGAAGGAGATTTGACAGACTGAGTCCACTGAGTTGAAGGAACAGAATGATGCTTTGATACTTGATCTGGCCAAGGTTAATGATTGAAGAGATCAAATGACGGAATGGTTAAACTGGTCGAGGAAAATAATATTCTTTCAGAGAAGTTATTGGGTTTGAGAAGTCGGGAAAAGAATTAGAGTAGGGGTTCTGCCAAACTATATACCTTGGAGAAACAACAAGAGATTTGGAAGAAGGAAACCGTTGTGTTGCAGGATATTCAGAGGCAGGTACCGGGCTACAAGTTAGCTGTTAAGAATTTGGGTCTTGCGAACTCATCCATTGAGTCTCCAGTGTTTTAATTAGTATACGGTAATATGTTCCGGGCCATAACTCAATATTGCTATTATGAAATGCATTTAGTTTACTGCTAAACGAGTTAGGTTTCATAGTGAGTTAGTTCATTTCAGAATGAGCTAGTTTATATGATTCATGAGGATATTGACTTTGTGAAGAATTGACACATTCTGTTTCAAAGATCAAGCATATCTAAAAGACTCATTCATCTAACACATTCGATTTATCTATAAGGGCCAACTTGAGCCAATTCTAGAAACCTCACTATTCTCCAGACATCGAAACGTTGAATTGTACTGTAACAAAACCTAAACCTAGTCTTTTCCAAAGACAATTCTAGCTACAATATTGTCACAATGTAAATGAATCATACTTTATTATTACATCATATAACCAACCCCACTTCACCCCCCTATATCACTAACCGATCAATCACCCTATCCAACTTCAAGTTCCGCATGGCTAGCTAGCTAGCCAGAATATAATTTATAATCTTAGTAACCGCAAGTATACAATTCCGCAACTTCCATTTCAGTCTCAGATTTCTGACAGAATTATACAGCTATCAGGAGACATTAGACGAGAATAATAAGAAACACTCATCTTTTTCTAGATATCTAATGTGTGAGGACTTCTCCTCCCTTCCATACTCGTCTCTAATACAGCAATTTCTTGCTCTTCGATTCGCTTTTCATCTTGAATTGTCCATATTCGAGCGAATCCAGATTGAAAATAGGGAAACGAAATAGCCAATCCGCTTCCATCACAGTCTTGCCGTACCCAACTCTGTGCATTTAGAAAAATTTCCGGCCCATAAAATATTCTTACGTTTACATCTCCAAGCCCATCATCAACATCAAAATCATCAGCAGAGGTCGCACAAAATTGTTTTGTATCATATTCGACCTAGAAACCTCGTAAGAATTATTCTCTTAACATGGCAGCTATCGCAACACCTTTGACTAATTAATTTGCGCACACAGTTCTGCCCATGCACCGCCTAAACCACAACGCGCAATTCATCATGCAGCGGCCCCCAGATCTAGTACCCAGCAGTCAACCGCGACCCGGTCGCTATGGCCCTCCCCCCACTGCCATCGATCCATCAAGTCAAACACCCCAGATTCAAGTCGCTAGAAATTATTCACCCGCCACTTTCCCCTCCACAAGTAAAGTATACGCAACACCGCACGACGAATGTCTCTTTATCCAACGACTCTCCACTGACGTCCGCACACAAATCTACTCCTATCTCCTCCTCAACCCAATTCTCTCCACCCTAGCCGCCGTCAGCCCCAACACCGATTTTGGTGTACAACAAAAATACGAACTGCATCCCGCAATTCTAGGAACGTGCAAGGAACTGTACGAAGAAGCGTCTGGGGTTCTCTATGGCTTGAATACGTTTTACATGGTCGCTATGAAGAGTAGTCGTATGTTTCGATTTACTCTCGCGGATTTCATGGGCGGTAGTGCGCTGACGCGGTATTGGAGAGAGAATCCCGATGTTTTTAAATTGGCTCCGGAATCCGCATTATATCTGTGTAAGGTGCGACAGTGGAGAGTCGAGATTAGTTGTTATGGATTACCTGCGCAAGCAGATATCGAACTTCCGGTTATTTCCATCCGAAATCCCATTGAATACGGAGTTACGCGCCATCTCCCCATCGATCCGCGCAGTGGTATTCCAGCTCCCTCTGGCCGTCGTAGGTATCGCAATCATTACTTACTTCGACTGGCCAGTCAGGAAGCTCGCGATCATATTCGAGATGACATGGTGTCGTATTTGCGCCCGTCGTTGGAATATAGTATCGTGCCTTTTTGTCACCTGATGAGTCTTTGCGCAGAGCCTCCGCATGCTCTGGAGATTATCATCAGACCCAAGGCTGCGGGAGAGGTACCTCTTAGATCCGAATACCTGGGTGTGGTACCCACGGAAATCGAGCAATTGAGATTGATCAGACCATTGGAAATGTTGCGCGGCGTGCAAGACTTGAAATTCACGCACAGTGAAAGTGCCGACCAAGACGACGTGCCGACCGAAGTTTCAAATCAACAGCTTGCCTGGGAGTCGGCTCTCAATCTACTTGCTACCACCAAGAAAGAAGCTTGGCAAGTCGAATGTCCCTCTAAATTGTACACCAATCTTCTTTCATACGCACAAACATTTGAGCGATACGAGCCCTTCAAGCAACGAATGGCTGCTAATTGGTTATATCAAAACTCCTACATGAGTACTCCCAATCCATACAAAGCAAAAAGTCCCAACCCGATCCAATTCTCCAACCCATTCGGACCTCACAACGATAACTACAAATCTCACCCCGTCAATCAACATCTTTCTTCTGCGGCAGCCGCAGTGCGAAGACATGATGTCAAAGCCTTGAAAGAAGCTAGAAAGAACTTACTCGAGTATTTGGAACCGCAATATAAGCGTATTATTCGCAAGTCCAAGAAATTCCGAGAATTTGTTGATTTGCAATGTAAGAGATATGGGATTTGGGATAGCGTTGCGAAACTTGAGCATGAAATGGATAGATACGCGGAAGCTATGGAAAGTATCACTAATCCCATGGATAGACAGACGCTCATTGGTGATCAGAACATGCGTCTCGGGCGGAGGATTAGAAGTATTGATTTTGCAGAGGCATTGGTGGTCCTTGAGGAATATGCCGAATCGTTCGTTCGAGATATACCACACGAAACTCGCAAACAAATTGCTCGGATTCGGTTTGAATATCAAGGACACTATGATATTATGGAGCGAGAAGTGGCCATTCGAAAGCTTCAGAAGATGGTGGTAGATATCTCAGGGGATTTGGATTATGCAATTTTGAGGTTCAAAGAAATATATAAGATCGCTGCGAATGATATGCAAAAGCAGTATCTGGAGATTAGGAAAGCTCGAAACGGATTATTTAGAGATGATGTGATGGGGGAGGTGTGGGAATGTCCTATTGATTTGCGGATGGAGACGGGGATGGAGGATCAGGAGATCGATTGGACTGCGCCTCGGGATGATGAAAGGGGTCTTGGTGGACTTATTTCTGGTACTAAATCTAAGAGGAATTATTCTGGTGGTATATAGAGCGTATTTTCATAGGGATATTGAGGGTTGATTGTTGTATGATCCAACTAGGATTGATCCAAGGGACTAGTTTCTACAATATTCTTCCCAAGTCATGGCACTGACCATGAAAATATTCATCGAGTAAGATATTCGATAGCTTTAGCAACCAATGACATCTTGTCAAATACAACATTTCCTTCCAACTTGAACCTCAAATTTCACAACAATGAAACGATATGCAAAACAGAGATATTTGTCAAACTAAATTGCTGATCAAAATTCCCACTCAACTAGGAGTAAAAAGAAGATTCTAAAAACCGAATTGCAATTTGCATATTAGAACTCAATATCCCATAGCCAAGTATTTCCAGCAATAAAATATGCAAAAAGAAACACAAACACAAACACCCCATATCCCATATCCCATATCCTATAACCAAATATCTATCCATCTATTTATTCATCAATAAACTTTATCATATCCAACTTTATCAAATCATCACAAGTAATTAAAGAAAACCATCAATATCCATCCATACATCCCAAACAAGCCAGAAACCCCTCCCACCCCTCTCCCCCCCAGAGAAAGAAACCCAGTACAAATACGAGTAGAAACCCGAATATCTTTATAAAGAAATCATATCAATTTTAGGTAATCTATTGTAACGAAATGTGAAATGTGTCAAATAAGAAAAGCATCTGTGAAGATTGTATTTTATAGTATTATATAACATATATAGTATCTAATCCAACCTAAAATAATTCAGATCCATCCAATCCAATCCAATCTGCTCTAATCCAAACCATCCAATCCAAACTAATCCAAACTATCCAAACCTAATCCCATCCAATCCAATCTAATCTAATCAAATCAGACCAGAACCAGAACCAGACCAGACCAGATCAGACCAGAACCAGAACCAGACTATACCAAACCAGACTAGACCTGAGCTGAGAGGGGTTCGTAATGTATTTATTAATTGTAATATGGATATATACTGATAGTTATTTATCTTATAGATTCAGTTTCAGATTGGGATTGGGATTGGGATTTAGATCACAAGCAGAATCATCCTGACATAGAATTAATTTCAATATTCATGTAAAATTCGTAGTGATCCAGAGTGAAGGTTGCATTGTAGACGTAGCTAACATTGGTTGGCATCTCGATATAAAATGATGGTCCAATGACCGAGTTTGCGAGAAAATGAACTTGGGGTATGAATTATGAAATATAAATTGAATTAAATTGAATTGAATTGAATTAAAGGATATGTGAATTATGAATTATAGATACTAGTACTCGGGTCTTTGGATTTGCACTTGGATATGGATCCTGGGAATTGGTGTGGTTAGGTGTCGCTAAAGATGAAGGGGCACATAAAATAAAATTTAAACAAACGCACACGGGAAATTCTTCATAGATTTTTTTTCTTCATTGAATTTAATGGGTAACTTTCTTCCATGAATTGCTTCCATCTTGGATCAGTTCAATTTCAATATCAAAAAAGAAAAAGTATGACTCGATACAATCAATCATGATAGACCCTTTTTCCTGCCGTTCAGTTGTCCATCCACCTGCCCCTTTCTCTATTCTCACTCTCCACCCTCCCAATTCTCTATTTTCCCAAACCAATCCCATTGCATTCCCAAACCAAACCGCGATCAGACAAAGATTCAAATTCAAATGACAGCCCCCATTTCGCAATTCCTGATTTCCCATCCATTCCATTTCCATTCCATTTAACTCCCTAAAAGCAAGACCAATGTAATGAGAGTGAGAGTAGAGTTGGAGTAGAACCAAAACCAGAACCAGAATCGAAACCGAAACCCTGGCACCGAAAACAGAAACCTTTCGCAGTGAAAAAAAAAAAAAAAAAAGAAAAAAAGAAAAAAACCACACTGTATCATTCAAAATGATAGACCTTCCTCCTCAACTGGCACCAAAAGTAGATTTTTCTTCCCATTGATACACATATCTACCACCACCAGTATAATATCAAATTGAGAAAAAGATGTGCCACACGCAAACGGTTGCAGAAATGGGAACTTCTGCTCGCTGCAAGGGGGTATCATCCAGACTCGAGGCGACTAAGAACCAATTGAAAGCTGTAAGTGCAAAAAGAAAAAGACAAAAGAGAATCATAAATATGTTCATGTCGGTCCATTAATCATAAAAGGAGTGTCGAGGGTGTGCAAAAGCGAAGAAATTTGCTGGAATGCTCCACCAGTCAGTCCAAAGTACAATAAGCAAAGAACGCCTTGCCATTTAACCTAGACCGGAGAGAAAGAGCAATTTCGACACAAAAAAGAAGAAGTATGAAGGCTTTCCGAACGTTTTAAGGAAATGTTTCTTGATCCAGAGAGTGACACAAAGAAATGGCGCTGCAATAGACGTTTGCTGGCTGTAACCCTGTAATTTTGGTGACACTGATTCCAAAAGGCTATCGAATCAATGATCAGATAGACGCACGGGACCAGACGAAAGTCAATTCATCGTCGCTATGAAGAAATAATGTTTAGTACAAAGATGTAACCATATGGTCATTCAGTACACTAGAAGAACTGAACGAGTTGATGGTACAGTAGATGTAAATCACCTCTTCCTCTTCCTGCTCTTGTCAAAACTGCCTGCGCCACTGAAAGGAAGTGATGATGGAAAGATTGGAACTTGAGGGAGCTCATCTTTCTTCACAGGTACACCCATATGGCGCCCATAACGACCTTTACGGCCATTCCCTTCGTCTTCACTGACGCACTGATCAGCACCAAGTCCTGCATCTTGGCATCGACCACAAGGGCGTTGACGATCACAACCCTTCTTACTCTTTCTGCAGCGTTGACAACGTGGTTTGGATGACAGGTCCTCTTCATCATCACCGAGGTGGTGTTGGTGAGTTGCGGCAGATGCCACGGAGGTCTTGCGTGATTGCGATGGTAAGGAGGTAGGCGAGATTGGACCTTTGCTAGAAGCAGAGACACTGTTGGCTTTCCTTGGCTTAACAAGAGGACCTGGTCGGTTTGATTTGCTAACTCTGTTGTTGACTTTGGTCTTGATAGAAGGAACAGAGGGTAGAGGCTTTCTAGCCGCCTTGGCTTTGACGACCTTGGGAGGCTTTGCTTCTTCATTATCAACAGCATCATCTGCATGCCCTGGCTTAAAGGTGCCATCTTGACCATCTTCATAGTCACGTTCATCACTGCTTGGATCAGTACTATCTGTCGGTAAGGTGTCATCCAAATGAGGATGGGCCTTCTTCCAAAATCCAGGTGGCAGGATTGGACTTGGCTCACGCTTAATTCGTCGAGCGGGTGGAAGTTCAGTTTCGCTCTCACTCTCACTGTCACTAGTGGCGCCAGTGGAAGAAGCGGCATCAGCTCGTCCACTGAAGGTGTCGTCGAGGGTGGATGCGGATGTGCGGCCATGAGAGATGTTTGACATGTCGCCAAGTCTCATCAATTGCAAAGCGACATCCTTATCTTCCTCTGACATGCAACTGCCAACGGTAGGATCTGGAGTAGGTAGTATGCCAGAGGTATTGCCCGGTGTACTGATAGATTGACGCCCTGAAGGATATGATCCACGTGTTCGACGACCTTGAGCTGCTGGCGTAGAATACATGCCCGGTTGCCCGAAGCCATTCCCATAGCTCTGAGGTGATTGCAGGGTGGGTGGGTTGGAGAAAGGATTATGAGCAAATCCCCCAGTGTAAGGAAAGCTCGATCGCTGATGTTCCATGCGACGAGCCGGAGATAGGGAAGAATTCGAAGTTGCAGCAGGCATTTGTGGTGGTGCAAACAAGGGAAGTTCCTGATGAAAATATAATTAGTATGACTGTGGAAGGATACGATCCAATGATGCGCTGCCAAGTAAACTTACAGAACTTTCAAACTTGGCTCTCTTTCGTCGACCTCCCTCGACGATATTATCGAGACTGATCTCGGTATTGCCAATGTGCTCACTCCTAGCTTTACTGGTGACAGAGCCAGCCCCACCATCACCACTGCTGTATCCATTCAAACCGTCGCTATGAAGCTCTTGGAAGCTACCGTGAGTGCTTGACCCACGGCTTTTGAAACCTGATCGAGATCTACTCTTTTTGGTCGGAAGAGATGGATTGAGACTGGCAGAGGCACTGCGACGGCCACGGCCTTGGCCAGGAGAAGTGCTACGCTTCTGTGATGTCCTCGATGTGGGTCTGGCTATAGCCTGGCCATAGCTGAGTGCTTGAGCAGGGTGGGGCGGTAGGTGCTGAGCATCGCCAGGATAGTAGGCTTGCTTTAAGCGTGGGGACCCAGGGCTGCATGGTGATGGGCCATATGCACCAGAAGACTCTTCTAAAATCACTCTGACATAGACGACCATGTTATTTCTGAAGTTCTCGTATCGTGCGATGAGGGTGTTTCCTTGTTCGTCTTCAAAGCTCACACCTTTCGCACCGCCAGGGCCTGCGTATAAACCATAGAAGTTCTTGACAGTGGTAATGATTGAATCCGTTGTATCATGAGGGAAGATTTGAACACGCATTGGTAATCGCGCACGCTGTTGAGGAGATTGTGTAAAGACGAGTTCGAATGCGACGCTCTTCGGGGTAGGATTCCCGAAAGGCGACATGGCATTGGAGTGTGGAGTGTTCATGCTGAATTGACCACCAGCATAAGAAGGCGCGGGTGGTGTACCCATTCGCCCACCTTTATTATTGTGCATATCCGTGCCGGACATGATTGTTTTCCGGGTCGGGTACGAATGTGTTCGTTGTGGAGGATCGGTAGATTCGGTGTTTCGATTTTGTGCGTTTGAAGAAGATAATGACCCAGTTATAATGTTGGCTAATTGTGTTCCAATGTAGAGGATATATTGTGCCTCAACTCAGTCGCAGATATCTGTGATTGAGTGAAGTGAGGTATATTTGATGTCGTAGATTCTGAATGTTGGGCGGAGCATGCGGTCGTCGTCGCAAGTCAGTCGAGAAGACAAGGACGGAGGTGGGTGGTGGGAAATGTTCCGTTTGACTAGGAAATGCTGTCAGAATTACTCATGATAGACTCGGAGATGACCTTCGAGGGATGTTTGATGAAGGGGGTAGTGAAATGATGGCATTATCGTCCAATCTAGCATCGCCGAATATACTCCCTCCTTCTGCGACAGTGATCGGGAAGGTTGGTTGTAATGAAATGGATAGATGAGAGCGATTCTACACTCATTTTTCTCGATCGCATAAAGCAAAAGTAGCATATAAACTTACTGGTGATGTAAAAGAATGTTTGTCGTGAGCCCTATCGAGGCATTGGGAATTGTAGTTTTGTCAAAATGTCGTCGCCCACAACCTATGCGAAAAGAATGATTAGAGGGAGTGGATAGTTGAGAACATGATATCTTGGGATGATTGACGAGAATATTGAAGGATTAATGAGTCAAATATCATACTTACTTGAAATCGTATCAAGTCGTATGTTTCTTTGGTGTCTTGTTCTGGCATTGAGTGTGTGGTGGAGGTGGAATAGGAAGAAGTCGGTCCTCGTTACTCAGATTAATGTTAGTTGCTTGCATAAATATGGTTTGACTTGAATAACTTCTATGCTCAACCGCACAATCAAGTATAATGATCTTTAAAATCTACATATTTCATCATCATTCCTATTTTAAATTGTCTCTGATAAATTTGACTATTTAATCAATTAACAAGGAAAGGAGTAGATTTTCATTATTGTCAAATTAGATGTGCATCTATATATATACGAGAATATATATACACATATATATCTATGAGTACTCCGTCAAAATGTTCATCCTCGAATAGTTTCAAGCTGACGGACACTCACTGATTGATTGACCTAACTATTATGCTTGCTTATAAGGCACGGTACAGTACGGAATGGCTATGCTCTCCCGTTTTCCCAAATCCCAACACAGGCCAGGCCATGCCATGTCATGCTACCGTTATATAGAGATATAGATATGTGATAGGTAATTGGTAGAAAGGAGGATCATCTACAGAATATTCCAACACAAAATCCATATCTACTAAATATACTCGTATATCAAAGACATCTAATTCGAGTCCGATCCAACCCTATCTTGTTCTTGGGCTGGCTGGCTGCGTTCACTCAGCAATCCTTTTATCCTTGAAAAGAAACATATAGGATATTCCAGATATGTAAGTAATCAGTGAGTTATCAAAAAAGTCGCAATCAATCATCATCACCCTCCCATGATGAGAGGGAAAATGTTCCAGTATCCACGCGTAAGTCATGAAAGTACCCGAGCGTAAATGCATGCGACCGACTCTGATCCCCTCCTCTACCCTCCCTCCATCTCCATACAAAACAAAACCTGCCGGCAGCTCAGTTCAGTTCGGTTACCTACTTTTTACCTACCTACCTACCTAGCTATAACATCCAAAGACCAAGTCACCCACCCACCCACTGTAGTTTGGTCGAGACAACTCACGGAAAGCAAAGGCCAAGTGCTTGAGTAAATCATGGTAATCAACCAATGAGATTTATGCGCCAACGTCCAAAAGCAGGGATGATTTAAGGATCATCATGGGTGCGACGTTCGATTTACCTACGAGGGTAAATCGTTTTCAAGATATGAGATGGTCTAAAAGAAATATATTGATGGGTCAAAGCTATTCAATAGAATCGCTTTTTGATTTATGGATGTATCTTTTTAATTGAGGATACGATTGTCGATGTAGAAATACATTTGTTGAAGACATTGATCCCCTTCATCTTCATCGCGATTCGCGAGAGGAAGATGAATATTTGCGACCCGGGATCATGGTATGCGCTGGCGGCGAGTTTCGGATAGGCATTCATGCTCGAAGCTGATTAGAAGAAAATAGCTCCTCCACACTATTTACCAAGTAGGCCAAAACCATATGGCCACTAGAAATCCATCGAAGTTATGGCCCCATGTTGACGGCGCAAAAGGTAAAAAATGAAGTCTCAGATGTATATTCTTCCAACGTTGAACACGAATCGTGACAACCTATCAACAATGCAGAAGGCGAATGCAAACTGTTAGTTCTTGTGATGCTGCATGTTCTCTTTCAATCGTGTGCGACATGAGGGAGGGGCTTGGAGAGGCAAAACGCAATAGGGTGGGGTTGGGGGAGAGGGGGGGTGTTCCTAGAGTTGGTTGATAGAAGTTGATGGATGCTAGGCACTTCCACGCTAGTCTTAGTAATAATACCATAAGTGATGAGCACGTTTTGTGCAATGTGCTGTGCGCCTTCATTGACTCTGGTTGGATCCTGCGCAATGATAGCTGTAGCTGTGCTGTACAGCTGTAGCTACGGTATAGCTGTCCGCTTGTCGCAATTGCAATCCTTCATTGCATACCAGATACCACCGTTATTGCATAAATGAAGGTCCATCCAATAAACCCAGTGGAACTCCTCTGATCGCGAAACTGTAACTTGGCCTATCTAAGAGCGTAAACGACCGCAGACCTCGACCTTTGGAAGTACAACAAAAATGCTAGACAAGTCAAAGGAACTCCCTCCCTCGAGTAACCATAAACAAAAACAACATTTTCGCGACAAAACTACCTTCAATCATCCCGAAAAGTCGCGTGCTGATAGGAAGATAAATGGTTCAATAATATGAGTCTGCGCCATAAGCGCAAAGCTTTCTTGCTTGTTTTGATCTCCGAGTTGTGATGCCGTGTCGGCTCTAGATACCAAAAAAGGCTTTGGCAAATCAGGAATTGATGAAATTGCCCCTCTTCACAGAGTACCAATCGCGGCATTTCGATTTGGGTAATTCGAACTTTCTTCTGAATAAAGTGCGTGAACTTCGAAGATAGACTTCTTTAACTGCTACAGGACTAAAATGAGGTTTCGTTCATCCTGCATGATTCAATGTGGAGATATGAAAAGATATCTTTTGTATTCGTGGCACCTTGTTCGGCCTTTCACTTCACTTGAGTCTGTCATCCACCTTTCGAAAGGAATTGGATCCAAGTCTTCACAACTTAATGTACAATGCACACAAATGACCAACAGACATTTGTAAAAAGAATGCAATGACTTTGACATGATATATGAGGGGTTCGAGTGGAATCGAGGGGTTCAAAGATTGATTGACTTATCGGTATAACTCTGTTTATAACATTTGTTTATCACCACGTGATTTGGCGTATTCTAACTGATAAGGGGTACCTCTCTTTGGAACGATAAGGTCATATTTCTGTATGTTTTGAGAAGAATGGAAAGAAGATGTCTGAGATATCAAAAAAATAAATAGAAACACTCTACATATTTGGTTACACAATTGAAGATATATACATATGAAAATTAATTGAAAAGTTGATGTATTTGAAAGGATGTTAATATTTTATCGTGACGTTGGAAGACGTGAACATTCAAACGTGATGATTTGCCTCAACCAAGGTAAAAATTGAGCGCTAAACGGAATGTAGAAAATTGTAAATAAAGCTAAGAAAATCAAGGAAGAGTAATGTTATTGTTATGCCTTAATGACCAATCAAATTCTTAAAAACCCCAATAATACCTTAGTCCCCCGACAACCAAAATTAATAAATACATTACCCCATCATTTTACATTTTTACATTTTACATTTTACAGTACAAAAACTTTTGGTCGAGACCGAACTGTCAACCGAACTGTCAACATCAACAACTTCATCTTCGCTCTCTTCTCCTTCTCCTCTCCTCTCCTCAACTCCACCTTTTCCGCCTCATCTTCTTTCTCAACCCCATATTGTATCCATCTTCGTGCTTGGGCCATCATCCATCTTTGACTATTCGATTTCGTACATTTGCATATCCCGCATTATCTATGAACCAAGATTGCAAGATTGTCATATCCCCAATAATTATTGCACAATTGGCCAATTGAAGCAATCCATTTCGCCCGCAACAACATTCCTGCATGACATCTTGGTCGCGATAGCTTCTTCGCCCTCAATTCAATTAAATAAAAAAAAGTAATCGCCCATCATCAGCTTCGGCTTTTGCTATTGTACCTACCTACCTAAACGGTATTGAGAGAAACAATAGCTTCAATCAATCATGGACGCTCGAGTAAGTTCTTGCCTCTTGCTTCTTGTCTCTTGCCTCTTGCCTTCTTCTACTTCTACTTCTACTTCTACTTCTACTTCTACTTCTTATTCTGATTATTATTATTATTATTGATTGATTGATGTTTGTTGTGGTTCGTTCTTTCCTCTCATCAGTGAGTGATCAGACGATTACCTAACTTGAATCAATCTTCTCTACAATCTCCAATCTCCTCATACTTCGATCTACATTCCAATTCATCCCCTTGTCAACTTCATTTCAAGCTTCATAAATTCTATTCAATTGCAGACAAAGCAAAACTGACATTAAATGTTTCAATAGCCCCAAAGACCTTTACGATTTACTCACACCAATGGTGATGAGAACATCGCACCTTTAATCGTACCTTCAACCATCCAACAACAATCAACTCTACACCAAAAACAAAAGCCTACAGGAACCATAGCCAGTATGTTAACAGTTGGACTCAAGGCTGCTGCCAAGAGAACTGCATTCGGAGACGTTAGCAATACCGCAAAGACTTTGAATACTATTCATGATGAGTCTGCTATTAACGGCAAGTCGGTCGAAGTCATTAAGCCTATTGCTATTCAGGACAAGTCAGCTGCACTTTTAAGACCAGCACAACGACCACTCAACAACGGCCTCAAGGCACCATTAGCTACATCTACTTCCGAACAAGCTTCTATTGCTCCACTTCCAAAACAAACTCAAGCGAATCAAACCAAGCGCAATACTTTGGCCAAGAAGGGTGCGGTATATAAGGACACTGGAGTTGAAAACATTCAGCCACTCGCACAAAAGTCCATCACATCCACTGGTCCACTCATTCAAAACCTCGGCCCTAGACACGCCAAGAGCCAACCTGAGATCAAGGCTGAGCAACCAGTTCTACGAAGAACACAGAGCAAGCAACTGAACAATGTTGTCGGCAACATTGAGCCTACAATCTATCACACCGCTCCCGAGCATGCTTTGAAGGAGAACATCAACGAGTCTCACCTCCGATCGACCAAGGAAAAGGAGGAGTCTGTCGTCGCTGAGAAGTTGAAGTCACAAAAGCAATTACCAGCTCCACCACTTGCTTCTGAACCCGAGGAATATTGGACCGAGGATGAAGAGGAAGCTTATGATGATCAAGGCTATACAACTGCCCAGTCTTTCCGAGGAGAGAATACTGTCGGAGGAGCAACTACTGTTATCGTTCCAAAGGTCACAAACAAGGTTAAGAAGGAGCTTGAGGATGCTAAGATTCTTGTTGAGTCTGTTCGGACCCAGGAAGATATTGAAGATGAGATGTGGGATACTAGCATGGTGGCTGAGTATGGTGAAGAAATTTTCTCATACATGCGTGAACTCGAGGTTAGTAATAACACATTTCATCGTTGTGCTTTAGGCCATACCGCGTTGGTAGGGCCTACGCTGAGATCAGATAGCGACCACTTTCGCGATCTGTAGTTATTCAAGCCATCGTCTGCCTTTTTAAACCTCTTGTACGCGTTGCTAACACACCTTCTCATCACAGAACAAGCTTCTTCCTGACCCACATTACATGGACACACAAGCAGAGATCCAATGGTCAATGCGATCTGTTTTGATGGATTGGTTGATTCAAGTTCACCAGCGATTCTCTCTTCTTCCTGAGACACTCTTCCTCTGCGTCAACTACATCGATCGGTTCCTTTCGAAAAAGGTCGTTTCGCTTGGCAAACTTCAATTGGTTGGTGCCACAGCCATCTTTGTTGCTGCCAAGTATGAAGAGATTAACTGCCCTTCGATCGGTGAGATCGTCTACATGGTTGATGGTGGATACAGCAGTGAAGAGATTCTCAAGGCAGAACGATTCATGCTCAGCATGCTTCAGTTTGAATTGGGATGGCCTGGACCAATGAGTTTCCTTCGCCGTATCAGCAAAGCCGACGATTACGATCTTGAGACACGCACATTGGCCAAGTACTTCCTCGAGGTCACCATCATGGATGAGCGATTCGTTGGTAGCCAACCAAGTTTTGTCGCTGCTGCTTCTCACGCCGTTGCGAGATTTATGCTCAGCAAGGGTGATTGGTCTCCAGCTCATGTTTACTACTCTGGTTATACTTGGACCCAGTTGAAGCCATTGGTTGCCTTGGTCATGGAGTGTTGCGAGAATGCGCGAAAGCATCATGCTGCTGTCTTTGAGAAATATTCCGATCGCCGTTACAAGAGAGCTTCCACCTATGTTGAGGACCAAATGATCAAGGGCTTCCAAATTCCAGGTATCATTCGCCGTCGACCATCTGTTCCAGCTGCCTTGCGCCTCGAACCTCAATATCCAAACGTTACCTTTGACCCATTGCTGTCCATCGAGGAAAACTCCCAGCGAATGATTCAAGCCAGAAGCTAAGAATACAACTTGCGATACTTCATTACACCACCACATGACAACATTCAATTCTTTGTATTTTTTTGGACCAGATACGATCTTGAATCGGCTACCAATCCTTTGGCATCTCGATTTAAACAAACATCTGGATCCACTTTTACCATACCCCTTCAATAGACCATATTGCTTCACAGTGGCGTTGGCGGCGTTGCATACAAATTCAATTGGTTGCCGTCATCACTTTGCACTGCACATAATGGTTGGCTTTTATTTTACTATTTCTGTTCTTCTCCTTCCTGGTGTTTCAGTGAGGGGGGGGGGGGAGGATCTTGCTCATTGATCTGGCTTTCCTATTCTCTTCTGGAGATAAGGCAAGATAGCTTTGCAGCATCATGACTTTCACGATCTGATGATGCCATGATTTCTTAAGTTTTATGCTTTTACCTGGTGCATAATGGACAATGGAGTGCGAAGGAAAGTCAAACAAAAATGGGCGGTGGCGTGTCTTATGATCGGATATGTACTGATTAATATCTTACATTGATATGGGGAGTTTAATGGCAGGGACAATTATGTATTTCTCCTTTTTCCTTAATGCAATTGTCAAATCAAGGTCGGAGTTTCTTTTCATCCAAGGAGGGGATAGAATGGATTGTACTCAAGGTACCATGAAGTGAAGTATTAGCATATGATAAAAATACTTTATATGAAGAAATAAAGTTAAGATGAATAAATATGAGTAAGTGACCTTGTGAAATCATGACTTGTTGTTCGCAATATGAGTTATTAAGAAATGTATATCCGTAGATGATGACTTCGCTTCGTCAGGGGCATCTTATCTTCTTTCTTATCTACTTGGAGTTAGTGAGAGAAAAGAGTCCGACATTTTTGAAATCGGGTCCCGGAAAAACCCTATCCGAGTATTGGCTTTTGGGTTGTGGCTCTGGCTGTGGCTGTGTAGTAGTTATGAGTGTGTATAATCTGTACTACAATACTCTCCATAAATTTGAATTTTCAACAAGTCATACTCGTACTTCCTTGACTTATCCCCATCTTCCCCATTGTTAATTCTCTCCATACTTGTACTAGAGAATCGTCTCGTTATTTGAAGCTAGTTATTAGTGCCATTGCTTTTATTTGGTATTTTCAATTGATAATTGTTTATTGACTTGTACCCTCGAAAAATATTATTCCAAGTCTGACGAGGCGGCATCTTCAAGTCCAATTCGAGTGCGGAATCTCCAGAAACTCCACAATTTCTTGCAGATCTTCCTCCGAAAGTCGGTCGGTTATTCATTGAATTCGGCTTATACCAAGTACACAGTATCCATTGGACCCGAATTTGACACCATCTTTACATTCCCGCGGAGAGTGGTAGTTTCAAAGTGTCAAACATGACAGGGAAAGATCTTACAACAGTGAAGGAGGTGGTGAAGGAGTCATTGTTGGGCTTAGAGGTTGCGGAGGATATACAACTTTCGGCTCAATCGAAAGCTACCTTTGAGAAGAATTCGCGGAAGGATGAGTCCGGGGCAGAAAAATATATGAGTGAGGAGGACTTTATAAATGCTGTTGCGCCAAAAGACGAAGACTATGTAGGTGGAATTACACTTCTATACCTTTTCCACGTTATAGAAGTCATAGCTAACATAATTGATTTTCTTTCTAGCACAAAATCAAACGAGAACAATTCTCAATTCTATTCCGTGTAGCTGATCGAAGAAGTACTGGTAAAATCAGTTTACATGATTGGGGAACATTCGAAAACCTCCTTGCCAAACCTGATGCCGAATATGAGATCGCATTTCGTCTTTTCGATGTCGACCGAACCGGCACTGTCAAATATGAGGACTTGAAGAAGTTATACGAATTGAATAAGGGACCAGATAGTGTACCTTTCGACTGGAGTTGCGAATGGGCTTCCTTATACAGTGGAGGAAAGAAGCGAAGACATGACTTGACTTATCCACAGTTCTCGCAGATGCTTCGAGGTCTACAAGGAGAGAGAATACGTCAAGCTTTCCACTACTTTGATAAAGATGGGGATGGATATATTGAGCCAGAAGATTTCCAACGAATCATTCTCGAAACTGCGAAACACAAACTCTCCGATCATCTCCTCGAGAATCTTCACACCCTCTGCAATATTTCGACTGGTAGCAAGATTTCATACGCAAATGTTCGAGCTTTCCAGAATATGATCAGAGAAATGGATTTGGTAGAGATGGTCATTAGACAAGCAACTGCTGAAAGTACTGATGGAAAGATCACAAGAACGGATTTTTTGAATGAAGCGGCAAGACTTACTAGATTTTCCCTCTTCACTCCTATGGAAGCCGACATCTTATTCCACTTTGCCAGTCTTGATAATCCTTCCGGCAGACTCGGTCTATCTGATTTCTCAAAAGTCCTCGATGCCTCATGGCGCAACCCTATGTATAACGCATATGGAAAGGTTGGCAACGGCAATGGTGTTAAGACTGCTGGTGGAAGTGTTCTATATAGCGTTCTCGAATCTGTACATCATTTTGCATTGGGAAGTTTAGCAGGAGCTTTTGGCGCATTCGTGGTATACCCTATCGATCTCGTCAAGACTCGTATGCAAAATCAAAGATCTACAAGAGTTGGAGAGATGTTATATAAAAACTCTTGGGATTGTGCCAAGAAGGTTGTGCGTAATGAAGGGTTCAAGGGGTTATATTCTGGTGTTCTACCACAACTTGTTGGTGTTGCTCCTGAAAAGGCTATCAAGTTGACGGTCAATGATCTTGTTCGCGGTCACTTTTCTTCCAAGGATGGTAAGATTCTTGTGAAGCATGAAATTCTCTCCGGTGGTGTGGCTGGTGCTTGTCAAGTTGTAAGTTGATATCTATTCCCCAAATTCCAAAGTATACTACTAAACTTTACCCTAGGTCTTCACTAACCCCCTCGAAATTGTCAAAATTCGTCTTCAGATTCAAGGCGAGGTCGCCAAAACTGTCGAAGGCACTCCTCGACGCTCCGCCATGTGGATCGTTCGCAACCTCGGTCTCGTCGGCCTTTATAAAGGTGCATCAGCTTGTCTTCTCCGTGATGTTCCTTTCTCCGCCATCTACTTTCCTACCTATAACCATTTAAAGCGCGACTTCTTTGGCGAAAGTCAAACGAAGAAATTAGGTGTCTTGCAATTATTGACCGCGGGTGCCATTGCGGGTATGCCGGCCGCCTACCTAACTACTCCTTGTGATGTCATCAAAACTAGATTACAAGTCGAGGCCAAAAAGGGTGAATCTCAATACACATCTTTGCGCCACGCCGCAAAAACCATTCTCAAAGAAGAAGGCTTCAAAGCTTTCTTCAAGGGTGGTCCAGCTCGTATCCTGAGATCTTCCCCTCAATTCGGTTTTACGCTCGCGGCGTATGAAGTTTTGCAGAATGTTCTCCCCATGCCGGGTAAAGCAAAGGATGAATTGCCTCATGTGGGTGTTGGTGCTGGGGTTGGCGCACTACCGGGTCAAGAGGGTCCATTGCATTATCTGAGGAGTAGGAATGCGTTGAAGATTATTTTGGATTTGGATGAGGAGTTTGGGAGGGTTAAGGTTCCCGGGAGGGAAAAGTGGAGGGGGTTGCCTAGGGTGATGGGTGGGGATGGAGGGGGTGCTCAGTAGTTAGAAGTGGGGTATTAGAGGGAAGTAGAGAAAAATTGTGAAAGGGGGGGAGGGGGAGGAGATATGGGAAGAATAGAATAGATTGAGAAGAGAAGAGAAGTGAGAAAAGAGAGCACTGGTTCATTTGATTTGAATTAGATTAGATTGAAAATAGGGGATGACGATAAGGATGGGGATAAAGATGGGATGGTAGATGTAGATATAGATGTAGATATTTAGATATCTGAAATTTGCTTATATATATTCGAGTATGTTTATTTGTTTCATATATTTGTTTTATATATTTGTTTGTGATTGTTTGTGATTGTAAGAGAAAGAGAAAGAGAAAGAGAATGCTGGAAGGTGTGTGTGGGGGAGGGGAGGGGATATATGTGTGTATATGTATATATGTGTATGGTGATGGTGATAGATGGGGTGGGTGAGGAATGGGGTGGGTGGTGAGTGGTTGGGTTGGTGAGTGATAAGGGAAGTGGAGGTGAGGGAAGTGGAGGTGACGGAAGTGGAGGTGATGGAGGTGGAGGTGAGGGAGGTGGAGGTGATGGATGGATGGGTTGAGATGGGCTGGGCTAGGATGGGTGGATGGGTTGGTGAGTAATGAAGTGGGTGGTAAGTGATAAGTGATGGATGATTAGGTTGAGATAGGCTGGCTGGGCTAAGATGGATGCATGGGTGCATATATATATATATAATAAATAAATGATTAAGTACTCGTACGCGAGTAACAGGAGGATGGAGGGGGGAGGGAGGTGTAAAATATACAGTACGTACTCAGTACCGAGCATAAAATCTTAATACCTATATTTGTATATGAAGGGAAGGGAAGGGAAGAGGAGAGAAGGGGAGAGGAGAAGAGATGAAAGTGCTTTTAATATTTTATAATGTACTCGTATGTACTAGAGTAGTATTGATTAGTTTCGATACTGCTTTACGAGTATTTGTGTGGTGAGTAAGTAAGTAAGTAAGTAGTGATTTCTTGTTGTGGGATATTGGGTGTGTATTGGGTGTGTATTGGTATGAGTGGGTATGAGTGAGTATATCAGGAGTATTAGAAAATAGTAGGACGATATTAGGAGGAGGATATTGGGAAGGATGAATGTAATAAAAGTATATTATGTATTATGTAAGAAGATTGGCAATATATTGGGATGGGTTTATGAGTGAGTATGAGTGAGTACTCGAGTAGGGCTTTTGTTGATTAGATGATACTAGGGATTTATTCAAAGTATATAAGTATATAAGTATAGGTATCTTCTAATTGCTCGTTTTGCGTGTGCTATACTCGAGTACTTTCTCTTATACGGTATTACCCCCCTTTACCCCCCCTCTCACAATGTTGTAGTCGGTAAATTGAAGTAATCGGGAAATTACTAGTAGCGGTTCAAAAGACTATTATTTAACTAGCAATTCGACTATTCTATTATAAACTAAACCAACTACCAATAGTCATTTAAGTTTAATAAAGTAAACTACCAATTGAACTACTCGAGTACCAGTTTTCCATTAATCCACTAATTCAACTAATTAACCAACAATCCGAAAAATAAACCTCAACTACTGATACTGAGTACTAAACTAATTTCAATTCATCACATTCATCAAATTAAACTAATCAATAATTCAGCAATTTACTCGTATATTCATTAAACTAAACCATAACTTTCGTAGTTTCATCAATAATCAATACATTAATCCAACAAAATCACTTACAACAACACTACCCTTCCTTCTCCCCTCTTCCTCCTCCCTCCTCCCATCTATTCTTCACATCCCACCATAACTCCTCCCCGATCCTCCCCTCACACCTTCAATTCCATCCCCATCCACACTCCCCCCAACATCTGCAACACCCCTCTGCAACTCCAAATCTACATCTGCTTTAATCTCATCCACATCTCTTCCGGTAGCCTTACTCAGATCTTCGAAATTCGAGGATTGCGCTATCCGTGATATTTTTTCTTGTTCTGCTTTAGAGGGGCTTGTTAGACCTGGGATTGGGAGGGCTTGTTCTTGTTCTTCTGCAAAATCTACGGATTTGGATTTTTTGTCGACTCGGACGTCTTGGGGTGAAGATGGGGATGGGGATGTAGCTTTTTCTTTAGGGTCGGGGGATGAAGATGAAGATGGATTGGAGATACGGGTGTCGGTAACGCCGTCCCAGATTCCGATTCGTGAGTTCGGTTTTATACCCATGGTTTTGCGAAGGAGGTAGATGGTGGACCAGTAGAGGAAGAGGAGGGTTAGGACGGTGGCGATGACTAGAATGAGAGGGAGGGAGAGGGTTAGTGAGGGGAGAGGAAGGGGAGAGCGAAGGGTAGAGTGGAAGGGGGGGAGGGAAAAGAGAGGAAGATGAGCACGATGGGAAAGAAAGGGAGGAGAGGAGAGGATAGGAGGAAAGATGCTACGTACAGATTGCAAGGAGTGTAGATGTAAAATCGAGCAGATTTTGCAAATGTTGGAGGACTGTTCAGTTAGAATATTGGTTAGTTATCATAACCATTAGTCACAGAAAGTTCGAGACAAAAATTGATAAAGAGGTACTCGAGTACAACAAATCCCCTTAAAAATGAGATAGAGATTAAAAAAGAGGATAAAAGAAAGCAAAGCATATGTAGCGTACCAGAAAGTGTAGTAGCAGACGGTGGAGGAAGTGAAGGGATAGAAGTAGCGGTCTGCAGGAGTGGGGATGGAGAGGGGGTGTTGAGTGAGACGTGCGAGGGGCTGAGGGACTGAGAGGCTGTGTGGCGGGTTGTGGGGGTGGGGGTTGAGATGGGGGTTGAGGAGGAGAGGAGAGAGGAGGATGAGGACATTTTGTTTTGGGTGATGGGTGATGGGTTATGGGCGATGGGTGATAGGTGATGGGTGATGGGAAGTGGTTGGCTGGTTGGTGGATGTTTGATGATGTGGTGGGATAGCTGGTTAGATGATAGGACTTGAGTATGCGCTGACGGATTCGATTGATTACTCGAGTAGAGTAGATAGATTAGTTATATCGAATCCAATTAAAACAAAGCACCGAAGTTTCCCTTTCGTATAGTGTTCAGTGTTTAGTATTTAGTATCTAGTATCTAGTATCTAGAAAGTAAGAGAGATGAGATGAAATGATACTCTACTCTATTCCCAAACTAAATCAAATCAAATCAAATCAAAGAAAAATCGAGAGGAATGAGATGAGCTAGGTTACTAATCTTAATGCGGGGATGCATCATATGTTGTATGTATGTCATGAGTGCAGATGGACAAAGAAATAAAAAGATCAAGAAATAAAGTATGGTGCGGGGGTTTATTGAGTGTTGGAGGGTTTGAGTTGTGTGGTTTGTTTGTTTGTCTTTTATTCATATGTATATTTATATTGCTGATAGGAGTTAGGATTGTGGGTAGATATACTAGACAGACAGACAGTCATATGATATTCTAGATTCTTCTAGCTACCGGTATGCCAAGTTTTGGGTAGATGTGCAACAAAAGCAAAAATGTTTGGAGTGAGAATTGAGCTGTGTTGGATTGGATTGGATTTGAGTGGGAAGATGAAGATGAAGATAAAGGTGAAATCTTGATGTATGTAAAAATTTCAAATTGGAGTTATTGATGTGAGTGTTTGATTTGATTTCAAGTGTCGGAATACCATGCCATGTATCTGATACAGTATTTGTATTTAGCAATTATCAGTGTGCATTCACTGTACATACCAATCTAAAACTAACTAACTACATCCCTAGTTTAAGCTTAGAGTCCATCAAGTCTGGTACATACATGTCTTGAAAATTGAAATTCAAGTTATTCATCCCTCACTCCCTAGTATCCATATCCTCAAACCTAGGAAATTCCTCCACCTCCCCATTCCTCAACAAAATTCTCGCCGCCTCTCTTGCTCTTGCTTGTTCCTCATCCCAATATCCTGCCTTCTTCCCAATATCCGCTCTCCTTTCTAATTTCTCAAGTTCTTCTTGTAGTTCCTTGGGATCTTGTATCAAGACTTCGTCTTCGATCCATTCTTCAATCTTTGCATCCGTATCTTTCTCAGCTTCACCTTGTGATTTAGATTTTACATCTTCCGACATGTCAGTTCCATAATCCATCTTTCCCACCCCCCTCTTCCACGCTACCCTTCGCATCGCTTCGCGCATTTGTAATTTTTCTTTTTCGCCAACTTCATTTCTTTCGCGTAATCTTTCGGTTCGGGCTTCGGCATATTTTCGTCGTAGTTCTCGACGTTCTTCGTAGACTATCGAAACTTTTTTCTTGAGGATCGTAGGAAATTGGTTCCCGAGGTAGTAGAGGAGGGATGTGAGACCGGTGAGGTTGGAGAGGAAACGGATGGTGTAAAGGAGGTAGGTTACGATGATGAGGGCGATGAAGAGGAGGATGGCGAGGAGGTGGATGAGGGTGTGTGTTAGGGTTGAGAGGGGGAGGTATAGGATTTTAGTGAGCATGATGGGAGACTGGGGAGGACGAAGGTCGATGTGAATGTGGATTGAGATGGGGGAGACTTCGTAAAGGGTTTCGGGGTGGAGGTAAGTTATCATGGATTGTGATGAATGCCAGATGAAGCTACTGGGCGGATACAATTGATTGCTAGTGTATTATGAGTAGCACTGAGATTGTGCCGAGTATTTAGACTAGCAGATAAATCCACACAATTGCTTCAACTATCTCAGTAAAAAATAGACAAAGCAGACTAAGAGATTCGGCTTTTGAGACGACGAATAGTTTGAAATACTAATCAGACTGGTATAAATGTACACCAAGAAGTCATTCATCATAAATCAGCACGATACCTCAATAATATATAGCAGGGAAGATCAAATGGTAATGATGTTTGCAGACAAAGAAACAAACTTCCGCAACCAGCCACAGGGCTTCCTGCGCAAGAATTCCGAAAACGGAAAGGTGGTTTTGGGCTTCTTATTGTTTCATTGTTCGCAACTTTGCTAAAATGTGAAAAATGGAAACTCTTGCCATTTATAGCCTGATATTTGTATATTTACGGAAAGATGTAGAGAAAGATTTGTTATATAGATGAAGATTGAATTTGTGGTTTGTGGTTTAAAGAGAGGAAAGGAAAGGAGGTAGGAAATGAGAGGAGTCAGTGCTTAGGTAATAAGATAAGCGAGTCAGCTAAGTATCATTTTGCTTATATACATTGTTTATATACCTGCAGATTTGTGATGTGTATGTTTGATTGAATCTTTGCAAAAAGTCAGTATGTCAAATCACGTGATACTACTCTCACATTCTCTTTTGGGAACTGTAGCAGATCAAAGTATATACTAACTGGTACACTGTATCATTTGAGAGTCCCTTACTGATGATTTCCAAGAAGGATCTCTGATGCGAGATGTATCAGGGTCTTAACCATAAGCTAATATCCCTGTTCAAAAATATACACACCGGTACTCGAGTACATCATTCCCATCCTTCAATATCAGACTGAAGCTATATTGACACTTAAACAAGTCTTCAAAACAATAAACACTACCATTTAGACCGCGGGTATACCGAGGCGAGGAATGACTAGATCTTGACGACTAAGGTTTATGGATTTATGGGTACTTGTTTGTCACCACAAACCTCACCAGTACTCTCATCCCATGTCTCTCATCCTATCTCTTTCATCTCATGTCTCTCCCCAATAACATTGATTCTCCACACCCAAAAAAAATACACTTCAAGAACCAAAATAGCAAAACTCTAGGCGCGACGCCTTGGAATCCCAATGAACCGACGTTGCATCTTGAATCTCTTCATTCAAGTAAAGATGAAGAGATTCAAGATGCAACGTCGTCACTGTCCGAAGCCCTGACAATGCTAAGTAGAAAGGCGGACAAACATTCTCGGGAATGATGAATTCTACCGCTGCGCCATCGAGGCGTGTGGGTGCTTGAAAGTTTGTTGTGATATTGGGGGTTATATATAAGGGCCAACTACCTCTGAGAGTCTGTTACGGGGATGCAAAGTGCTTCTGCCAAACTTGGAACTCAAGCTTATACTGCTTTAGTTGACCGATCGAACGTGATATCACTGATGAACTTCGTCCATTGATAAGAGCGATACAGGCCTCCCTTCAATACTGTGTCGAGCTACAATTTTCACGACTCATGGTTGATGTATGGGTGAGTCCGATTGGAGCGGATTAATTAGAATCCAATGCGATGTAAATCCTACTCTGAAACCATGGTATACCGTATCAATGGAAGGTAACTTAGATTCTGAGAAAGTACTCTACATTTTCGAATACCTTTTCGGTAAACAACTGTTTCGTATCGATTTACACACATCACTTCGGTATTGAAAACATACTCGCCATTGACAAGAAGAATTGCTGACTTCAAAAAGATTGTTTGTGCAGCGAAAGTCGAACTTTTGATTACTATCATTTACTCTCACTCTGAGTCACTCGTAGATATGCGTGGCAGTTAGAACCGAGAGTCATGACCTGGCAGCAAAAGCGCATGATGTCGATATTGGAATCATGTACTGATTTACTTGTTTGCTGGCTAACTGATGAACTGATATACTGGACTTGACTTTGGAGCCAGTCTGGGGTCTTCCCAGGTGAGTTTTACTACATGGCATCATGTTTTGCAATGGCCACAATTCACTTCGCCGAGATGGTGATGGTTCATCAAATTGTGGTCTGAGTCATGTGGTACTTCTTTTCCTCCCCCTCTATCCAGTTCTCAGTCTTCTTCAACAATGCCCAGCTTGCCCATCTTTATTACCTTCGAACAACTCACCTGCATGGTACCCTGAGCATCTGCAAGACTTTCATATTCAAAAGGTGGGCGGAATTGAAATATGATTAGCCTAAAAGCACCAGGAGATAGAGTTGACCTTTTCTATAGTGAATCGAAATGGAGATACACTCAAATAAAATTGTGCCTCCCACCATCGAATCATCAAATGGTAGCCCGATCATCAATTCTACTTTCATTGCCAATACCCAGCAACAAGATAATGTCTCCCTGGAACTGAACGATATGCCAATCAATTACAACTCGGGACGTATACACGCAATTAGAGATTCCTGTACAGAATTATCAGTCGAGAATTCGAACACCGCCAATTGTATCGACGTAATATCAGTAACGATAACTAAACAGCAACCAGGCATGGTATCACCATTCTTCAAAAGGATTCCTCTGGAGGTACGCAATGAGATATACAAACTTCTATTGGTAAATTCAATCCTTGGGACAAGCGAATCTGTAGGCTATCACCAATTTGGGAGAAGCTCGACGGTCACGCCGCCTCAATATGATTTGGAACCACAAATCCTTCGCGTTTCCCACGCCATGTATCAAGAGGCATCTGTGATTTTGTATGGCTCAAACTCATTCTATATCGCTTGCTGTAACTACAAAATGCGGGATAAGTTCCAACAAATATCAACATGTCAATAGTTTCATGGAAATGACGCCTATAACTAGACATTACAAGAAGATTGCGCCAAACTACTTTCATTTATATCAACATCCTGCAATAACAAAGGTTAGACACGGGAAAGTTGTTGTTAGTTCCTTGAAGGAGAAACTTGTCGACGGCGGTAGGTCCTACTTTGCATATAGGAGGTGGGCTATGGGACACTTTTGTGAAGGTATCTCAAGAGCATAAAACATAACACTCGACATAGCACTGGCACCAATTGGGCTAGAGAAACCGTACCGATTCAATTATGGCTCTCGAACAAGTAAGGAGATATGTTCTTACATAAACAATGAGGTTCTGTTGGCACCCTTACGCATGCTTCGAGGCGTTCAACGTGTGGAGTTTCGATACGCGATTTACGACGAGCTACCACCAGTGTATCCTTACAACGAACATTGGCAGCAGCAGCACACGTCTATTCTCCCGGGTCTTGATTTAGAAACTGATCTAAAAACACTTATGATGAGCAATTCGCCCGCAGAGCGTCTGGGCGACATGTATGAACGGCTGATCAACTACGCCGAGGCTTTCGAATTTATTCAGAAGCTCAAAGTTGATATGAGATATGGAGAGTATAGCTTGATTTATGAGGCATTGGAAAGCCAAAGGCAAGGTCCTTATGGCGTATTTGAGATTCCGATAAGTCAACATATAGGAAATTTACGCGTTTTGTATGGACCCGAGCGCCACCCTGTTGAGGAAGCTCTGCATTGTGCAAAAAAGGCTTGGATTAAGAAATATGATGGAGTTGCTTTCAAGATAGAACGAGCCAAGGTTGTGAAGTATTTAGAAAGACAATACCAGCGTGCAGCTTTCGCAGCTATGGATGTAGCTGAATTTGTCAAGTCACAGAAGAGGGAATATTATTTTCTAAACGCCTTTCCCCTCCACAACTGGAGAGAATACGGAAACGGACTAGACCGTAATTCGGCTACAGGTGTTGTCCTCCTAGAATCCTACGAAAAAGCGCTTCAAAGGGATATATCTTTCACCGAAAGAGTCAAGCAACGCTGTTGTGCATACGAAAACGCCCCCTTCTACAGCGCACTCCCAAGGAATATCTTGATCAAACAAACCAATGATGCGTTCGACGCACGAAATTACCAACAATGTGCAGATACGTTTAAGAAAGCAGTGGACGATATGGATACTCAATATCTTCAAATACGCAAAGCCCGCAAGGCTCTCTTTGAAGCTGACATCACTCCTGATGCCAGCTGCAATATCGATCTGGAGCTTTGGCGTGTCGATGAAATGATTGATTGGAGTGTCAACGAACCGGAAATGTATCCTGCGAGTAAACCCATGGAGTGAGACGTTAGAATCGGGTCACGATGAAGATTTTTGCCTGGATGGGTGGAGATGGTGAGGGGAGATGATGATATGTTAGGTATTATTATCTATGCAAATACGATGCCTTTTACAATAACTGTTCAACGTCTCCGCGGAATAGAAAGTTGATCTCTGTTTGACACTATATCACCTGGGAAAAATCGCGACATTCTCGACTGTGATAAGAACAGAGAATGAAATTCCAAGCTTAATTAATAATAACAAAAGAATAACAACTATGAGAACACAGAATCTGTTGAGAAGAACATTCTAATAGACCGGTAAGTATTAGTTGGGATAAGTTGTGACAAAAGTAGTGTTACAGCGTCGCCTAAGCGCGCATGAGACTCTTTAATAACTATCTCATAGTGTTCGAGTTCTCTCAAGTACTCAATTCAACCAATCAACTTCTTCAATTACCCCTTCCCTTCCTCCTTTCTAGTCTTTCTTTTCCCCTTTAAAACCCTTTTTTTTTCAATACTCTTCCATCCCCTTCCTGCCTTCTCTTTCCTAACTTCACTAACCCTCTTCTATTCCTTCCTTCTTCTCCTTTCCTCAATACTATTTCTTCCCTCTTTCCCGTTTCCCCTTTCTTATTTCACTATCTTCTCCTCTGCCTTCCCCCTTTCCTCTTCTTTTCCCTTTTCTTTATTCTTTTCAGTTATTCTTTTAAAAACATTTCGAAAAACATTTCTAAAAACATTTTTATCCGTAACTGCTACCGCCATAGAAAGTTGTGCTTGGAAGGCCGAAGCCATCAAAACTTGGATAACAGTAGATGCTTTCATCTTTGAGGAGAATGAATGTATAATATCGAGGATAGAATTCGTGAAGAGAACGACTTCCGAAAGAAACAAAAAGAGCATATTTATAATCAAGATAGAACCGAGGTTTGTGAGAAACAGGGGGCTCGATTGTAATTTCCGTCGGCTAAAATTGATGAATGACATTCGATTTAACCGCCAAAGAATGCTGTTCTTGAAACCAAATTTCCTCCAACATACAACAATCGCATATTTTTGTCTCAAACAGGACAAATTAGGCATTGAATTTGAGGTTAGAAAAGCCAAAAGGCGGGGATCCACCGAGTCTCCAGCATCCGCAGGTCCATTCTGAAGATTTAGGATGAGGGCAGGGGGGCGAGCTGGTTTCCACGGAAATTTGGAAGCTTCTCAGTAACGTTAAAGTGATATATGGCTGGGCTTCAAATGGGCCAGTTACACCCACACACATCTTTTATTGATGCTCTTCTGTATAGTATGCGAAAAAACCTTCCACTCATACTGGATGGTACAGATGGACACTTAGACATCTCTCGTGACTTTTGTTGAGGAATGAATGTTCTCTTTTCTTAATGAACTAGTAGCTTAAACCGATACAAGGTATGAAATCCGCTACAAATGTGAATGAGAGCACTTGCACTTGCATCGTTATTGGCAGATTATTAATACCAACGTTTTCACAACTACTGATGTGCAAATCAAATCATTTTGAAAATACATACCGGACAAAAGAAGGAGTGATGAGGTTGGTTGTTTAAGGGTTGGTGAAGAGAAGTTAGAGTAGAAGAGGGGTTCCTGCTGACTAAGCTATAATTTACTTTGATACATATATGGTCAGTGCGTCATCACTTACCAAAAAAAAAGAAAAGTCGGGCCCCACTAACTTTGAACTTTTGAAGCTTCTCAACTTCTCAAAATCTTATCGCGAATCATAGAATTTTGGTTTTTGTAATCTTTCATATCTACTTCATCCTCTCCAGATATTTTACATATACATACTATTTCTAATGCGGTGACAACGATATTGCTAAGATTTCTCAATTTAGATCATCAGGGTGATAAAAGATGCCACCAAAAGCAGAGAGAGGAGCTACCTCGCGGGGTAGACCTCGAGGAAGAGGAAGAGGAATTGCCATCGAAGCTGTTGAAACGCCAGAACTCATTGGTGTTCTTGAACAATCTACCCAACCTACCCAATCTACCCAATCTCCTGCGCCAGTTGAACCAGTTGCACCAGTTGCGCCGATGACACAATCTGCGGGCATCATTACCCCAAAAGTCGAACCCAATGACGACGCATTTGATCCAAATACCTCACCTGCCACAATGCCTGCCGAGACACCCGCGACTACCCCTGCGAAACCCCCTCCAAGAACGGAAAGTGCGATCATAAGGGGACGTGGTGGGGCAAGTACGAGGGCACGAGGAGAATCTACTGGAAGAGCTAGATTTAAGCCTAAGAATATTAGAAGAGATCAAGCAGACAGAGAAAGATTGGAGCAGGAGGAGAGAGATAGAAAATCGGCGAATCAGGCACAAGCGGAAAAAGAAGCACGCAGGGCTCAGAGAGGACGGGGACAGGTTGGAAGAGGTAGAGGTGATGCGATGGGTCAAAATCGTGGGGCAGGAAGAGGAGATCCAATTTCGAGTGCTACTGGTATCTTCAGTGTTGCGCCAGCTGCAATGGGTAAGTTAATTGTAGATTATTTGTCGATTTTGCTGACATCTATCTAGATAGAAAGGGAGGTATGGGTGGGTTCGCTATCGCGACGGCAAGAGGCAGCGGAGGAGGCGGAGGTGGTGGAAGTGGAGGCTTTGGAGGCGGTGGTGGAGGAGGAGGTGGAGGTGGAGGTGGAGGAGGAGGAGGCGGAGGAGGATCTGGATCAGGAATTGGAGGAGGAGGAGGAGTGAATGTGCTCTCTGCAGAAAACTCGGCCACGTTCGACCCAGAATATCCCGACGAAGGTGATGGACAAGTGAGGAAAGTCAATATTGAAATGATTAATTTGGTCGAAGATGATGACGATGACGACATGGTTGGCTCTGGCAGAGGAGGCAAAGTTGGTTTTAAATCGCGATCCCTCGCACCGATCCGAATCAAACGTGAAGAACATAAGGAACGCTCGAATATGATGGTTAGTGATCCGGATCTTGCAGAGGTAGTCAAGAAGCAAGCCGGTAAAGCAGAAGGAAATCAAGCTGGGGAAGATGTTGAGATGACTGTCGACGGAGTAACCTCCACCGGGAGTTCCGACGAGCCGAGAGCAAAAGGTGAACCTGGTCTCGAATCTCCAACTTTGTCAAAATTCCCCGAGTTCAAAGCACCGTCTTCGCCCGAAGAGAAGAAGCCTCCGAAGACGGAGCCTGTTTCTCCGCAACAATCCAAAATACAACGACCTAGTAGAAAGAAGGATAAGATGCCTGTTATACAAACGGAGGAGGACAAATTCGAATATGAACGTTATCTTGAGGATGTGGACATACTTGCCGAAGAACTTCGTCTATTGAGAGGAACTGTGGACACAACACCCAATGATAAAGGCAAAGGAAAGGCGATCGATGCTGATGGAGACGTTGGAATGGACGGAGAAAAAGAAGAAGAATCTCAGCCAGAAGCTAATCATGCAGACGGTCGGATATATATATTCCAATTTCCACCTGTTCTACCTCGACTATTCAACCCTCAAGTCGAGGATCAGGAAGATGCCATCGTGACCCAATCCTCAGAGCAAATCGATCTTACCGATGACAAAGACAAAACAATCAAGAAGGAATCCGAAGAAGTCATCATAAAGGCCGAACCCAATCCCACCCCAGAAAACGAGGAGTTGATCAGTGAACAAGGATACATTGGGAAGTTGGTCGTAAGGAAGAGTGGTAAGGTAGAATTAGATTGGGGTGGCACAAGTATGGCAGTAGGTCGTGGTGTTCCAGCTGCTTTCTTGAGTCAAATCGTTCTTGCCGAGGATCCTAAGGGTGAGGCGCCAGAAGGTGTCGCGACAGGATTGGGGAAGGTGATGGGTAAGTTTATCGTTACTCCTGATTGGGAAAAGATTTTCTAGAGTTAAAGGGGGGGGGTGGGGGGAAAAGTATCAAGGGACACGAACGGGATATTTCTTGCATAGCTCTGGCGTTGGGTGTTCTCAAAATGGTGTACATGGGCATTCATCTTTCACGATGATTCTAGGTATATACCAATGAATAATAACGCATTACATATGCCGGCACTTGCTATTATGCCATGAGTCTACATTCTCTGGTGCGCATTAATCGAATAATTCATCTAATCGAGATCGGAGCCCCGAAATTGAATGCTTAGTTCTGCCGGAGTTGGCCAAACCTTTTCCGTAAGAAGTATCTTCTCAAAATAGATAGACTCATGGATGGATCGTTGAATGGACGCAGTACCAGGAATTTGATTCTACTAGTACTCTCTCCAGCCCTTGGTGTTTCAAAGAGAAGCCCAATGATAAGCAAGTGTCACAGCTAAGTTACCGATAAGGTAAACCTTACTCTCGGTTCCTTTTCATCAGACCGAAGTCCGAACCCTTTCATCACCTATATTCTCTATTTTCTTCCTTCTTCGTGGTAATATTGCCGTACACAGATCCCGAGGTTCTGTCTAGACTCTTAGTCCCCAGAAGTGGATGGAAATGTCCCCGCGTCCCCACAATTTGGGTGGTGTTTCACCCCGCCATTTTGAGCGCGTCCACTTTCGTCCACATAACCAGCCAGCCAGCCATATGCTCTCCTCGATAATATAATGCTGTTGTAAATGCCTTTGTTTATTTGTATTTACTATTTATTATTTACTATATGTGTGTACATATATTGTTTACTGGTTTCCTGTCCCTATTACTGCAATCTTATCTTTTTCTCTATCTTTGAATACGCATCCTGTGTAAGAAGTATACCATATCGTTCTCGCAATCCTTCGCCGAAACCTTGAGCTACTGCGGGGTAAACGTGACACAAGCAAAGGCACTGTAACATCATTACTCAGAAGGATACCAAAACGTTGAAAGTTCGCAGAACTAAGTCCGAAGAACATACCATGCCTCTCCGCGTCTTAGTAGTTGGAGCCGGATTAGCCGGGCTAGCGGCAGCACTATCTACCAAACTCGCGAATCCATCGCACGAAGTTACGATTTTAGAAACGGTATCGGAATTAGCGGAAGTAGGAGTAAGAAACAAACAATCTCAACTCATGAAATATGAAATATCACTCTGCAAAGCTCTACTAAAACGATGATATAGGCAGGACTACAAATTACACCCAATGCCTCGCGACTTTTCAAGATTTGGGGTATTTACAATGACCTCGCTGCGAAAGCTACTTTCCCGAAAACCCTCTCGGTATGGCGATACGATGGCACGAAACGCTTAGCGCATTCTCCAGATTTCCAAGAGAAGATCGATGAGAGATACGGAGCTCCTTTTTGGGGAATGCATCGAGTAGATTTACAACGCGCATTAAGCGCTAAATGTGACGAGCTAGGCGTTACCATTCGCTTATCGTCGAGAGTCCAGAGCGTCGATTTCGAAAATACAATCATAATACTCGAGGGAGGAAAATTGGTAGAAGGAGATGTCATACTTTGCACAGATGGAATATATTCGGCTACCAGATCTCAATTTTTAGGTCACTCGTGTCCGGCATCTCCAACCGGAGATCTCGCATATAGAATTGTCATTGATAAAACTACACTAAGCGGCCCAGATGCCGAGAAACTCACTGCGTTTATTGATTCCCACTCGGTCAACTTTTGGGCAGGTCCAAATACACATGTAGTATCCTACACGATGCGCGGTGGCGATCTATTCAACATCGTGCTACTCTGCCCTGACAATCTCCCACCGGGCCTTTCGCGCTCCACAGGAGATATCGAGGAAATGAAAGGATTATTCGAAGGCTGGGATCCCATTCTCCGCGCGTTCCTCGCACAAGTCAAGGAAGTTGAAGTTGCCAAGTGGAGATTAAAGCATCTAGAAACGCTCTCGCGCTGGACTAGCAAACGGGGTAATTTCTGGATGGCCGGTGATGCATGTCACCCCATGCTTCCCTATCTAGCCCAAGGTGCCAATTCGAGTTTAGAAGATGGAGCTGTGATGGGCTTTTTATTGGGGAAGGTGGGGAAGGTAAATGGAGATACTGGTGCGAAAGAGGAACAGCTGGGGAAAGCAGCAAAGATGTATGAGGGATTGAGGAAAGGGAGGGGAGAACGTATTGCGAGGGAGACGTGGGGGCAGAGGGAAAGCTTTCATTTGGTGGAGGGAGAGGCGCAGGTTAGGAGGGATGAGATTTTGGAGGCGGGGCCGAGGGAGGGAGGGGGGTTTCCGAGTCGCTGGCAGGATTTTGGAGGCGTGCAGGGTTGGTTGTATGGGTATGATGCGTATGGAGAGGCGGAGAGGGGGTTTGAGATGGCGCCTTTTTAGATGGGGGAGGGGGGTTAACATATTGGAGGTTTGGTGTTGTGTTCATTAGATGGATTAATATATTTATATAAAGTAACGAAATGTTTATATACTTAGAAATCGTTTTAATTTACAGGTCCAATTTATACAGACTTAGTTCGCAGGCATAAGATAAAACATATTAACTACTCAGACCCAATGTGAATATCGATGATGATTTGAGTATAGTATAATATAGACTCTACTAGATGAAGTAATAATATAGACAGAATCCTCAACCCCTTTCTATCGAAAACAGGGTATTCCTAATTCAAAGCGCATTTAAGATGTGATTTCGGGCTCAGCAATATCGCCGAGCGGATGTGCCAGCGTGTGTGATGCCACCGGTCGCGCTATCCATAATGTGATGTCATCAATCGACGCCATTGAATTCATAAGTCTGCTGTCTCCATGTCTTGAGAGTGCGACCTCAGAACCAGTTCTGGAGGAGCCCGCCCCCGCAACATGAAACTTCTAGTTGCTGTGCAATTCGACCACACACATGCGGTTTCTATGCTGGCGAACGTGAACGGTGTTACGCGATCGTTACGCGATGCGCTGACGCGCACAGGCCTACCGCATCTCTCTACGTGCGCGCCATAATCACTGTACACGTCCGGCATAGTCTATGTGCTGGGGTATCCAATGTTGTCCCACAATGTGACCAGGTTCCTAGACAGGATCACGCTCTTAAAACGAGGCGTCTCCGTCTCCGGGATGATGCTTCCCATCAGAGCCAACAGCTCCCACATAGAGGCCGCGTCCTTACTGCTTAACCCGTTTATATTTGCGGGCTTATATCCATGTCCAACGCACGATGCGCATACCAGCAGGCATTCAACTGTCATGAACTTATTCTTGTCATTCTTGAGTTTATGCTCAAGGTATTTTGAAAACTTAGCAAGATTGTTCAATATATTGTAAGCATGACCAGAAAAAACTATAGCCTCACTAGTTCATGCAAAATTGGTATGTATTGGATACCACCACAGTGTCGCCGCCGTCCTCACCCAGCAGAGCAGACGCTGTAACGCCCGGATGTTTAACACCATCGGCGTCCAACGCAGCCAACGCAGCAGTCGTGACAGTGTGTGCCGCCGTGCGTGACTGAACATCTGTGGATATGTCGTCATAGTACGCGTCACAATATGCGCGCCTGCGTTGCGGCGCGGGGTGCTGTCATAGGTAGTGCTTGTATTCCTGCACGTACTGCTGCGGAGGGTGATGCTGAGTTTGCACGAGCCTGCAATGCAGCAAGCTTAGCGACCCGCTTCGACTCGAGAGGAGAGGACGCGGTTGAGACAGAGAACGCGTCACTCTGCTTGCGTTGCGGCGGCGCAGCGTCGCTCACGACCGATGGTGTTTGTGTACGACGTGGCGTGGATGGCGTGCCGGTGGAGTCTGCATCAGAACGATTAAGCCCCGGCGCTGTGAATTTCACAACTTCGGTAGATACTGCGGGCGTGGAGTTTTCTTGTACATTGACAGCAGCGGTGACAACTTTCTCAGCGGCGGCGAGACGAGCAGCATTGCGATACTCACTTCGCATAAACAGTGGTGTCTTATTCGCCAACGATATCTGAGACGACACATCAGACGTATCTTCCTTGATATTGTTCGACCGTATCAGGGCTTGCCTGTAGTTAGGTCTCGACGTCTCCTCCGACGCACTCAGCTTACCCCTATCCTGGCTCACCCCGATATTGACAAAGAAGTCAACATTCCTGGTGGACTACGAAAATCTCATCAATGACAACAACAACACACTCATTACCTCCAGTACCATGTCTTTTTCAACAACAGGAGAATCCTCGTCCTTCAATAACACAACAAACTCTTTTATTACACCACCAATTTTGCTAGCCTCCGCGTCCATTACTTCCAGGTTCCCGGATAGAATCTTTCGCTCCCTGGCCTGCATTTCGCTAGCCATAATTACCTTGGCCAATGCTCTAGAGAACGCTGATACGTTGAATGTATATATTAACAACGTATCGCTTCTACATCGGGCAACTGCCACTGGGTGGATCGCATCTCTAACCACAACTTTTATTTTGCTTCGGTTTACAAAGGATCTCAACTTCAAAGCCGTATCTTTAGCAACGTTACCAAATGCAAATACGTCTACTGAGCTACTGCCCTGCTGCTCGCTGCGTGCAATAACAGCGCTAAGGAACCGGACCGTTAACATTGTTTCTTTGTTCATATAGGAACTACGTGTAATAGAGAAACACCCACAATTAACCAAAAGCACTCCTTCGTGTATATATTCGTATCTGTGTATAAACCACGCATTCACGTCCATATAACTCAATATCGACACATTGCTAATATCGTGCAACAGCACATCAACGGTCGCGGGTGTCTCCTGAAACGTGCCTTCCGTGAGAACCGGATCGTACAACATTGCCACTGCACGCTCCGGGTATATGTTCCGTGCATAGGGGGACTGACCCATTATTATGCACGTAACAGGTACGTTCAACGGCAGGTTAAGTACGTACAACGAGAACGCTGTGAAATAATGTGATTGTACGTCCATGACGTTGTCTAGCTGCATGCTTAATCGGTGCAACGACTCGACCAATTTGAGCGCTTCTTTATGCGTGTCGATAAACCTACCCATAGTGTCGTTGCTGGAGTGAGTAGCGTATGCAACGATGACGTTGCACGGTGTCTCAACCATGGTTTATCCGTCGAAGGCCAATTGAAAGACATACTTCATGGAAATTGTCAAATGGTATTTATGTAGGTAGTAGTAGTATTAATTTACATCAGGAGGGCAGCTTATGGCTGTCCTCAGAACCTCCCTAGGGGTATGCTGATGTTCTAAGCTATGGTCTTACGATACATGAAATGAGAGTGCCTTAGAAAGAAAAGTGAAAGCCTTACGGCCATTCCCGGTAATCGTGTGTTACCTTCCAATTTGTGCATTTCCTCCTCCGCCGGTTGAGGTGGTCCTGCTGTTTTGCCTGGTGTAGGCGGTTGTGCCCATGTTGTGGGCTTGCCGTTGCATGAGCTGGGCGATTCAGTGGGCTACTTCTAGGTGTAGCAATGTAGAATGTTTGTTGTGCTCCTGGGAGCGTTCTCAGGCGTGCTTTCGCATGTCTTGTTGGTGTTTATCAGGGTTCTTAGGTCCTGACAATATTTGTTGTTTCCCTGCATACGCTCTGCAGGGGGAGTTGTGGCTTCGTTTGTGTCGTACGTTGCGAGTCGATCCTGGTAGTGGGTGTGAGTTGTCGCGGGTTTTTAGGCTTGGTCGTAGATTGCGGGCTTGTAACCCTCTACCTCGGGCATATGTTTTCGTAGAACTTTGTTAGCTTTAGAAGCTCGGCAAAGTCCGTGGGGTTGCTTAGGACATGATGTAGGTATTGGATTCCTTCTGCCTTTGTCGATGGTGGGGCGGGGGGCTTGTTTGGCCATTGTTCGAAGGTGCCTCTTACCTTCCGGCAGTGTACCAGATGATCAGGTGTCTTGGGCCTTCCGCAGGAGCATTCCGTATCTCCTGCGTAATTAAATTTCCTGTGATACCATCCAAAGTCCCCGTGTGAGGTTCGAATGGCTATCAGTCTGTATAGAACTACTTGTGGGAGTAGGAGTTCTGGCAGTGGTTTGACCTTATATACTGGGTTCCACTGTTTGTACCACTCTGAGAGAGCGAGTTTGCTGGAGATCCACCATTGCTAGCGGGCCGCTTCCCTGAGGTTGTGTGCAATCGATCGCACCCTACTGTAGATGGGCTGGGACACTGTTCCGATGTTCTACCGGGGTTTCTTAGCGCCAAGATCCGCAAGGTAATCAGCCGCCTCGTTTCCTTCGATATTTTCATATCCCAGTGACCACTTGACATAAATGTCGTTTTCCTTTATAGCTCTGTAGCAGTTGTTGAACACTCATTGTGATGATATAGAAGCGTTGACTCTCATGCCCCAGATAACCAAGGCGCTGTCAATACACATCCAGATTTTCTGGTTAGTGTACCTGGTGTCCTTGAGGATGCGTTCCAAGCCTGTCCATGCTCCGATGGCCTCCGCGTCGAAGACGTGGGATTGGGTGTTGATGGAACCGGTGCCTGCTAGTATCTGTTTCTTGCCTAGATATGTTACATATCCGTAACCCACTATGTGTTTTCCCTTCACGTGATTTTCCGATCTGTCTGAGAAGATGGTGATGTCCATGTCTGGTAGGTTTTCTTATCAGGTTTGGAAGGCTTTTGCAGCCGTTTTCTTGTCCTGTCCTTCCGTTGGATCGATTCGGTAGCCAGGTGTGTACCTTGGTGGCTCGAGCGTAGACCTCGGGATTAGGGGGACTAGGAGACCAAGTCGTTCGATTTTGGTCTTCGCTCTTTATCTTGAGCCTGTGCCTCGTCCTTTGACGATCATAGGGGGTTCAATCCTTTTCGTGAGCGGGTGGATCTCGTCTACGCTTTGTAGATGTAGGGCAAACCTCAATTTGACTTCCTCGAAGGCTGCCATGGCTAAGGGAAGTCCTGCTTCGCGGTAGAGGGCAGTCACCGACGTAGTTTTCCAGGCCGGGATGACTCCTCGTGTCGCTATCGTGAGAACCTTCTCGATTTGTATCACGTGCCAGCCTAGACAGGCGCTGGACTCCGTTTGTTCTGGTTTGAGTCTTTGCGTGGTCTTGTGTCTTCCTCCGTATCAGGCCTCAGTTCTGTATAGGAGTGAGGGTAGTATGTATATTGTCATTGCCTTGTATATCGAGTGTGCCGGGGGGCCTTGCACGACTTTGGCCAAGCTTCAGATATGCTTTGCCACTGCCCTGGCTTTACTTGTACATTCAATGACATGTCTCCGAAAGTTCATCTTTCGGTCGAACCACACTTCTAGCCACCTCAGTGCTGGACGGGTATTTGCTTCCGTGGCCACTATTGGGTGAATCGTGAGTTCTTCGCTTACTCTGATGGCAAATGCTGTATTGCCATTTCCCATAGAGATATGAATCATTTCTAGCTTCTCTGGGGCGAAAGCGATACAATTGTTCGATTCCCACTTTATGACGTTTTGTATATCTGTGACGAGACGTCTGGTATTTTCTTCCAGGGTTTTGGATGCTTTGTATAGGCATATATCGTCTGTGTATCCGAATCTGAGGGAGGTGTCTTCCAACAGTAGTTCCGCTAGATACAGTATGTAGAGAACTGGTGAAAGGGGAGAGCCTTGAGGGGTTCCGCAGGCTACTGGGTGTTCCTTGGTTGTGGCTTGCTCCAGTTTTACCTTGACTTTTCTTTCTGTTAAAAAGGAGTCGACTAGAAGAAATAGATTTTTGGGCCAGCCTTGTTCCGTTATTCTAGCTAGGAGTTGTCTTTTGAATAATGCGTTGAAGGCTCCTTGTATATCCATAATAACAATGGTTACTTTCTTCCCCGCTGCCAATGCTGTTTCCACATCATGTGTGAAGGATGCTACCAGGTCCATTGCAGAGCGTTTGGGCAGGGCTCCGCTGTGCTGAAGGCTGATAATGCTATGTTTTAGGGCTGTCCAGCCTAGCCGTTTGGCAATTATTCTTTCCAGGCCTTTTCCTATGCAGGAGAGTAGGGCAATAGATCTCCATGACCTTGCGGATGTCATGTCTCTTTTGCCGGTTTTGGGTAGCATGGCCACTTCGGCTAATTTCCAGGTTTTCGGGAAGTGACTGTGTTCAAGGCACTTCTGGTAGAGCTGTCTTAGTGGGCCTTTGAGATGGTCCCAGCAGGCTTTGAGAATCCTGACTGTAACTCGATCGGTTCTTGGTGATGTACTGGATACTCCAATGATACTTGCTTCGACTTCTTCCATTGTAAGCCGAGAGTTCCAGGGTAGGTATCTGCTTCCTTCCTACTGGTCTCCCAGTGGGTCGTATTCCAGGTCATCTTCTGCACTGAAGCAGTCCAGGATCTCTGTTCTGAGTATTTCGGCTTTTTCCATCGTGTCTTCTATCACTACTCTGTTTGAGATGATTGGGGGGCTCTTGAGGTTCGGGGCGAGCTTGTGCCAGCCGACTATTTTGTATAGATCCTTGTCACTAGAGATGTCATCTATGATATGTCTCCAGTAGTTGTGTTTGGTCGCTTTAACCGTTGTTTTGAATTCCTTTGTTGCCGTAGTGGGGGGGTTTCCTGGTGTGGCTTGTCTGCTCAGGTGTTCGGTATAGGCCTTTTTGCATTCCGCCGTCCACCAGGGTACTGCCTTGCCTTTTCCTCTGTCCGTGGTTCCTGCTGCAATCATTGCTTGTTTGATGATTTGTATGAGTTGGTCAACGAAGTCATCTATCCTTTCTGGGGTGTCGAGGGTGTTGTTTGTAGGCAAATACATCACTCCGTTTGCCACCAGCCCCGCTAGTCGCAATAGTTCCGTTTCCGGGATACAGATGTTGTGTTGGTCTAGAGGCTTGATCCCTCTGCTAGGTATTGTTGTTACCAGGGTGTAGTGATCCGAGCTACTGTGAAGGTCGTGCCGGACCCTGGTTTCTGCAAAGGGTATGTTGGAGAATGAAAGGTCAAGTATATTTCCTTCTGTATAGGTGGATGCTCCTCTTTCTCCAATGTATTCTAGTTCAGCTAGATCTGCCTAGGCTGCTAGCTCGTTCCCTCCGTGGAGGTTTTCCGATCCAGATTGCCATGTTTCGTGTATAGCATTGAAGTCGCCTCCAATGAGACACCCTAGAGGCAATTGTAGTTCGGTGATATACGATAGCACCTGTTCTGTTCGTGGTTGTCAATACACGTTCAGTATAGGGTGCCCGTTTATGTCTATCCAGAGTATGTCACGATTTTTGATTGGCCGCCTCTGTTGGGTTCGCAGTTTCGCTCCTTTTCTGATATACGTCAGTACTCGGGATCTTTCTGCCTCTCTTTGTTTAGGGGATATTCCTGTCTATGAGTCCACTGGCGCATATAGGGTCCATCCGGGGTGTGTTTTGGTTTTTGTAAGTAGGAATGTGGAGGGTTCCTGTATGCATAAGACATCTGATTTGTTTTCAAATGCCATTTGTAGTAAGGTGTTGTAGGCCTCTGGTATTCTGCCCATGTTCGCCCAGTAGACCGTTAGGTCCCGTATTCTGGGCTGTTGATAACTACGCACATCATCTTGACGTGTCGGGCGTCTACTCATGTGCATTGGGTTGGGGGTTCTCTCTCATTTCAATGTTCTGTTGGCTGTTGGCTAGAACCTCTTCGTTGAGGTTCGTGTTTATTAAAGGTTTCTGTTTTGGTCGGCTTGTTACTGCTGTGCCTCTCTTGAGTTGTGTTGCTGTTGGGCTGTCCCCGCTTTTTTTGTATGCAATGATCTGTTTCCCCCAGCGTTTTAGTGTTGGGGTGGGTGTGGGTATGGGTGTAGCTGTGTCTGGGATAGGCCTTTCCTTAGGGTCGTCCTTTGACTTCTGATTGGCAAGCGTTGCTGCTTCCAATACCAGGGCTGGTTTTCGTATAGCCTTGAGTTGTGGTTTGGTAGGTGCCGTGACTTTACTATCCACTACCTTGGGTGCTGCTGGGCAGTTCTGGTGATTTGCTGCGAAAGGTCCAAAGCAGTTCGTGTATTATGCTTTTGCTGTACAGTTGAATCCTTGTGAGCCTTCGTGTGTGTCTTTTCGGATACCACAGTTTGTACAGTAGGTGAGCCTGGTGTATCTTGTTGGGTTACACCAGTCTTGGTAGTCGGTGTCGTATCTGGTTATAGTGGGTTTTGCCTTAATCTCCCGTACCAGTTCATTGGCATTGAAGAGCCTGAACCTGCGGACTGGTTCGAGGAAGGATACTACCCACATGATTGTGCCATTATGGGGGTTGGCTCCGTGTTTAGAGAGTCTACAGTTGATTGGGGCTTGGCTTGTCTGTACCTATACCTCCGCTTCCACGTGACTTGCAGTGTCGGCTGGGAGTCCATCCAGTGTGCATATCAACGCTGGGACTCCGGGGACTGCGTAGTTGTACCACGTTACCGATTGGTACACTTGTGTGCCTCGACTGATTCGAAGGATGATTTCCTTATTCTCCTGTGTGAGAAATAGTTCGTGGGTTGCTGGGTTCTTTGGCGTGATGGCCCATCCTGTCTTAGTAGCAGATATGGTAGAGACATCCGCTAGTGTTAGGCCCGTGATTATTCCAACGAAAGTGCTTCTTAGTGCGTATAGGGCTGGTCTGCTGATCCGGGCTACAGGGCTGATGGCTATTAGTAGTCTATGGTCCGTGCTCCGGGCAGTTCGTGTCGCTTGTTGTTTGGCGTGTGCATTGTTGGGTGGGGCTTTTGATGGGGTCTCTTGAAGTGTGGGTGGATTCTCTCGGCCTGCTCCGTTTTGATTTGTTTTGGGGGTCTTGAGGATCCCCGTGTATGTTTTAGTGGTTTGTGTTTTTGTAGAAGCTGCGTTTCTTGTTGCTGGTGGTGTATATGATGGGCTCGACGATGAGTTGGGTCCATCGTTGATGGTGAGTGTGAGGATTTCTACGACTCTGGTGCTCAGTTTCCTGGCTGCAGTTCGTTCATCCCCCGCGGCGAAGAAATCAATGTATCTGTCGATTGCATCTACCAGGCCAATCATGACCTTACGCTGAATTCTTTCGGCGTGTTCGTACTCAGCGAGTTTGGTCTTGAAGGCCTTTATCGCTGGGTTGGTGATGTTGGTGTGTGCTTTGTTTCCCAGTTTGAAGACTGGTGGTACCTCGTTGGTGAAGGTACGCTGTCTTCTTTTCGAGCGGTTTTTGAGGTTGGAGGGTGTCTCTGGAGCCTGCGGATTGGTGTGATTCGCATTTTCCAGGTCGATGACCTCGGGCGGCGCTGTGTGAGACGCCATGTTGACTCGTAGAGAGCGGTATGTATTGTATATGATGTTATGACTCCGTAGAGTTTGAATTCAGACCGAAATTCAACTTCTGGCGACCAGAAATTTTTCTTCGGAATATTGTGTTTGGGTGGCCGACGGTTGTGAGGTCTTTCGGTGGAACAGGCGGTCAGTGTACATTGACTCATTGTCGGGCTCTCCAGTCTTGGGGATACAAAACACACATATCGCGAAGGTGAACCAGAGAAAATCAGACGCTCTCAGTTCTTTACCTAATCGGTTCTTCATATCCTTTGGTGGATTCAACCCAGTCCATTCATCTCTTCTATTACCTGATATCCTTCATTTAGTTTTTCCCCTCCCACCTGCCACACATACAGATGATCCATCTCAGCATCAAGCCGACAACTCCTATCCTTCCGCACCACTGTAGTTCACCACCCCATCCCTTCATTGACTATATCCCAAAATCTTCCCTAAATCGGGAAGCAAAACTCCGCATGTTTTTGCTAAGCTTATTAACTTTAATAAGCAAGACGGGGAATAGTCAAGGGATCTTCAACTCAAAAATCAGACCCATGCATTGCTATGATATTGCAACAATGATATTGTGACACTATCTGAGGGTATGCTACCATCTATATGTAATCCCGTCACTCGCAATATGATGACGGATCTTGAATGAATAAGACAGAGACTGTGTCATATGGATGGTGTATTATCCGCCAAACAGACAGATATTCTGTCATCTGTAGACTCCCCGTTGATCAAACCGGATACAGTGGATGAACTTAATTATGACATGGACAAGATAAGACCCAGGTCATCTCATCCTCTTGCAAGAGAGATCTCCGATCTTATCAAGACCAAAAAGGATGTGTATATCTCCCATAGGATGAAGGGACTGGGGATCATCGCAGCCTATGAGATTGCAAAGGATTGGATGCCAGAGAAGAAGTGATATATTTTAAAATCATGAGGTATAGATTGCCATGTCTCCTATTTCTTATTCAATATATTCTCGGTTGCCCATTCAGATGATTCAGAGTGAGATGATCGAAGTTCCTCGTATGCGTCATACTGTATATCCTGGATCTTACGGTCTCTAATATACACCAATACATTCTTGCAGAGTTCATTGTGTATTGTCAAGTCTTCGGCTGAAGTAAAGAGTATCTCAGAGAAGACAGGATCATCTGGTATGGCACTCTTGCACCATTCTGCGAAACTTCTGACATGTGTTGCCTCTTCTACACGTATCTCTTTCGTCTTCGAATCTCCCGTGGGAAGATCAGTAGTGTATTCTGTGCCTGCATCACTTTGTGGTGGCTCAGCAGATGAAACCACTCTGCGAACTCTGCGTACTTTAGGATTACGGACACTTGGGGCAACAGAGGGTGTAGGAGTCTCCTTTTCATCCTTAGGATCATTTTGAGGGGTATCCTCGGGAGCGTCTTCCTGTATAGGAGTAATAGGATCTGTTACAGTCACTCCTGATCTGACTCGTCTGCGTGGCCCAGGGACTATCTTCTTCGGGTCAGGAGTACTGAGTTGTGTAGAGGTAGTATTTCCGACAACTGAAGCAGATGGTGTCCCTATCTTGATAGATTCCACAAGCATCAACAGAGTCAATTGATGTGCAGATATAGCATTGGCGTGATTGTCTATCGCCTTCCTAAGAGAGCCACAGGATCCAATGATTTCCTTTATGGAACTATGGACATCTGAGCCATCACTTGCTGTTTGCATTCGTTGATGGTGATATTGTGACGATGATATTGTGATGATGATGTTGTGATAATGATATTGCGATTGCGATGATATTGCAACAATGATATTGCGGTGATGATATTGTGACGATAATGTTGTGGTGATAATGTTGAAGCCTTCCGAGATGGGGCTCGGGCATTCAGAAATGCCAGAGATTGGGCAAAGGAGCAAAGAGGTGAAAGCAATTAGGCAAGCGAATAAAAGAGCAAATGATATCGAAGTTTCTACCTTTGTCGCTACCGCATCACCAGGAGTAACCCCCGAGTCTCATATCCTTCTGATCTATAGCCTTGATCTTCTACCACAGATGGAATTTCCATAACAGTGTTTTTTCGAGATGAGGCCTCATCTCAGTATCAAGCCGACAACTCCTATCCTTCTGATCTATAGCCTTGATCTTCAACCATAGATGGAATTTCCATAACAGTTGGGTTTTTTCGAGATGAGGCCTCATCTCAGTATCAAGCCGACAACTCCTATCCTTCATCTCAGCATCAAGCCGACAACTCTCATCTATCCTGTCATACTTGAAAGAAGTAGCACTGTTCCTTAAATCATGCTGCATCTGCATAACTTCGATCTGTTGACTTAAGGATGCCTCAATTGGAATCTCTGTGCTTTTTGCAGTAGCACTGTATGTATGTATGTAGGATGTCAGCGATGTGCTGATGGATGGGGACAGATATCAAGAAAATGACTAACTGACTGTTCCAGTAAAAGTAGCAGTACCAGTCGCAATAGCAAGCAGTAAATGATAAAGAAGTATGTACCGCTGTAGCCTCGCCATCGATATCCATCCTCATATCCCTTTGGTGGTTTCAACCCGGTCCATTCATCTCTCCTATCACCTGATATCCTTCCATTAGGTTTTTCCCTTCCACCTGCCACACATACAACTGAGGGGGGCCTGGATGCCCTTATAGGCGAAGAAAGACCCTCATTTGGGTCTCTTTGCCTACGATGGGCACCCGCTTTGTTGATGTTTTCTTCTGAAGCTAGAGGGCGTGAGAATGATCTTTGTGAACGAACACTGTAACACCATGGTGAACAATAGTGGTGCAAGGGTGGGTCATATCGCAAACTATACCTAATGTCAAAGATTCGCTCAACAGCTTCCATGAGCTTCAGTCTTTAGTTTCTTTTCGTGTTCAGCCTTTTTAGCCATAGCATGTTTCTCCTTTTCCTCTCTCTCGTTTTCCCGATGATCTGGATGCTTATCTGTATGGCGGATGAAGTCAGAGTTGTCAGCACAGGATGCCTCTGGGCACAAAACTTTATGGGTTTTGCAAATTTTCTTCTTCCACATAACCCGAGAGTATTGTCGGAATCGAACGGGTCATAGAAGAATAGCGCAGAGCACCAGGGTATAGTAGCATCAGTCATCCGATAGTTTCTCTTCATGTGTTCCATTCCTTCGCAAAACTCGGTGGCGTTAGAACCATCTCTCTAATAATTAGCAGCGGGGGCACTTGATGTTGTGATAATGGTAGTTGGGCACTTCTGGAGGACTTGTCTGGCATCTTTCTATGAAATCACTTTCATCCCAAGCGAGAAAAGCAGGTAATGATGTTGCGATGATGATGCTGTGATAATGATGTGCTACAATCTTGCGTGGAATAAGAGTTGTTTCGTAGGACCTGAATGTAGAGCTGAGTGAATCGTTGTTGCGATAATGATGTCGTGATAATGATGTTGTGACGATGATATTGTGATTGCGATGATGATATTGTGTAGAAACAACGGCGGAGGACACCATTACGTTCCTTATTCTGCTTTTTGATTTTAATATCTAATTGCAGTTTTTCCTTGCCAACAAGTACACGTGCTAGGCTTTAAAATTTGAAGGGGCAGTTACTTCAGCAGCCGCAATGCAAAGACTGGATTATCTTATGTATTGTGGGTAGATTGTGGGTAGAGAGAGCCGACGAGTTTTTTAAAGCTTTTTCGGGTATCTTTGACTGTTGCCACACAGAAGTGGTGGGAGAAGATGTATCATTCTCTCGTTATAACCAAGCAAACTAGCTTGGATAACGAAGTAGAGCGACTTGGTACGTATCGTACAGGATTCGGGGCTCGCTGTAACTCCAACTGTTATACTGAACCAAAAAAATCAACTGGGGACTTGTCTCTGTGCCGAGGTGTATATTCATTCGGAGATTGTGCTTTTGGGTGCCAATATAGTTGTATCGTTCGGGATCGCCCCATTTAATAACAACAGGCATATTGACGCAGCCGAATGTCGAATAAGCCATCGCGACCTGTGGGAATGGACTTTGCGGAAGTCCGTGTCGAGGCGCGCTCGTAAGCTACCTCTTATTTGTATGCGCTATGAAAGCTTCAGATTAAAGCCATCAGCGCTGGAGCCTAAGTGACCGTGTTCAAGACAGGAACATCGGGTTAGGTGATCCATAGATTTTGGAGTATTGAGGCACCCTTTGTATCCGAGGAGAATACAGGGTGGTGATGTGAGGTATCGAGAAACGACAGGTCTAGCTGTCAATGAGATAACTACGTTTCGTCAGTATATAGTACAAATGGGACAAAAAAAGGTTACTTACTTTGCGAACTACTGGCCATAAGTCCTTCCCTCCCCTTGAAACAAAACATACCTCTTTTCTATCCGCCCCTCTCCTACCGACTGTAGTCACCGCCCTGTCAAGCCTCATCGGGAAGAACTCCTGGCAAGCCTCAGGAAGCACTACAACAACAAGGATCATCGGTACAGTGGCATGAATTTTTTTACCTTCAGGTTGCCATGTTGGGAGAAGTATAGACCGCAGGATTCATATTCACATGGCTGGATAGATTCCATTAGTTCATGAAAACATGGAATAGTGTTGTTAGAGTTGCTTACATATGGTTTATCGCCGGTATGTTTGCGAAAATGAACAACCAATTTGCAGAGCTGGATGCAGCTGCAGTTGCGTTGAGTAGGGTGGTGGAAGTTGGGACCAATCAAGATAGTTCAAAGGATGAACTAGTTTCTCGAAGCGATCGCGATCACTGAGATCATTACAATATGGACTATTGCTGTTTGGGTTGTATTGATCCGAGAGCTGCCGTGACAGCCTCAAATGCAAGCTCGATATTTTTCGAGATGTGTGACGAGGTCAGGCTGCTCAGACTACTCGGATGCCTTGTCGGTAATGGTTGTCCAGCGAATGAACGTTGCACGCTGGTACTCGATTCCTTCAAAGTATTGACTCAGTTGCCTGACGGAGGTTCTAGTGAAGGTGGTACAGTACATGGTATCCAATCCAGATTTGCTGCTATCGAGACTTGCGAAGTCTTCATACCCCATTCTGATGGACTACTTTGGAAATGAATTGGATATTGACTTCTTTGGGTTGACTTCGAGAGGGAGTGGCTTTCGATTGTAAGTCGACTATGCACTCTCATCAATTGTGTTGGTCCCACACTTTTGACGACTCTTGCTGGTATCGCTTCCACTACTTGTTTCATGATGGCTGATGGCCAGTGTGGAAGGTAGATGTGTCAGTTGGGTATCAACCCGTATCCATGAAGCCGGATAGAATCTCGATAGACTCATCACTATTGGCTTGCTCATATTTTTATGACCAAGCCTGAGTCTATCCCTTACGATTCTGCATCTGGGTCGCCATAATCGGAGCCGACAATGGGTTGCCGTGTTTGGTTCGTAGGGATGTCCATTCGCAAACATCCCGCTGCTGCTAGACTTTTGATTATTAGCCGGCCATACATTCTCATTGGTGTTGGTCCGATTACTTTGACGACACTTGCTCGTATCGCTTCCACTGGATATATGCCAGCATGAGTCGCTTGCTCCTTCACCCAGAACTTTATCGGCCCCCGAATATGAGACCGGCTGGGTTGATGGTCTAAGTAACTCACCACCCAGCTTTGCTATGAGTGATCGAACATACGCCGTTCAAGGTCAAGGGCGAGATGGGTCGGCTTGGGGGTTTCCCGGGATAAGGGAAGCGAGGGGAGGGAAGGGATTCTATGTTTTATTAGACTGAGAGGCATCTTGTTAAAGCTTTGTCATGTACATACGATTTGAAATTGTCAAATGATAGGAGGGAAGGCTTTCGGTGTTGTTAGTGACGCCAGGTGGCTTGGGCCTGGAGGAAGATTTGTGGAATCTACCGGTATATGATTATATCCTCTGCAGCAGCTGCCGGCTCAGAGATTATAAAAATGTTGTGGGCAGTAGTACCCCCAGGCCTTCCTAAAGGAGTCATTATATTGCTGCTCTTGTGAAAAGATATTGATTAGTTTCGAAGTTTCGAGCATTCAATTGAAAGCTTTCGGAAAGGATGAGAAGATTTCGATCAAGCTTACCAGTGTAAATGAAGAGACTAAACCATGTACCATGTACCATGTATGTGCCTTGCTTGTCTCAACACCACGAAGATCCTACCAGTATAACTAGGTTCTTCGAAGGGATGTATTATTGAGCGATATCATAAGAGAGGATTGAAAAAGAGAGAAATTTGTCCTTTACTTATCATTGAGGGGCCGACCCCTTGCGATTTGTGCTACAGATCATTTGCACCCACAGGAAGCCATGACACATCGATCCGAAAAACAATCAGATAAGGCTCATTAGGATTGGCTGGAAAAAGGTGTGGGTAGTACAATTGCATGGGTCCGCCAAGGAAAAGTTCAAGAAAAGTGTTGTGTTTATTACCCCACCATATAATATAATAAGAAGATATATCTCTGAGCGAATTAGAGAACTTGTATCAAATTAAAATGATACAATTTATGGAGATCAAAAATTAAGCTAAGCAAAATCATACAAACAATGCGGGGCTGGATATATAGTAATCAAAAGTCATTCGTTTCGGGAGGCGGATATATTCGCTGATCTCATCTTCCTGTTGTGTTTGGAATATTGCCTCGTTTATTAAGTATGAAAATCAAACGAAATATAAGGTTACCTAATTCTTTGGATTATTGTGATTTTCGGCGAGCTTGAGATATAACTATAGCCAAAGCTTAATCAAGCATAATCGCTAACCAAGACAATCATATATCACGGAAACCTGCCATTCACAACCTCCAATGCTTTCACACCGAATTTAAAAGAATTGACTCATTCACAGGATCCCGCAGAAGGAGCTTTCGCTCCGCTTGAAGCAGAGAGATTTCGATTCGGCATAAGTTCTGTTACACTATAAGCAGTCTGCTTTCACACTGAGTTTATTTTGCCAATTGGCATTTTATTTAATGCAATGAGTTCTTAGTTTGGAAGAATTCTCGGTGAGTTGGTAATACAGATTTGATGTTGTGAAACCAGTCGACGCATTGTGAAGGCGGGGTTGAAAACAAAAAAACGAGTTCACGTGAGTTTGAGTTTTGCATCGAGATCGCCAAGGGCACGTGAAGAGAAGGTCATTTAACCTAGTGTCCACAATGGACGGTTATCCATCAAGCCGGTCACTCGATCGTAGCCGATTAAGCATCCTTGAGCTAGCCGTAATCATGGGACCAGACCTTTAACCGTTCCGAAGCTATCCACCTACACCGGCTGTTGCGGATATCGCCCGAGTCTGCACACGTGAGCTTGATCACTTGATAGGCCGATATCTTTGGTGGACGGTATATGGAATATCGAAGTCCGTTGTAAGCTCACGTGCATTCGGCTTACAAAACATTGGGAAGGGGATCAATGTGTGACTACGAAGTTTCGAGGTTTCGCCAGCCACAACAATTGTTATGTTATGTTATGTTATGTCATACCAAAAACTTCATAAATCAAAAACCCGAACAAGATTCCTATTCCAGCTGAAGTCATCATTAGCTGGCTCGCCGACTTTTGACCTCAGATCAAGCTTTTTCTTCACGAAAACTCCTATGACTCAGGAGGCACAATCATGTTTCAATTGACGAGCCAAAATCGATTATCAGATCCGCTGTTGTGGACCATTCCGCGCAAGATACTGGTAATCCTTCGCAAGGCTGGTTAACGCTTCCAGTAGCGTTGTGATTGTTCCTGTGTCTCCTTTTACAGTGGTCCAACGATCACGTGAGCAAAAGATTGTTGGCATTATATTCAGCTTATCATGTTATCCTGTACCTACGTATCTCTCCGTCATGGATAACGTTAAGTTTCGATGTCCATTTCATCAAAGAACTTTCTTTCCTTCTGTCAATATCAACTTGGTCTAGTTAATGAGACAGACACGTCGGCAACCTAAGCCGAACATGCCTATGCAGGCTATGCAGCAGCAGCAGCAGCTAAGCCCCATTTTGTAATATCGCTAACTAGTCTGCACTCGCTTCGAATCCGAACCCCATAGCCTAGCGGCAGATCCTACTTAAGCTTATACTTATTGGGTTATGTTCTCGTATTAACTCATCTCATCCTCTTCTAAGCGTTGCCAATGCTTCATTCTGTACGTCAAGCTTACTACTTTGATATTCCCCTGACAGTTGGGAATTTACAACTTATACCCTCGTTATCGCTGCAACAGATGGAACTTGTTGATACTGCACTCCATAGTTTCATATTTTACCCATTATTCCGTCTATATAGATATGGTTTTAACCAAATCACTTGTTGCCCTTGCGGCATTTTCAGTAGTTCCCATTCAATGTATTGATCTAGATGTCACCAGCACTGGTGAGTTATGAATAATGTAACACTTTTTTCTTGAACGAAGCTGATAACATATTGAACTAAAGATTCAATCAAATCAGCAGCGAGCACAATCGCAAAAGACTTGGTTGGTATTTACACCCAAAGCCAAACTCCTGGAAATCCAATCGGCGTTTTAAGCGCGCCATATTACTGGTGGGAAACTGGAGCCATGTTCGATACCTTGATTCAATATTGGCATCTGACTGGTGATGCTCAATACAATGAGTTTGTCACCCAAGGATTTGTTCACCAACAAGGACTCAATCATGACTTTATGCCATTAAACCAAACGGCAACCTTGGGTAATGATGATCAATCAATTTGGGCTCTTGCAGCGATGTCAGCTGCAGAGTCTAGACTTGGGGAAGTTCAGAACGTCACCTGGTTCGATCTTGCCGATGCGGTATTCAACGAACAAGCAGTTCGATGGGATGACCAAACCTGCGATGGAGGTCTCCGCTGGCAAATCTTTACTTTCAACAGCGGTTACACATACAAGAATAGCTTTTCCAATGGAAACTTTTTCCAACTCGCAGCCCGTCTTGCTGCCTACACCGGTAACACCACTTATTCGGACTGGGCCACCAAAACATGGAACTGGACCAAAGCATCAGGGCTCATCGATGAAAACTACAACGTCTTCGATGGTGCCGATGTTACCAAAAACTGTTCCTCGGTAGAAAAACTTCAATTTTCCGAGAGTGCAGGTACGTTCATCGCCGGCGCGGCATACATGTACAATCACACAAACGGAGAAGAGCAATGGCAAAACTCCCTCAATGGTCTTTTGAACAGAACCATCTCCGTATTCTTCCGATCCGGAATCGCCACAGAAACTGCCTGCGAGACCGAAAATAGCTGCAACACAGACCAACGCGTCTTCAAAGGTCTCCTAGGAAAATGGCTCGTCGATACCATCAAAGTCGCTCCATACACCGGAAGTCTCATCAACACCCAACTTACCAGTACAGCCCAAGCAGTTGCCAGAGCTTGTGGTTATAACGGATGTGCTTTTGCTTGGAGTGAGAAGGCATCAAACACTTCAACGAATGTAGGTGGGGTGGGAGAACAAATCGATGCACTCAATTATGTGCAAGGATTACTTCATAGCCAGGCAGCGGCACCTGCTACACAGAACTCTTCGAATGCGACGACAGCTACCACTGACTCTGGAGGTTCTACGACCACGAGCGGAAGCGCTAGTACTTCCACTACTGAGAACGCGGCGGTTGGAATAGCTGCGGGATACTCTGTCATGAGTTTTTCGATTATGGGGGCAGTTGCTTGGTTGATTTTGTAATACTTGAGCATATAAAAGCCTTGCTTTATGCGCGGTATTTGAAGAAGTAATATTAGAATCATCACTAGAGATTTGTCTCCATAAACGAACTAATGTTGAAGCCGCAATGAAGTCCAAGTCACACATTTTCATGAATTTGGGAAAGTCATGGTTGTTACAATGTGGGTCATGACTGAGAAGTTTGTCTGGAAAAGTATACATCTGTTACATCTATTTCTTTTCTCTTTCTTTTGCTTTCTTCTCACAAAATTCACTGGAAAGGAAATTCTTTTCGTCTAAGAAGTTGGCGTTACATTTGCACATACATTCCATCATGTCCAGATATCTACCCCATTTAGTGAATCTCCCACAATTCAAGTACTCAAGAAAACTCTTTCCGTACAAAGCTTTCTTTCTCATCTCTTCTACTCGAGTACACGTTCTTCTCACCTCTAATTTTACATCACTGCCATGAGTGAATCAATACCCTCCCTCTTCGCTCAGCTTCAAACCGGGTCCAGAAGTGAAAGCACCTCTCCTTAACCTCAAGAACTTCTTTCCATCCCCCCAATTCCATCTTCTTCAATTACTTTTTGTTTAACCTAACTAACTACCTCTTTATCTTTCTCAAGTGCAAACAACTCTTTTACAGATACAACGGAGTCGCTTTGTTAAGTTTACATTGGATCTTTAACGGAACGAGAATCTCCATTCAATAGAAGAGACCGAAGATATATCATTCTTGCTGGAGTCATGGCTGAAAAAGGTGATGCTGGTGAGGATTCTTCTGGTGTTCTTGATACGCAGGAAAATACGTTGGGACTCGATGCCAGGGATGCCAGCGATGCTGATAATATCACTTCTGGCGTACCTGATAAGCAGAAAGGTTCAGTGACACGTCATCGGCAACTCCAACGACTATCTATCGATATCGAATATGTCAAAGCTTGGACAAAGCCAAATGCATTTCGAGAATTCTGGCATAATTGGTAAGGAACTTCGAATATTCGTGAGTCAATACTAATATCTCGTATGTTGATAGGGTTGATGCAATGATGCAGACTTCTGGGCTGTCCCGTGATCAGCTGGTTTATGTGCGCGGCAACTTTGGGAGTAAGATTCGAATCACTGTTCACGATCCAGGTGAAACGAAAACGCTTGGTTTCTTGGAATTTGATGGAAAGAAAGGAACAAATGGAGTTTTGTAACTATGGAAGCGAAGCACCTCGTAGAGCTTTGAATATGGGTTGGACCAGCAAATCCATTAACGATGACTTTGCGGGAACATATGGCGAAGGTTTTAAGATTGCTGCATTGATAATGCTTCGCGATGGTGATCATCGGGTAAGATACACAGCGTCAGGAAGTCACTGGAATCTATACTCCAATTTGACTGATAAGCAGAACAACCATCAATCACTATGGTGCACGCTGACCCCAGTCGGCAAAAAGCCTTCTGAGCAAGAAGTTTTAGGAGTTTCAAAAGTTCCAGACGAATCGCAGTTCAGACGTCCCGATCCCTGGAAAGATGTCACCGTCACGATAGGTACTTTCAGAAAGGAAGGAAACGCAATAACAAAAGCCGAATTTAGAAAATGGCTCGAACAATGCCTTTATCTTGAACCTCTTAAGCAACTTATCAATACCAAATATGGCACAATCATTCCACAGAAAGAATTCAGTGGCAAAATTTATTTCAAAGGACTTTTACTGAACCATCCTTCCGTCCCCAGTCGGTACAAGTACGGCTATGATTTGTCTAAAGGCTCGATTGACCGGGACAGAAACATGGACGACAAGCAGCTAGGAGACCTATTAGTCAAGATATGGGATCAAGCAATCCAGGATAAGGGCAATGAAATTGTTGATCGGCTCATTGCTATACATGAAAACACTCAATCTGATTGGTGTGATGTCAAATCTCTTTCCAGTACGATATCTGAACCTGCAGCTAAATGCATCTGGAAGACGCTCCGAGAAAAAGATCCACAGAAGAAGAAATTCTATCACGGAAAGAATGACGCTTATAAGGTATGAAACTTCCTAACTACTCGAATTTGAGCAACCTGTTGACCATAAATTACCAGAATGCTACCATCATTAGAACATCGTTGAAGAAAGAACCTGTTCTCCTTCCACAAGCAATATGGGAACTTTTGAGAAAGCATACTCACGCTCAGACACCACTAGAATATCAGAAAGAGGAACATGAAAACGCCAAGATTGCCAGTATCGAAGATACACCGTATTGCGCCGGCTTCGAACGGTTATTAAGTGCTGCTCTAGCTCTGGACAACAGAACAGATTTCGAAGTGATATTCAAGAAAGCTGGAGATATTGGACTCGATTTACATCTGGTTATGATGCCACCCAAACTACTACTTCTTTTAAATGACAGATTCATGGATTTCGATAGGAGCCATGCTGATGATACTACGAGTTGTTTTCTGTCACATTTGCCAAATATATATGACGATGAGGCGATGGAGGCATTTCTTGTGATCACATCATCATCGATCTCTACCATCGCATTCTTCAAGAACTAGACGGAGAGTTGTATACCACAGGAACTTCCAATATACAGAGTGCGAAAGATTTACAGTTGCAACTCAGAGAACGCTTGAGGAATATGCCACGTCTGATTCAAACCAGCCCAGGCTCTAATGAAGGGCAAATGTGTGTGTCTTGGAAAGATGGCGAAGCCAGAAAATCGTTTCGACTTCACAAAGTCGGGCTTGAGTCTCGTATCACGTTACACCGAGAAAGTACATGCGCTCGCAAGCGCTTTGACTTGGTAGCTCGTGGTAAGTTTTTATTCTTATGATCTACTACTGATTTGGAATAGGAAATCAATCTCACGGTCACTAAAACTATCCAGTAGGCAACGAAGTTGCAAATCATGAGGCCACAGATGTGGCAGATTGTGGATGCCAACAGAAAAAGGTGATTTCTACGTCCATTGATAATAAAGTGATATTCAATGGTCTCTCCTCGACAGAACTATATTTTCCTATGATCTCTAGGGCCAAAGCAACAATCGCATTTTTCGGTATTCCTCCCACAGCCAAACGGCCAGCGATAGATCAGTCCAAAAAGGATTCTGAGCTTACTCCGGAGAAGGCGTCTAACCTAGGCCCAACAACCACGTGCAATGAAGCCTCCAGTGACTTGAAAAGTGCTTCAAACCGCGGTGGATACAACTCTAATGATGATAATAATATGGATATTGACTCTAAACCATCGGTCTCTTCACTAGCCGGGTCAGCGTCAAAGAAATCAACGAATGAGCCAACTGATCGCAAGCCGATGAGTGACAACACCTCAGAATTAAGCCCATCTGAAGTTGCAACTAATTTCAGATCAGAACCGAATCGAAGGTCACGGTAAGCAGCTTCATCACCACCGTCAAAGCCTCTCGAAATGCTAACATGCGCTTAAACCATACAAACCCCCGAAAGAAATCCTGAACACGTAGTCAAGGTTGAAAACACACGAGATTCCATCGCCAAGCTAAAGGAACATGCAAGAAGTTCCAAACTTCGCAGGGAAGGACTCGAGAAGCGGGTTATTGAGCTAGTAGCCGAACTTGATTCATCAGTGGCTGATCACAAAACCGCATCAACTGAGCTCGCTCTCGCTAATACCAAACTAAATACTTCCAGCGTCCAACTCAAGGAGCTTAACGAACAAATAGAGAAATTACAGCAGCAGGTGGCTAAGTTCAGAAACGCATCAACCGAGCTAGCCCTCGCCAATACCAAGCTAAATGCTTCCAACCTCCAACTCAAAGAGCTCAATGAATAAATAGAGGAGCTACGACACCAAGTAGCTACCTCTTTAGTAGAGATCAATGATCTCCAAGTCACGAAAGCCTCGCAAACTAGCAAAATCGAACAATGCTTCCAACGAACAGAAGAACTCGAAACCTCCACAAAAACCCAACTCGAACAACAGGCACAAGCCTTCGAAACCGAACGCGCGGACCTCACATCCCAAATCCACACTCTCTCCACCTCCGGCCCAGAATCGCAATTCCAATCCCAATCGAAATCCCAACCCCAACTCCAACTCCAACTCCAACTCCACCCAACCACCCTCCAAAACGAGCACCAAATCCTCCTCCAAAAACTCGCCCATCTCCAATCGCAGCACTCCATCAACAGCATCAACAGTACATCTCCTGAAACCCAAACTCTCACTCCCCAACAAACTCTCACCCCCCAACAAACCCACGAATCACGAATTCTCTCTCTAAAACTCGAAATTGTCGAATTAAAAGCCAAGAATGAGAAATTGAAACAGCGGATTCAACAGGCGAATGAGAGGGTTAGCGAGGCGGTGGAGGGAGAGGAGGCCGCGATGATGATGTTGCAGAGGATGTTGAATAGGCAGAGTGCTGGTGTGGGGTTGGGGGAGAGGGAGAGGGAGAGGGGAAGATATAAGAGGGCGAGGAGTCCGAGTCCGAGTTTGGGTTTGGGTTTGAGGGAGGAGGGAGGAGGGTGGTGGTAGTGGTGGCAGTAGATTAGCGAAGAGAGGTAAAAGGGAAGGTTCGGAGGTGATTGATTTGGATTGAGCAGGGGATGGGAATATAGATTGGTGGTAGTGCTAATGGTTGATAGTTGGTAGTGGTGAGTGGGTAAGCAATAACGTTAGGATTGGGAACAAGATTTAATTTGGCAATATTTTTCTTTAGTTGGGAAATTAGATCATTTATCAAATATCTGGTAGCTCTATAACTAAATGTGCGAAAATGCAAAACAATGATATATTATATATCTTTACAAAAAGTCGAAACAAAGGGTTCTCCTCAAAGGTCCATCCCTACTTGATAAACAAACAAAACGCCTACACAAGCCAAATCTATTTGATCCCATTCATATTATTCCATCGTATCACATATATTCATACTCCGTACACCTCACTTCGTAATATCTCACCCCTACCATCCGCAGCCCTAAGCCCATCCCCCAAACTCTCACCCCTCCTCCTCACCCCACATCCCCACCTTACACCTCCTCAAAACCAACTCCGCCAACCCCCCCAAACACCCACTCGTCAACAACTCCAGAACCTGCAACCCCACACCACACTCCCTCGTAATCCAATTCCTTATCTCAATCGCGACCAAACTATCCAATCCATACCCCGTGACGCTCTTCCCCTCCTCCATCTCCTCTCTCGGAATCATCAGCACGCTCGAGATTTTATCCATAAGTGCATCCGCCAGCACCTTTTTAGCAGCAAGGAAAGAGGGAGAGTGGTGGAGGAGAGTTAGGAGAGGGATGTTTTTGTGAGACGCGGCTTGGGAGGATGTTCCTGTGGAGGAAGAGGAGGATTGGAAGGCAGAGAGGAGACGCGAAAATTTTGCGTCGTGGATCCAGAAATTGTTGTCGATGTTTTGGGTGGGTGTTAGTTCAAGTCCGGTTATGCAGTGCCCGCCGCAACTTCCATTCCTGTTCATCTTTCCCACTATGCTAGCTTCTAATAATGCCAATACTTCTTTTTCACTAATACCCCCACCCCCAAGATTCTCAGCAACTTGTGCGTGTTTCTCTGCATTTTCAGCTAGATAACCAATGTCGGTGACAGCAGTAAGATCGATAGATGAACCTGGGAGACCGAGGGCGAGACGATATTGAATGAAGGCATTTAGGAATGTATTTGCAGCAGCGTAAGCAGCCTGGCCGCGATTCCCGACTGTGCCGGCGATAGATGAGAGGACGGTGAAGAAATCGAGGGAATGGGTGGAAGGAGATAGAGCGTGGTGAAAGTTCCATGCGCCGTGGACTTTAGCCGATATTACCGCGGTCCATTGAATGGGTGTCATGGTTTCAAAGAGGACATCGTCTAAAACCATTGCAGCATGTATTATACCCCGGATGGGTGGCATATTAAATAGAGAGACATTGATGAGATTATCTACTTTTTCCCGGCTCGATACATCGCATGGGCGAACGATGACTTCTGCATCTGAACATTTTGCTTCGTCGATCAAGGAGCTAATTTTGTCGGACGTTTTTCCGCTTCGGGAGAGAAGGACAATGTGTCGTGCACCTCGAGTGATCATCCAATTGCACATACTTATACCGACGCCACCTGTGCCACCGATGATTATATATGTAGCGTCTGGCTGTAAGATGTTTTTCAAGATTTTGGATGGTATAGCCTGTAATGACGTTAGTAACTCTCATATTTCACAAATTTGTGCACCATCTACTTACCATAACTTGATCATTCTCCCCCGACACAACAACAATCTTCCCCATAGTCTTTCCAGCCTGCAATGTTCTAAACGCTGACTCCACATCCGAGATCGAGAAAATTGTAATGGGCGACACAGGTCGAATTGACTTCTTAGCCATTAGATCAAAGACATCAGCTAGAAGTCTTTTCATAATCTTCGGCCGTTCAGCAGCCACAACCGTAAGATCCACCGAAGCAAACATAGCATTATGTTCGAAAATCGACATTTCCAATCTCGAATTACTGGTGATGTCTCGTTTTCCAATCTCGATGAAGCGTCCAAAATGAGCTAGACAGCTCCAAGTTTCACGTAATGCATTTCCGGCTAGTGAATTGAGAATTACGTCGACTCCTTCTCCATTCGTGGCATATTTTATGGCCTGTGCGAATGATGTATCTCGACTGTAGAAGATGTGGTCCTCTGGTAGATTGTATTCCTTCATCAAATATTCTTTCTTCGCAACACTACCTACTGTTGCGAAGATCTCGGCACCAATGATTTGAGCGAGTAGGATTGCTGCTTGTCCGACGCCGCCAGCGGCTGCATGAATGAGAACCTTTTCTCCTTTTTCAAGTCTTGCGAGATCAAAGAGTGAATAATATGCGGTACAGTAAATGACTGGAATGGTGGCTGCATCCTCAAATGTCATCGCATGAGGGACTTTCTGTGCGCTGGTACCGAGACATCTTGTGTATGTTGAGTATGCTCCTTCAGACATAGCAGCGACTCGATCACCCACAGCAAGATGCGTAACTTTACTTCCTATCCTGCTAATAATACCACTACACTCCACACCAATGCATTTGCTCTGCAACTGACCGGACGCGATCATGATGTCCTTGAAGTTCATACTTGTAGCTTTAACTTCAATTTCGACTTCGTTCTCGGGTATTGAGTTTCCAGCAGCAGTATCATCGAGGAAATACAGCGAGTCGAGTGCACCAGGCGTTCGAATAGCCATCTTCAAAGGTCTATCTAGTTGATTGAAAGGTTGAAGGATTGGTGCTGAAGATTTATTCGTCTTCTGATGAACGAAATCGTTCATCGTGGTATCATTGACTACCCTTGGAACCATGAGTTTTCCATCTCTCTCTTGGTATTCCATGTCAGGTAGATTCGAATGGAATGCGAGTTTCAAAACTTCAAATGTCGATTTCGCAGCACTTTCATTAGCTGATTCTGGTGAAATATCCAAAGTAACAAATTTTAGCAATGTCTCTGAACGAATGCTTCTAGCCATGCCGATAATCATGTTTGAATTTGGAGATTGTGATTCAGTGTACGCGCTGCGCACCGGCCATATGATACCTTTAGATGACATGATTGTCTTTTGAAGAATTGAGAAATCTAAAGCATCGAGGTTTGCAAGGAAAGGTTGCTCGAGCTCCAAGAGAAACAGGGAAATCTTGCCCGTTGTATCTATGTCGCCTAAGGAACCGACCGACGGCATCTTTCCGGTGAACTCAATGAGTTGCTTCTTCAGATTTGATACCAAGCTCACTTGGGTAAACTCATTGCAAATTATGGCAATGTCTAAATCTGGAAAAGGAACCTCCGATAAGCGATCATCGGTCGGGACGTTTGTCTCCGAGCACACCGACTCCCACTCCATCTTGTAGCAAAGATCTCTTATGGGAATAGCATCAGCACTTTCAGCACCTCCAAGCATTGGTGTCATGACAAGATCCTCCATACTTATTAACGATTCTGCTTTGCCATCAATTGATGTCGCGAATAATGAAAGTTTAGTGGGCGATGGATTAGCTGGAGTTGGAGCACCGCTACCATAAATCCGAAGACGATCACCAGATTTTCGGGTAATCCCCGTCGAGATGGACATCTTCTTCAAAAACGATGGCATATAAAGGACATCTAAATCGGTTCTTCCAGCTCCGAGTATAGGCCAGACGATCTGAATAAACATATCAAGGGTAGCAGGATGAATGATGAAATCTGACTCATATTCCATTGGCATTACTGAAGCAGTATTTGGAATGACCAAGTCAGCCGTTGCGTGACTGCCACTACCGGAGCACTTTTCGAGACCTTGGAACATCGGACCATACCCAGCTCCAATGTTTGAGAGATTTTCATACATTGCCGTAGACTCGACAGGTACCGTGGACTCAACTGCAACCACGTTCATGCGAGCCTTTAAGGCATTCTTTGTAATCTCTCTCAAACTCTCACTGTTAACAACGTTGCTTCCTTCGCTCTTGACCACGGAGATCAAGCCACGACAATGTTCAGTCCAGCCTCGATCCGTTGTCCACGAAAATATACGGAACTCATCCCAAAGATCAGACGATACTCTCGTCCCTTCGGCATGAGATCGAAATGTGATGTTGGTTTCAATGATAGATCCTTCTGAGATTACCAGAGGCCTGCTCACAGTAATTTCTCGAAGTTCAAATTTGTCAAATGCGATATCTCTTAGTGTCGCGCGTTGAGATGCTGCTTCTAAAGCCATGGTTATATATCCCGACATGGGATAAACAGTAATCGATTGCATTTTATGATCTCGAAGCCATGGCATATCATCGGCGCGAATAATGTTCCTCCAAGTTGGTTCGAGATCGTTTGAATAGTTGGCAAGTGTGCCCACAATATCATTGCGAGGAAATTCGCCATTACAATGTTTCTCGCTAATTCGTGACTTGTGCCAGTATCTGGTGCTATGGTTCCATGAATAGCGAGGCAAGTCGGTGAGAACTATAGGGGCTCTCTCTGGGGCAACCGGGAAATTTATCGCTTCAAAATCGAGATTGACGCCTTTCATGAACATTGATGCTGCTAAGTCAAGAGTAGTATCAACGGCGTTTTTGTTTCTAATTAATGTCGCGGCGTAAGAGGTTTTGAGAGCAGTTCCCCCAATGAATTTAAGGGTTTGTTTCAAGGGTCCTTCCAATGCCGAGTGTGGACCTATTTCAATCAAGGAATCAAGTCCTGGGATCGTGCTTCCCTTTTCAATTGGCTTGAGCATACTCTGAATAGCCTCGGAAAATCGGACCGGACAAGTAAGATTGTCCACCCAATATGCAGGTGTCAACTCCGACGCTTCAGCAGGGCGTCCAAATAATGATGAATGGAAAACAGCTGTGGAAGTAGTTTTTGGTGCGACATTCGTGATTGACTCGCGATAGTCCTCAGCAACCAAATACATATGATGCGAGTGATACGCGACATCAACTCGAAGCTTCCTATTGAATATTCGCTTCTCTTCGACCAACTCTTGCAGTTCCTCAATCGCAACCCTATCACCTGAAGCTGTGACACTAGCTGGGCTATTGATGCAGGCTATTCCAGCTCGCCCTGCTCGCAGTAGCTTGGTCATGGGTTGAATGTCCTCGGGACTTCCACCAATAGCTAACATTGTTCCATCTAGGTCAGGATATTTATCTTTTAGAACCAAAACCGATTGGCCGCGGTGATAAGCAATCGATACGCATGATTCGAGTGACATGATACCTGCAGCATATGCACTTGCGATCTCACCGCTACTGTGACCAGTAACAGCGGTAGGTCGAATGCCCCATGATAACAAAAGATCTGTGAGAGCAATTTGAATAGCTGTACAGGAAGGTTGACTAATCTGCGGCTCAGATACTCTGGAAGCTGTGGCATCTTTTGACAACTCCTCTATCTACACGTTAGTGGAAATTCTTTGATGATTCGGTAGCTATGCTTACCAATTAATGAAAAAGTTGCACCGAGCTTAGCTAGGCATTGATCAATCTTCCGCATAGTGGAAGAAAAGATAGGATATGCATCCATCAATTCTTTACCCATAGCATGCCATTGTGCTCCTTGCCCTGTGAATATGAACCCAATTCGAGGCTCGTTTACTGCTCGCGAAGGAGCTATGGTAGATGCTACAAGGGTTGGAATGAGCTCCGATGATGATCTGGCTGGAATAGCCAGTTTCCATGATAGGACTGAACGTCTTTGTCCAAGAGTGTACGCTAGATTCTTTAATAGCGAGTTTTGGAACACTTCAGGACGTTGCTCCAGATACACGGTTAAATTTTGCATTTGGTTTGCAAGAGAGGCTTTGTCATTCGCAGAGATTGCGTAAAGCATCTTTCGATCTGGCAACTGATTCTGTGATTGGCTATATGGTGAAGTTTTGGGGATATGTGGAGCCCGCTCAAGAACGGTATGAGCGTTGGTGCCACCAAATCCAAAGTTATTGACGCTCACATAACGCTTACCACGAGGCCACGGTCGCTGAGTGGTGGGTACCTTCATATTCCATTCTGTGAATGGAATTTTAGGATTTGGTGTTTTAAAATCGTGATTCGGTAAGATGAACCCTTTCTCTAACATCATTGCTGATTTTATGACCGACACAATGCCACTTGCGCCCTCCAGATGGCCGATGTTGGATTTGACGGAGCCCACGTAGAGAGGTTGTCGAGATGTTCGACCTTTGCCGAAACAATCATAGAGAGCAGAAGCTTCGATTGGGTCACCGATTTTAGTTCCTGTCCCATGGGCTTCGATGAAACCGGTTTCGGATGGATCCAAGCCAGCTCTTTCGTAAACCGACTTTATCAATGACTTCTGGGCATCGCCACTTGGCATAGTAATTCCTTTTGTTCTACCATCTTGATTCATCCCTGATCCTACAATCAAAGCTCTGATGGAGTCATTATCTTTGATTGCTTGATCAAGAGGCTTTAGAACCACACATCCAGCACCTTCACCACGACCAAATCCACTGCCACGTTCATCGAATGAGAATGATCGACCCTCGTTCGAAAACAATCCAGACATGGACATTGTAATGAAGTAATCTGGCAGAACATTCAAATGACATGATCCCACAATCGCATGGCTTGATTCTCCAGAACGTAAGCTTTGACATGCCAAATGTAATGCGGATAAAGATGAAGAACAAGCAGTATCCACTGTCGCACTTGGCCCCGTAAAGTCAAAGTAGTAAGATAGTCGATTAGCGAGCAAGGAGGCTGCGCAACCAGTGGCTTGATACATTGGTGCAGTATCTGTGTCTCTGACATTGTTCAACTCGTAATCAGCGAATGAGCCCCCAACAAACACTCCGACGTCCTTTCCCGCTAGGGTTTGTTTTGGGAATCCACCATTTTCAAGAGCTTCGTATGTGCACTCAAGAAGAAGTCGTTGTTGAGGATCCAGAGCTATGGCTTCTTTCTCTGTCAGGTTAAAGAATGGTGCATCAAATAAGCCAAGATCTTCTTCCAGAAAATGACCGCCTTGTGGATTATAGCAGCCAAGCTGGTCTGGATTGGGATGGCTAAATGCCGCATGATTGAAACGATCTTTGGGAATTTCAGACCAACCACTACGGGCCCGAGAGCAAAGTTCCCAAAATTCCTCCGGCGTGGATACATTTCCAGGTAGCCGACAAGACATACCGACAATGGCAATGGGCATGTTTGAGTGAAGTCCATCTATTGAGTGAGAACGACTAGTCGACGGGGTATCCTTCGTGTATGTTGACGAGCTGGTGGTTGGAGTAGAGCTTGATGATAGGATACCATTCGTGTAGGTTGCCGAAGCAGTACCTGGAGTAGGATTTGGTGGTTGAATATAGCTATGGCCATCCATCGGAACTGCTGAAGGAGCCATAATGGATATAAAAGAGTGGACAAGAGAAAGATAGAATGAGGATGGCACGCGAAAAAGTTAATATGAAGGTATCGTAGATGCAAGAAAGGAAGGTAAAGAAAGGTTATTGAGGTTCGTGATATAATTTGGTATGATAGATGATGATCACATTCAAGGGATATCAGCGCAGATAAAAGACAACAGAATGAGCTGACGTTGCACATGTAAATGAAAATGACAGGAATATCATCTGGAGAAGGCATTCATTTCATATGTATCATTGCCTTTAAGAAAGCTGTACCTACAGTATATTGAATTCTATTGGATTGAACTCATAATTCAGAACATTGGGCCGAACGGCGTGTGGCAAGGCTCACAAGATTGTAGTCTGTAGAGGATCTACAAGTCCGAGCAGATCGAGTCGGGATAAATATAGGGCGGGAATTAAATCGGCGAAGCATATGTTTAGATATGAGACTAGAAGAACTCATTGTGACAGGCGAGGAGCTGAATGCAAATTTTGTGGGATTATTGCATGGCCTACCGGTACTGTAGTCTGTAGTACTGCGACACTACACAGTAGAAAAACGTTCTGTGGGACTGATAGCGTAGCGTGCCGTGCCATGACAAGACTTATGATACTATGACCAAGAGATCCGACATATAAGAAGCATGGTAGATGATCTACCAAGTTTCAATGTGTTTATCGTGTTCTCTGACCAGCAGCATCAGCTTCTCTCTTTTCTCTTTTCTCTTCCCGCGTTCCTGGTGTGCAATGTGCATATGGACTTCCCTTCCCCAACACAATCCCTCTCTCAATAATTCTGTGGCGCTCAATAGCTGAAGATCCAGAAAAGTCTAAACATTAAAAGCGGATGCGATATCTCCGGCTTCGGGACAATCCCATCTGCGGAGTGGCCGAAGTGAGTGTTCAAACTTCATAGTAGGAGGAAGCACCTTGTAAATTATGGCAACTCTCGTTATACAGTACATGATTCAAATGATTTCACGAACTTATAAGAAGAAAGCGTAAAGATGAAGAAAGTTTGAAGCGAGGTTGTGGTTTGATTGAGGTTTGATTGAGGTTGGGGTTGAGGTTGAGGTGAAGTTAATGCTGCAGTAAAATGACGCTAATGTAGGGAGGGTATTTAAGGTCAACGTACAAAAACAAGCAATTCTTTCTCATCTCATCTCATCTCATCTCATCTCATTTCAATTCTTTATCGAAGGCGTCCAATACATGTTGTGTGATAATGAAGATCACAATCTTGGCAGCGCCATAATTTATGTGGGCATAGGTACTAAGTAATCATTTGATAAGGGACGTGTTGGTTGCGGAAAGGTCCCATCTACATTTTATATCCAGCGCCAGCGCTACTGTACCGATATCCAGCTGAAGGTACTAGATAAAGGTATGAATATGGTTCTGGGACCATTCCTATTGGTTAGATTGCTTACATTCTATTGTAGGGTTTAACTTAATTCTGAATATATGAAGATCCCTCAACTCAAGGGACCCTCGTTTACAAAAATGTCGGTATTCCCTGAAAACGATAATGATACCTTCTAATAAGCTATTGATTAGTACCGACGGGCTGTACTGCTTCTCAGACTCTCAGTGCTCACGTTGAACCAGCTCCATCCGAAATGGTCTAGAAATCGAGTCATGCCCTTCTCGGTATCACTCCATTGAAAATTCGAAGATCCCGAGAGTCGGCCATATGATACTGGGCTGTGCTTTTTTCGTGTTCAGCCATATGGGATTTGGCTCTCCGGGATATGCCAGATCTAGAACCTGTCATCTCAGGAACAGGAAGATCATACCCTATGATAGGTTATCGGAGTCGATAGCTGACCTTTGGAATTTGGTACCGGTAGTATTCATGCAGTAAGAATTCCATGTAATGGGATTTGGTGGCGTTTGGTGACGCGGAAATATTCCCTCCAGATTATTATACGAATTGAGATATCAACATGCTGTGTTCGTAGCGGTGCGAATCTAGACTGGTATCTCCTTCACTCACTCTACCTCTCCACTCCAAGTCTCGTCTTAATCATCATTTTCTGTATTCTATCTACGTCACACAGTGTACACAACTCCCACACATCGCCATCATGAAGTTCCTATGCCTACCCGGTGCATACGGAAGCGCAAAGGTATATCCATCCTTCCCACCAACCTCTCACCCAAAAATTCTAATCACCCCCAGAACTTCGAAGCCCAACTCGGACCAATTTGCCAAGAACTTACCTCGACATCCCCCAGCACCTTCCATTTCACCCAAGGCACCGTAAAATGCATCCCACCGCCCGGATTCGAAACGTATTTTGGGCCCGGCCCTCACTACCGCTTCGTAGAATACGATGGAATATCGCAAAACGACGTTCTGGAACGCGTGCGAGATTTTCCCGAGGGAGAGAATGCCGAAGATGTACTGCGCGAACTGATGCCCGAGGGATCGGGCGACGTGCGAAGGAGCATGAAAGAAGCTTTGCAAGCCGTGTACCAAACCATGGAGACTGACGGTCCATTTGATGGGATATTTGCGTATTCCGAAGGAGCAGTCGTAGCATCTACATTAATACTTGACGAAGCGCGACGCTATGAGGCCGAGGGACGAGAACCCCAGATTAAAGCCGCGGTGTTTTTTTCCGGGTGGCCGCCTGTGTTGCCGGATTCGAATCAGATGGTTTTGGTGGATGAATGTGAGGCTCTTATTGATATTCCTACGTGTCATGTGGTGGGAGCCGGCGATCCGTATTTACCGGGCTCGATGGCTCTGTTTAATGTTTGTAATGAGGATTCGGCGAGGTTATTTGATCATGGGAAGGGACATACTCTGCCGAGGGGTGCAAGGACTATTGAGGAACTCGGAGGTGTTATTAGGGATATGACGGAGGAGTGTGGATAGTGGGTAATTGAGTGTTTGTGTCATAACAGGGGAAAGCAAATAATCACCTTTCATTATCCAAATGACATGGTAGAATTTTATAGGTGCAAAATGGAAGACGCTATCATTCAAATGTGCAAGTTTGAGATGAGAAGAGCCTGTAGTTACTATGTTCCTAATCTGTATCCCAAGTTTATTAATCCATATCTTGAAGCCCAAGTTTATCTCTCCCCATATGTTCAATGATATTCTTCTCTAATGCTCTGATCACCAAGTGGTGATCCAACTTCAACTCGAAACAACCAGCCTAAAACGATTCCCAGCCTTTTGTATGATATGCTCACTCAAAGCCCAATCGATAAACGCCCCATCATCAGAATGATCGACCGATAATTTCCCACAAAAGTACCCCGAAATGCATTCAGCATCTTCTTTCACATGGTTCCTAATATGATCCATCCTCCCATTCCAACAATCGTCACCCGTAAAGACCATCTCACATTTTCTCAGAGGACAGCCAAGATGAACTGGTGCCTGCTTTGGCGTTCTCCGAGAGATTTTCAGTAGTTCACTTACTTGATCTTTCCGCCTTTCAAGTTTCACCAGTTTTTCTTTCTTCGATAGAAAGAAGATATTACCATGATAGTGATTTATTGTGTCTATCTTTCCATTCGGACACCTTTCATTGTGACAAAGCCAATTCAAATGCTGAGATTCGATGTGGCATTTCCATTGAACCACATCTACAAATGATTCTTTGCACCTGGCGAAATTAAAGATGCAAGAATATATGTGTGCATGCTTTAAGAGCATATGTCGAGGTACGTCATCTGGGTGTCGATATTCTTTGAAAGAACATAGGCGACAAGGTGGAGGGGATTCCGAGATGCAATGGACTCGCTTGAAGTAGTGCTCCAGATCAGCAATTTCTTTTTTCCGTGCTGTCACAAGCTCGGTGAAAGTTTCTATCTCCGAAACTTGTCTATTCGGGATTTCAATCTTTTCCGCGTGCAAAAGATGCCTGTAAGGCTCCGGTGCATCCGATGTAAAATGTATGTTCTGATTAACAGGGCTAGACAATGCGAGCGCATCTACTTTTTGTCTCATGTTGGAGTATTCCACTTTCTTCAGAGATTTGGCGACCTCAAGCCAAATAGGAAAGGGAGCTTTGGGCCAAGTAATCGTTGATGCGGTTGGGATGCTAAGAGGATTGAATCCTGTATTGTGTTCCACGGAAGAGCTCGAAGACGCTGAATCGAAGCGTATCTTTCGACCATCTGTGGTAGAGGAGGTAACTCCTTTGGCTATAGTACAGAATTCCAACAAGCAATCACGATTTGAACTTGGGGGTATTAGAAAAGACTTCAAAAATGAGTTTAACTTGAGACTCACCAAGTGGTCATAATTGCTCTGCCAAAATTATACTTTTCATTTACGGGGAAACCGCATTTTGGGCATCGGCCCCAAAGAGCATTAAAGCTTAGGACGATAGCCATAGATATGACAGCATTAGGTTGGGTATATTTTTGCCACGTGTTCCCCTGGACCAAGTGGCCATCTTGACTTGTGATTGTGTACTCACGCGAGAGAATCTTACTTTCTCCTGGTATGCCTTGATAGTGAGCTCGGAGAAACCTATTGAACGTCTAGACAATGTTAGAATGGGAAGGAAAGAAGGGGATTGTACCCACCTCCAAATTTCCATAGGTCGTATACGGTAGCCTTCTGGACTTTCCGAGAATATCGATGAAAGTGATATCTTCTTTAGACAAAAGACTGGGCAAACGGACAATGCATCGCTTCATGACCTTTAGCTGAATAAGAAATGATGTGAACAGCGGCCTCGTGATTGTTAGCTCGACGTCCAGGCAACCATACATTGGAAGAGATGGACCATGACCAACCATCCCTAGTAGGTAGTATTGAACATGAAGAACATACCATAATTGAATGAAAAGTCTGTAGAATTCATGAAGAAGCAGGCGAATGCTATATATCATGTAAGTAAATTACACTTGGAAAAGTTTTCTATCACTCACAATTCGTGAAAATGATCGCCAGCTTCTCTCCATGGATCTCTTCCAGCATTGTCTGCCAGGTAAAAGCTAGATTGTGCTCGAATTGACCCACTAGCAGTTGCTTCAACTGCCTCAAGCAGCGCATTGTCGTTAGGCATGGTCTGATTTCTACTTCCGGGCACATTTATACTACGTCGGTTGATATTCGAGACCCTCTCCCGGTCACAGAGCTGCTTTTGTATATTCTCAAGTCTGTGGTCTATGAGCCTGTTACGGTGGACTGTGGCTTCGGATAGTACATGAAGTTCTTGAATAACTGAGTCCGCTGTAATAGACAACTGCCGAGGAACTGCAGCGATCCCATGCTGCAAAAGATTCTGCGCCTGGATAATCTTATTCGACAAGGACTCATAATGCTCGTCCATTTCCTGAGACCGTCGATTATCGCGTGTTCGAGTTGCTTCCATCTCCGGCTCCCGACTTCTGGTCAAAATGTCGGGTAACAAGTCCAGTTTCTGTTCAATTATGGTGCTAGCGGTAAGCTGATCCATGCGACTATTTTTTGCGAGTGCTCTGAGCGGGGCCAGAGCGTGCTCGAGCAGTTCTGGAATTGCGGTTCTCATGACACCTTCAATTTTGGTAGAAATATCTCCTGGCACGGCGGAGACTATGGAACTAATTATAGTTAGCGTCTGTAAATTTATGATCGTAAGCACTCAGCGCAGTGCGCAGAAGACTTGACGTTCCAAAAAGTGACATTGTATCCAGCATTGAAAAATGTAAATATCGGTGTGCTCGGAGAACGCAGCAATGCAACTATCGCAATGGTAATAAGCTTAAAATAGAAACTTATTCGTACATGATTTGAATGCTTAGACGCATTTGTATAGCAGCCAAGGGAGTCGAGATCTTGCTGCTGAGCCTCTCAGATTCCTTGTTCATCCATAATGCCCATTGAATCTTCTTCGAAACACCTTTCAACCCCGCACGGTAGCCAGCTCTTGGTTGAGTGCCGAGTTCGGGTTCATATTTGAGCTTCACGCTTTTCGTGAAGGCATCGATCGGGTCCTGTATCAGCAACATTTGGGCTTCCACGGCTGAGAAGTCATTCTGGTTCAAGTTTGCTCCATAATACTTGTGCAGTACCTGCAAAGTAACGCTCAAGCTTTCCAGAAATGCAACACTCTCGCGGTAGTCTTCTTTTGCCCCGCCAGCATCTTTCAGTGCTTTGGATACCTTCACAGCCACCGAAATAGCGGCCACTAAATCACCAGCGGACCAACCAAAGCCTGCCATAATTGGACATCATATCAGATCAGTTGCCTGAGAGAAATTCGATAACAAATACATGGTAAACCTCAATGCATGGGCAACAAGTAGATATAAGCAGTGAGAATAGAGAAGGATAATAGAAAGAGGACTGAAGTGCAAGTTGCAGATGGCCACATCATAAATGCTGCCCTACTACAGGCCACGCATTAGGCTGTGCTGTTGTTCAGCAGGTGGGTAGCAGCATTTCAAGGGGGGTTGCGGAACCCTGTGGCAGGCGCATATTTGATGAGATTGAGTGGTTGATGTAGGGTGACTACCCCATTACATGTTTCGGACAGCGTTCGATTGCTGCACTTTGCCGCTCAAAGAAACTGTGTGCCGCGTACTGCCTCCTCCAATGGGTGTTATTACTTGATCCTTTGAATATCGGTATGCGTGTCATATTCGTCAAGAACTTGAAGCATTAGCTTGGCCACAGAATTTCGAAGGCGTCCACCTGAAATCATTATTGTTAATGCGACAACTACCCTCACCGCCTTCACCAGCCACAACTGCACCACAATTCTGCCTCAATCTCAACTTCCCATGTCAAACACAACACTCACTTTGATCAACACACAGGAGTCATCGACAACATGGAGCCCAATATCGACCTCGTTGCCGACATTAAAGCAACTGCACCTCCTGTGGGAGATCACTTGACATACCTCAACTTCGTTAAAAAGATATTGGTTGAAGATCAACCCCCAGCAGACTTGCGATTGGAGCTTCTTTCGTCTCTAAATGATGTTCTTCAGGATAAAGTACGGGCGAATTTGATAGGATGGGACATCATGCCTACTCTTCTTCAAGTTCCTGGCGCTGAATCTTGCCTGATCACTATCGCACGTCTCGCAAATCCTAGAGAGATTATTATAGGAGTTGTGGAGGCAATGTCAGAGCTGGATCTAGAGGGTGTCGAAGATAATTGGGATAAAGGACAAATCGACAATGAAGAAGGAACAGCAACCAGAGAGTCGAATGACATTGATCGCTTTTGCCTTCTCCTCAGTCTGCTTGCTATAATACACCCTCGAATCAAGACTAAACATCCTTCACGCTTCCTCGCAAATTCTATAGATACAATTACGAACGTATTCCATCCTTCCCACAAAGCAGTACTTTCAGTTGTCAAATTTCTGCACACATTGTCCGGCAAGAAGCGACCTACACTCCCTGGACGAAAATCAAGTATCAGCATTACCAATCTTATGCGCCCCGAAGTAGATTCTTCACTGCCAACTGCGCCAGATCCAGAACCAGAAGAGGAGGATGCCTACGAGTCTGCGATTCAGAAGAAGCTGTTACAGGGATTTGCAATACATGTGCTGGATCTTTATATAAACGACCATCCGATAGAGTGGGCAGGGCGTCTGCAAGAGTTGTTCGATCCCAAACGAGTCGTGGCTGGCAGAACAGGTTTGTGTGTGGCATTTCGGATCGACCCCAGTCTTCAAATTCGGGATGAAATGGCTGGACAGCTTGTAGTAAGTTCTTAGACTGATGCATAGGGTTTTCACTAATTTCCTCTAGGCTCTTTGTCGTGATTTAGGACTCGCCGATTACAATCTGCTTTTCGATACGATATATGCAACCCCGCCAATTGCGCATGTGCCGACACAGCACGAAGACCCTAGCGACAACTTACCTGACTCTGCCGAAGAAATTCCACTATCGCCAGAAGGTAGCCTGTTCCTCCTCACTTCTCTCATATTCTCTTCCGTCATGTTCAAGTCGAAGACACCGGAGCCCATCATGTCTGTATTTCCAGACCACGCCAAATTAGTCGCTCGGTTTTTCGAGTCTGAATCTGGTTCGTCTATCGCTATTGTTGATGCTGTAGTTGCAATTGGTCTATGGCTAGAAAATTCAAATAAATTTGTGTCTGGGGAATTTAAAGACAATGATTATATCGCACATTTACGCGCTTTATCATTGTGGTCTGCCACGAATCCTTCCGCGGGCTTGCGCTACTCTACACATAAACTCACTTCTGCCATTTTACACACCCACCCTGTGGATACCATGAGACTGACTTTCATCTCTAAGACGCTCCAGGGTTCGCAAGATGAAATCAGCACTATAGCTCTGAAAGCATCTGCAATTACTTGGCTCAAAGAAGAGTTGATCACAGCTCACGAAAGGAAGTCGCAAAACCTCTTCTCCACCACCTCTGCTCTACTGGAGACAAAATCTCAAATCTTCCCAAATCTTTCATCTCTTGTCGACAAATCGGATGAAGAATTGGCTGATGAATTGATGGAGTCTTTTGCAGTTCACATGGCTGCACTGAATTTCCTCTTCTTCATCACAGCAGAGCAGTATACGAATAGGGTGCCATCTGGGATGATGAAAGGAGTCGAGAGCGAATACCTAGACCCCTTAAAGGCTGCCCAGGAAAGAGTATTGGAGTCTCTAGTTACGGCCGAAGATGTGGAAGCTCCACACATGGAACTGGAATTGTTGGGTGAACAGATCTCCATGTGTTTATCGAAACTTCATGAGAAATGAATTATGAATTGATGACCAAATAATGATCAATGAATATAGGCGCATGATAGAAGAAACTTGCTTTCATATCAGAGTTCATATGAAGTATTTTGCGAAGGCGGGTTGGAGTATGGATACTTGGAATCATATTGCGGAATGTTTGTGTATTGAAACGCAAAAATATCTGAAAGTGCTGAGTTTGTTCAAGTGAAATGTCTATATGTCGTGGCAGTAGGTAGTTAAATTTATTCATTGGGCATCGCACTTCACAAAGCATGATGGAACCTGATGATTTGTGGCAACGATATGCATTCCAGCAGCAGACCGAGGTGGTTGTGTATGTACAAAAATAAAGGTCAAGTATGTACATCAATTAAAAGCCATTCATCCCCAATTCAGTTTCTCTCCCCTTTCGATTCCTATCGACAGTCGTAAACTTAGATACCAGCAAAAGCCGATAAACTCGATCTCGCAGCCCCATTCGTACCAAAAAGCAAGTTGTCAGAACAACTGCTTCCCAAATTAGCATTATTGATCCAAGCAGGTTCCCAATAGAACAGCCCAGCTCCACCCTTAACACCCGCTACAACCGCCGCGACATTTTTAATCCATGTTGACTGGCCTGCTGCGGATATAGGAATAGCTTTTGCGTCCGAGGGAAATTTGTATGCGGGGGATGGACATGCGTATGGCCAATCTGTTTCGGCGACTATGAGTTGTTTACCCCAGGTTGAAGCCATGTTTGTAAGGGATGTTTTGAGGTTGGCGAGGGTGGCGGAGGACGAATAGAAGGGGTAGTAGGAGACGCCCATCATGTCGAAATCGATGGATACTAAAGGACCGGCTGCAAGCACGGTTTTGTAGAAATATTGTTGGGCGGACCAGTCCCAGCCGTTGTCGAGATGAATCATGATTTTGGGTTGGGTGCTGAGGGTGGAGTCTTTGATGCCGGCAGAGGCAGAGTGGAGAAGAGAGGCTATGTTGTAGTAGCTTGAGGTGGTGCCTATGGGCCAGAGGAGTCCGGCGCGGATTTCGTTGCCGATGGAAATGATGGCTGGGGAGATGCCGGCGCTGGCGAAGGCATCTGAGACGGCGAGAGTGTAGTTGTAGACTTCCCAGGCAAGGTTACCGATGGTATCGGTGGGCCAGCCTGAGGGGATGCCCTGTGAGTAGGTGTTAGTCTTGAGGTATTGATAGATGGGGATGAATGTTAGGTATGTTTACCTGATGACTTGGATCGGCCCAAGTATCACTGAAATGTAGATCGAGGTAGATACTTAAACCGGCAGCCTTGGCACGTTTGGCAAGCGCCAAGTTGTAGGCCAAGTTGTATTGGCCATTTGATGGGTTAACCCATACTCTTTGTCTCACAGTGTTGACGCCTGAAGCAGCCAAGACTGTCTCGAGGGCTTGTGTATTACCAGCGGCATTTTTGTAAGTGTAACCAGTTTGTTCCTCAACAGTAACAGACGACCAGTCGACTCCTTTGTAAGTGAGGGCAGCGAAAACGTGTGGCGCAAAGGCCAATGCAGAATAGAAAAACTTCATGCTTGAGAATGTACAGAAAGAAATGGACGCAAAAGAATGTAGCAGGATATCCCTTCGGTATGACGGGACATTCTGTCAGGTATATAAATTATTCATCACATTCTTAACTGACCTAATTGGTAGCCGAATTGTAAGATTACGTGCGGTAATAAACAGGAGCTTCTGGAGTGTGTATAGTGGATGATGAATATTTGTGTCCCCACGGCTGAGAGAGGTACCGTCGTTAGTCTTGTGAAATAGACTGACAGGATGACATGCTCGAGTTTAACCCCCGGAGAATTTTCCATCAATTCCAAACCTGTATGACAGGAGTGGGTGGTGCTCCGATCTTCCTTTCTCCAGATAATTCAATGGCTCATATGACTTCTTACTGAAGTTCTTGATACGCAAGGGAGTTCATCTGACATTCTCGTGGTTCCAATAGCTTCAATGTCTTCAATGTCTTCAATGGCTTCAAAGCAACATCTTTCATCTTCTATCTTCAAGCTCTTCTTAACACTCACTGAAAGGATAATTCGAATTGAAGTGGTATTCATGACTATGATTAACAGTTCATCTAGCCCAAACTGTCGCATGTATGTAAGCGATTCCCATATTGGTTGATGTTTCACTGTTAGAAGTCTGGGGAAATTTTGACATGGGGTTTTGGTTCCCCACCCATCAATAAGAAACGACTATGACATGTCGAAACTTGTTTGCTCCACAAAGTTGACAAGCTATACAAGGTTTCTGTGACTTTACTAGGGAGTCCAAGGAGTTCTTACCCCTTCATTTTGATTGTTCAGATGATTATAGTGACATGGTGCTTCTGAAGGAGAATTAATAGATGGAAAGAAAGGAAAGGAAAAATATAGATAACACGTGACAAGGTAGGTTTTGCTGAGTCAGCCAACCCCATTATTTGACTTAGGAGAAGTTGAGAACCCGGCAACCAACTCCCCCCATCTTTGACTACAACGGGAATTGTATTCTCCATCTCGCCCTCCATTCACTGAGGATTTGAGATATCACGCGCGCTAGTGAACGCACTCAGCTCGGTCAGGAATAGCCGGGATATGATTGATGACCGACTTGATGAAATATACAGGATCTACCCAGGAGCTGACGATGGCCAGGTACCATTTTCCAAGGCATCTCCTTCGAAATATTCCAGATTCTATATCTTTTATACTCCGGTCCGATTTGTTATTTATTTTTTCCATATTATTGATCTCGCATGATCATGCAAAGTTGACAATAGGGATTGCAGGAACAACAGTTTCTACAGAGTGTGGTTGAGAAGGGTGATATTCACGGCTTGGTTCACGCTCCTTTGCCCTATGGCTTTGTTGCTCGTGATGTCTGCTTTTGTGCCGCATATCCGCTGCTTCTGTTTCCATGTTTATCAGCAGCATTTGAGCATCTGTTCAACTCCCAAATTAACTCATCTTAAGTATCCTTACCTGACCTCGGCTGTGGAGCGATTGCCTTTCGCACCCCCGTCAATTTCCAAAATATTATTTGTTCTCCGCTCTGTTGCTCATTTATTCAATGGCATTAGGCAAGTTGCTATTGAGCCAGACATCTGCTAGTGCCCTTGTGCTATAAATATTACGCTTTTCTCGTCGGGACTTAGATATGCTTAGAGTAAAGGTATACGACAATACTCATAGGATGCCCTTGCAAATTCATCATAATGTACATCTGAGATCAAAGCATAAACGATCATTGATATTTTCGATAAGTATATCTCCTCGATGCTACCGCGTGTCATGCAGAGTCGAGCAATTTATCATTACCTTGATTTTCTTGAAGTTATACGAAATTTTCACAGCTCACACATAAGTCTGCCAGAAAGGTTCGGTGATCTATGATTTGCTTTGCGAAAAGTGGCATGTCTGGCTGTGAACGGTCACAAGCAGGTAATATGCCGGATGATCACAGGGCTATAGTTAGGGTATGGTTTATACTGAACTCATATCATTGTTTTGGTGGTATAAGGATAATTCTTTATAGATTTCAGTACTAATTAGCTAATAAAGAACAAAGGATATATAAGGATGGATGCTCCATATCCTTTCATATTTGCGCATCTCCGGCTAGTCCCTGGAAGAGGATTAGTGTATGCGGTGATAACTGTCACCCGCGGTGACGGGCAGTGTAGGAAATATCTGGCTGTGGGTTCTGCGGCCGATGTAACCAGGTTAAAGTGCCTGTTCTTGTTCCATGTCTTATCCTCCGAGGTGCTACTTCCCCTAGGATTCTTTAGTTTTTGAAGTTAAGATTGAAGTTAAGTCTAAGATTTTTATCTTCTAAATCCTTTGAAAGATAATAATATTGATTTATTACTCGATTAGTATACTTTTGATTCTTTGATTTTCTTTGTATACAAAAGAGCAAAGCATACAGTTTTGGTAGAGGAATATAGAGTTGTAATCTTATATGACTATATAAAGAGATTCTGAATATAAAAAGTATAGTATTGATGCATTGATGTGGAGGCGGCTATAGATAAATCCTAAAAGATTCCATGGTATATATAATCCGCAAGCAGTGGCTGCATGTTTCCTTCAAGATTCACAGTCTTTATTCAGTCGAATCATCTTTGTCAAGTTCTACCCCCAATGCATCCCTGTCTTCAAAAATGACAAGACTGTTGGATACTTTGCATTCTTTGTTTGGTTATTTCAATGATCATTTTTTTCTTCTGTCATGCCTACTCTCTTCAGGAAGATCTTTCCTTTAGAATTGTTATTTTATCTGATTGTTGGTCTTTGTGACTTATTCCCATGTGCTAATATGCTCATGTCAAGTGCTTATCCTTAGTAATTTTCTAGGCTAGTTTTGTTGACTTTCAGACAGGTGTTGAGTGATTTTGTATTTCTGTATTTGAAGCTTAAAATTGTTAGAATGATGAACATCTCCCATTAGATGGTTTGTAGCTTTTGAAGATGCCTGTATATTCAAAGGTTGAGAACTCACTCGATGAAAACCTATACTTAATCTTCTAATTTATCGTAAATTAAATGTCATTGGATTAAATTAATTTCTTATTATTCCCGTCAAGCCTCAAGGTATTAGCAATGAAGAGATCCAAAGCCATTTGAATGAGCTGCAGTCTGGTCCTTTCGGTAATTGTAATCTGATTCGAATAATATGGGGCGAAGTCAAACAAAGACTTTCTTTGATGACTACTCCTATTTTGCAGCTTGAGCAATCCCGGAGATGTCTTGAGTCTTTGTCTAAGTATTTTACCCTTTTTGTATTTGATCAAGAAAGCGTTCCAAGAGTTACCACTCCAAGTCCCACCTACCAAAAAAGAAAAGCAGCAAAGACAGTTAGAATCATGGACACAACTAATAAGGAGAGCTTCTTGAGACAAAATTCGATCTGGAGACCATTGATGCTTCATGACAAAATAGGAATACTCTACAGTCTTGAGATTGACATAAGAGGTTTGATTCGGGAAATAATAAAGCATGAATCTCAGATCCCCTTCAAGGACATGAACGTGAATTATTTTTCCAAGAAGTGGCAAAAGTGGTGGCTCTTGATGAATCGAATCAACAAGAGTTTCCCAAGGGACTCGGAGAAAACAGATTGAGGACTGTTGTGCTAGCTCTAATTTTCCATCATTTATATTCCACGCTATTTCCGAATCCGTTCTTCTTTTTGGGGCAAGAAGTTTCTCAAGGCCTCAACGATATCTTGTCTTTAGGAAACGCATGTAGGCTGATCTAATCTACCATCCTGACTATAGGAAGCTAAGTATACAGAGGGAATGTTATTGAGGCTCAAACTTGGCGTTTCGAAACATTGAGGCTCATTTTTCCCCAGAAGAAAAGTTCGAAGGCCGAAGGAGTCAAATTGCGAGTGACAGAGCTCGTTCGAAAGACAGCATACCTCAGAGCTGCAGACCTCATGCGGAGCCCCGTGGGTTACGTTTTGAAGCAGACGCCAGACACTCTTCGGAGACTGCAAGATATGTATGCCAAGGCCGCGGAGTTCTCATACCAAATTTGGACTGAGAAAGAGTTCACGAAGGTCGGTGACCCTTCTGAGTTCTTGGGCCAGCCATATAGCTGTAATGGCAAAAGATCGTATTTACATAACTCGGTCAATTTGTACTCTGGGGATGAAAGTGAGACAGAAGGTCAGCTCATATCTATGGTTGCACGACCTATGCTCGAAGAATATGGTGGTCGCCAATCCTACCATGATAAGTATCGTCCCAACTACCTTGTGGCAAACACGTGGTTGGAAGCAATTGTTTGGATGCATAATCCTAACCCAGACGACCCTGATGATGGGCCTGACGTGAAACCAAAAGCTCTTCCTCGCCGAGTTGATCCGTCTACCTTGGAACCGCCAGGGGCAAGATTGCTTAGGGGCTTAGACACAGTGACCTTGCTAGATCTTGTCAAGCCCCATCTAGATGCTTTCGCCGATGAATTAAGGCCTTTAGTAGAGGGATTACGCGAAGAAATAACGCGACTCAAGTCCGAGGGTGGCGAGAAAAAACTGTATGATATCAACTCAAGCGTAGAGATCAAGGCGATGCGAAAGAAACATAACAAGGAAATTAAACTTCGGGACCGTCAGGTTCAGCAGCTCCAACAGGAGATTGGTGAAATGTCCCTGGAGATAAAACGCCTCAAGCCTGAATTTCATTAATGAGACATAGACATTTATCGTCGGTAAACTACGCTGAAGAGGCCGATCAAAGGTTTGACGAATACCACGATGACGATGTCGGCATTAGATATTTTGGGGCTACTTTGGATGTTATCTTCCTTTACGGAAATGGGGCCGTTTTGTCAAATGATCTGTGGTTTGCTTTTCTCGTTATTTCTTTTGGATATAAAAAGCGGATCTTGTACGATCTAGTTAACGAGAGTCCTTTGAGGGACCCTCTAGACCTTTAAGTATAAGATCACAGTCACACATGAATAAGTTCGGGACTAGGCTTAATACCTTAAGCACTAAGGGCTACTTTAATTAATGTTTTTCATGCTCTCTTCCTGACTTTCTATGAAATATCGTATATGTTCCATTCCAATACCCTTAACTGTAAAGGAGCAGAAATCCGTTAAATACTTATAGCAAAAAAAAGGTTTTAGAAGATTCTATAATTTCATGTTATATTCTGTGTATACTAATACTGAATAGATAGCAGAATTTGCGGATGAATGTCACCAAGAAGACTTGGATCTCAATCATCGGCGAAGCCAATTAGAGAGGCCAGGCAGAAGTTCAAGAAACACGACGATGGCGGTTTTCAAAATGCTACAGTCATATTACGGGTTCAAGTGATTTATTTAGAGGAGGAAATGAATGATTACAAATAGGAATATGAGAGGGTATCAAAGGTATTGGAGGAGGGTCAACACAAGTACAAGGATCAAATGCGAGTTCAAATTCTGTGTGTAAAGTCCATCAAGCGCAAAAGATTTGATTTTACTCTCATCTACACGTTTCCACCAATTGCAGGAAGACCCCAAACAAGCAGCCTTGAATCAATCAACTAAGACATGGGAGTTAAAATTCCGATGGCTCCATTGGTTAACGTCGGTACATCAATGTTCCGGAAACTCAATCGTGGTGCCGGACATCACCCTGCCACCAACAACTGTTCTAAATTGCAGATTAGATCCTCGATCGCCGAAGATAACTTGTACCTGGAAATGAAACTGATGGACCGTCTTGTGGAGGCGAGGGTTGTATCTTGAGTCGCAATCGATGCCGAAGTTGAAGTCCGAAGGGAAAACGGAAAGTATCTTGTTTATCTCCTCAACACCTGTTGCCGGTTAGAGTCACACGCGGTGTTGTGTACCCGAGTATCATCTAGCGGGAATGAAATCTTCAACTTACGTGGATTATCTATTCTTTCGGGCTGTGAGTCCGCGGCACAAGAGTAAAGCCTAATCACAGAGGTCATTTCTTTTCCCGGTGTGTAAACCCTCGCAAAGCTTTTCGACCGAAGCTCCCCTTCAGTGATCTCGTCGCCCTGGAATCATAAGGATCAGCTAGTAAGTCCTAACATGGGTAATTTGTTGGCCAGTTATTACCTTATCAACACACCACATCAATCGCCCGGTACAATATTTCTCATTGGAGAAGTCATCAATGTATGCGTATGTCTCATCATCGATGCCGTTCCGAAATTTCCTACAGATTTCGAACCCGTAATGACGACGAGCATACTTGAGACGAGGTGCAATGCCTTCAAGTCCCCTAATTGCAGCACCTCTCATAACGGCGGTAATACTATTGAACAGATTAGATGGGTGGAGATTTTAGACTCTATAAAGTACTTACGGGTCTCTAGAGCAGAGAATTTGAATTTCCCCATTAGAGGAACACCAATCCGATAGTGCATTGTACAGGTACCTTGAGCTACCAAGCTCACCAACCAAGACAATACGCTAACTGAATGTCAGAATCAGGGGTTGTGGCAAAATGATGTGGGAACTTACATGGATTTTTGCCTGTTTGCGTTCATGTGCTTCATTGACTTGCTCTTTCACTAGGTCGAACAATGTTTCCATGTCTCGACTGGAAAGATGTGAGAATATTACGATGCAAAGTACCACTGATACAATTTCTCCGACTCTTACTCATTGTTTGAGTTTGTATGGTGGCATTGCGGGAGATATTGAGAGTTGTAGCTTTGTTCCGATTGGGAAGGGGGACAGACTTACTGTGAGAGTAAGATATTAAACTCCAGGCTTTCGTAATACTGAGAGCTCGGCAACTTGAGATTCAATTGACCTAGTTCAAAGATCCTTGGGTGCTCCTTATTATCGCGGCCGAAGTCTCTCTTGAGAAGTTCCCACGCGTCCATAAATCGGCTTCCCGGGCCCTTCATCGAATATGGAATGGCCTTAAACGTATCACCGAATCGTTTCGATAAGAGATCGTGAAGGTGGCGGTCGATGAAAGTAGATCCACACTTCCCACCTGCCGTTTAAATGTGTTAGCCACGATCCTATAGACTGTACAGTAAATGCTATCTTGATGGCCCAATATCGTTTGATTGGAGACCAGAAATTCCCGGTTAGTAGATATACTAGCCTTTCCCACCACAAAGCTCCTCAAACTCTAGCCTCGGTACCACCGACGTGACTGTATATGTAGTAACATCGACAGTTCCTCCCCCAGCGTCACAAATAAGGATATTGTCCCCGCGCTAAAAATTCATTAGCGGGTCTTCGTGAATCGACCAGTTATCTCAGCGGCTCACCTGCACGGCATTTAAAGTATCTGGTGTAGTAAGGTCCTTCAGTGTCGCGATAGCCGCAGCCTCTGGCTCTGCAATGGTGTGTATCTCATCCATCAAGCGATTTCCAAATCCAGCCGATTTAGCAGCACTCAGAGTGTTGTACTTTGCCTCCTCAGACCAGATGGCAGGTAAGGTGATCCAGCAATCTATTGGAGTCATCAAATACAACAGGCCCAATTTGTTCCTTTATTTCCCTCATGACGTGTCCATGTAATTCGTGAAGAAAGTCTTCACAAACTTTACTTGCTGTGAGCGATGGTGGCAAGTGCATCATTCCTTGATCGATTTCTGTCGAATGAACATCATCATACTCTTGCGGACGAGCGTTTTTGTCAAGGAGCTTGGTCCAAGAACATGAAATCAACTTTGGCTTCACTTGGAAGCCCCACAACTTTAATTTTAACTTCGTCCTCGGGTGTGTGATCATGGTTGTCTTATTCTCCTTCGGGTATGCGATCCTGGTTGGGGCTTTATCGAATTTGTTATTGGAAGTACTGCCTAACCATGAGTTGATGCAAACAACATCCTTGAAACTTTTGGCGGTGCTTTGGACATAGCAAACACCTAAAAACATGAGTAATGGAAGGGCTATAGATCATGTTCATGATACGTACCAGAATAAGTCGTTCCATAGTCTACGGCGACAATTATCTTGTGCCTTGGAGGAAGATCTGTGGCAATCGCCTCTGATTTACTATCCGTAGGAGAATAGGAATTCATTGTGTGAAACTTAGGATGCTCAGAAATTTGGTTCAAAGTTTGTTGTTAAGGGGAGTGTACATTATGGTCATTCTAACTCTGTGTATTTATAGGGACAACAGTTATCGGCCTATCTAGGCCTTTCCATTCTTTTCGTGGCCATCAAGGCTCTTAAACCTTTCATTAGATAATTCTAGATTCTTCCTGTATCTAACTCATTCATCTTCTGAACTCATGAAACCATTAACAATCCATTTGACATTCACACCTCACACATTTCAAAACCGAATAACTCTAGAATCTACCAGAGGTCGGTACTGTAAATATTTGATCATTGCATACCTTAAACGGTTCTTTCCACTGCCTCGGTATATTGAGACATTCTATCAAAGTTTTAGAAAAAGATAACATTACTTCAAAAGAGACCGAATTTAGCTCTTGTTTTCTGGCCATACACTTCACTCTACCTTTAGAGGTCACGTATGCAATCTTTTAGATATGGGACAACGCGCTAGCATTTTGAGCGCAAAGAGCAAAGAAAAGAGACCAAGGCTCATTCGACGGACTTTAAAGCCATGCCAGACAAAACACCAGAATACTGAAATTTCCGCCAACTCGGATCAAAGACCGTCGCACCCGCATCCACTTCCCCGAGAAACCTCGAACTCAAACGCTCAAGATACAGAGACTACTCAACGTGCCCTGAATCCCCAAACCTCCACCCTCTTTGTAGGCAGTAACTTAACGATACCCCAAGCAGCAGGTCAGGATACTATCTCGGAGAGTAACCCCAGGCATCCACAAAATCTTGCTCGTCCAACTTCAGAGCTTCTTGGTCAACACTTGGATGGGGTGAGGGCCACTCCACCTGAAATTTACCCACCAAGACAACCACAGCAGACTGAGAGCCGCCAGTCGAGAAGGCTGTCCCTTAGCAAATTTGATCGACTGCTAAAAGAGTTACAAGAGGATAAGTGGCATACCGATGAGAATTATCGAATCATGAAGGACGAAAATGCCAACCTAAAAGAGAACAACGAAAACCTGCAAAAAGAAAAGGTCAAAACCAGGGAAGAGTGTAGTCGGGCGGTATGTGCCTTGCAAGAAATGGCCTTCAAGTCATTGAAATCAGCAAAATGGCTCCCATCTACGAATGGTAAGCTCAACTCGGATATGCAAAGACTTAAGAGAGAAATGAAAGAGTGGACGAGGGGCGCAGTCAAGAATCAATCCCAGATTTGCGATCAATCAGCAATCTTTCAGAAAGACCAACAACTCAGCCCCGAATTTTGTGAAGAGCTTGAGAATGTTATGGTCCTCACAGAAAAGAGAATCCCTAAAGGACTACCGGAGCAGAAAGTTCTTAAAATCATGCTTGACGCACTTCTTGCTCATCACATTTTCACCAAGATCCTTGCGGTACCGTTTTTCGTCTTGGGAGATAATACCTCCAACCTAGATCGGATTTATCAAATTGGCCAGTCATGTATGCACATCAATCTTCACTTTAGTGACACAGCTGATGTACATAGGGAATCCCAAAAATGCTCATACATGGCGATCTGATACATTGAGGCTCATTTATCCCGAGACTGAAAAAGACAAAAAAGTCGAAGCTACTCGACTACACATGCAAACTTCACTTGATACAAGAGCAGACTCGAAGTTTGAGGAGTTCATTAAAAGCCCGGCTCGTCACCTTTTCAACCATGACACAGAATCAATTTCCGGACTTCGAGATCTCTATCAACAGGCTGCCAGCCTGTCTCACAGTCTCTGGACTCGTCGATCAATGCTAAAAATATCCACTCTCAAGGACTTGAGCCCTCTTTTCGACATCAATGATCCAAAAATGGAAGCTCATTCTATGGTTGGCGAAGATACCGCCAACAAGCTGACAGGTAAACCCATTACTGTGGTCGTCCATCCGACAGTCGAGAGCTATGGTACGGAGAAAGCTGAGAACTTTGAGACTTCACGGGTATGGGCGTAGTGCAAACTTCTTGTTAGTAAGCTCTGCACTTACGATTGGGAACACATGTTGTGGTGTTTGGTTTTGGGGTCATGTTTCCAACTTATTCCAAATCTCTTTGGAGTTAATTAGAAGCAATTTGAACCCCAATCAAACTGTAGCCATATTTTCTCTTTTCAGCCCTCTTGATTGTGATGAAATGCTATATGTGAACTTGTTGCATTTCCCGGTCACTTGAACTGCTAAATTCTTTACTTTACGAATATTGCAACTTAACATGGACAATCAGCTGTATAATTCCTTTCTTTGTGCAAGATAGACGAATCAAGCGCACGTAAGAAGGAAGAGGGGTTTATGGCGTTTCAAAATCTCTTTCCCAGTCATTCCCCAATCAGTGCTCAAACTTCTCTCGATCTTTCCTCAATTTCCCTCGCTTTCGCAGAAGAACAACTACATAAGTCAGACATTGCCTGCCAACACATTCTGCATGGGCGATGAATGAGAGCAGCCAGCTTTACCTGCGCTTACAGCTCGTCAAAAATGATCGACCTACAGACAATAACCGACGCGTCATTTGCTTCTGTTGTCAAATGATCATGACATTCCCTCACTCTCACTGTTTTATCGACCTAGAAAATACGTTCGGAAAATGTACCGCCAAGTTTATGTTTATACTTGTCTTTTGCCAAGGACATCTCAGTAACAAGCAATCTTGAAGCTTTCTTTGTATCCTTCGCCGTTTATATCACACACCATATTTATAGCTATCGCTACCGCATTTACCACTGAAAGTTTTGAGGAAATGGATGAAGGAGAGGATATTACACATGGTTGCGAGAAACATTACAAGAATTAGATTGAATGTATCACGACCGTGACACCTATTTACCGAAGCAAGATCTTGGCCGCGGCGCAAAGAGGTTGATGAGTTTATTATCAGTTGAGTATTTTGCTCTTTGGATTGATATTTGCGTCATGTATCAAATATGAAGTTTCTATTTTGTAAATTTGATTTAAATGGCTGTTTCTATTGCTTTCCTGCGTGTTTGCAGTGAATGTACTGGCGGTCACGGTTTGGTTGTTGGATACATCGAGATGGCTGGTGAAGCACGGTAGCATTGAAGATAGAGGATTTGTAAGGCTGGTTTGCTTGAGAGGTATGAATATTGATTGTATTGCGGTTCAGGGAGAAGGGTAAGATTATGGGTGCAATTATGTTGTGGTTGAAGAAAGGGACCTCATTGACCAGTTACTAATCAGCTAACATATAATTTTTATTCAATAATAAACATCCCCTTTCCACTCTCTTTCCCCCTTTCCCTTTTCCCCTTCCTCCTTCCGTTTTCTCTCCTCCCTCCTTTTTCAATTTTTCTTTTTTGATTATTTTCTTTTCAATATTTAAGTATAGTTTGGGTATGAGTCAAGAACGTCACTCCTAGAATCTTTTCTCCAAAAGTCCACTCAATGGCATTATTTCTCATAGTTCGTCATCATTTGTCATTCTCCCACACTTCAGATAGCATTTACAAACCAACCAAAAAGAAATCCAGTGATGGAACATCAACACTGTTTCTACAGTCCAAGAGAATCTCAAGTAGTCTATCCAAAATAAAAAAATTCATCCGGAGAGTATGCGGCAGTCGGCGGAGAAGATGGATCGGCTTTTTGTGGATGAGGGGGTAGATTGGGATTGGGGCCCGTAATGAAGGGGTGAAAAGGGGATTAGCGAGTAGATCGGGATTCGGGTGATGAAGAGGAGATTAGCGAGTAGATTAGGGCTCAGGTGATGAAGGGGGCGAAAAAGGGGATTAGCGAGCAGATCACATTGGAGAAAGGTGGGAAATTTGAAGGATCTGGCGAAAGTTGGAAGGAAGAGGAATGAATCGATAGTTGAGGAGATATTTGCCACAGGTGGTGATGATGTAGATGTACGGATCCCGGCGGAGGAAGGAGTTAAAATGTAGTGATTGAATAGAGATCATTTTTCTTGAAACTCAACAGACCGACGGGTCGATCCCGTGATTAAAACAATGAGGCCACAAGCGTTATGCTACTAAATTACCCTACAATCCGGATCTGTAGCCTGTATTTCAGAAAAGCAGAATATACCACTGATATGGGGAGATTTTGGACGAGAACAGTAGATGAAGTCCTGGTAATGGTGGCGTGGGTGGAGATGCTTACATAAGCCCCACAGACCCAAGAGTTCGAAACAAATCGTCTTCTTCCAAATCAAACAAATATCTTACAACCCAGTAATTTGGGATGAGAGTCATTAAATTGAAGTATAAATGTACGCGCAATCTTGATGTTCTGAGACCGGAACTCTCAATTTCCAGAGATAATCTTTCTCTGCCATTTAATTCACTCTTCCAATCATCATGTTCACCAGTTTAAGCCACGTTCCAAACGAACTTCAATTCTATCATCTCACCCATTTTTAGTTGTTTCAAGTTGCATACTGATCTATATATAATATCTATAGATGGGGCTTTACAGGTTCGAAACAATGGTGTATATCGAGTCGAATCGAAGAACAAACGAGAGGCAAATGATGGGGGGTGTAAGTTCACCAAGTCAATCATGTATCTTGGCGATGAGATTGCACGGCGATGAGATGCTTGAAGAGATGAACTTGAGATGAGATAAGAATGCCCAGATGCCAAGATGCAAGAAATCTAGGATACAACACCTTGAGAGAATTTAGAAAGTATTCAAGATTCATGAAGGTATCCGCGTCGACACAAGCCAGTAAAGTTCCTCGCAACGTCAACGGAGTACAAACATCGGTGTTTTCATACCCGCGACAATCTCGTCCGCGCACATTGATCTACAAGATTTTGATTGAGAGTCAATTGCTTATTTTTAAGCAAAATTGGAGACTTTTTCAACCTTACTGCCTTGGATCTACCGTGGTTGAGATTGAGGGTAGACCCAACGACGTCTCAAACTCGCACGGATGTTCACACTAGTAATCTGTGCGGTGCGTGCTGTGAATGCTTCTCTTGATCAAGCTTTTCTATCCGCTGTCATTCATGGAGAAGATCCTATAAGTATCGTTAGTGACTTTTCTTTTGATGGAAGTTAAAATCGGTTTTGTGGGTTACGTTCAATAATTGCTACCGTAAAGCTTTCGAATCTGGAATATATTGGCCAAAATAATGTCATCACACGAAAGGTGAGTGGATTTGCAGACATCTCTGATAGATTGACGGATTGAGAGTCCTTCTCTTCTCTTGTAACTAACCGCAATCTTGTACAGGCATCTTTCATCGAGCTCGGTCTCCAGTATGACTTCTCTGAAGAAGGTTCATAGTCATGTATCCATACATCAAGGAGATGAGGAATCTCAACCAAAGTTAAAGTTATTCGAAAGTCCTCTCGCTCATGACAGAAGGGCGTACTCGACCACCCCTTCGATCCCGAGTTCTATACAGAGTATATCTGGCCCTATCAATGTTGCTCGAAAGCAATCATACGACGAATCGATCGAGAATCAATATGATGATAGGAAAGCTGATACATTCACAAAGGACGGCGCAGAAGAGGAAATGTTTGAGACACCCGAATTTCGAAGATATGAAGAGACCACCAATATGGAATTATTCTATGACCTGTTCTTCGTTGCGAACTTGACAACCTTTAACGATGTTCATGAAGTTAATGAAATCGATGCACTAAAGTCTTATGCGGGCTTTTTTTGCATTCTTTGGTTTCTATGGTTACAAGTCAGTCTTTTCGATGTTCGATTCGTGACGGATAGTATACTGGAGAGAATTGGAAAGGCATGTCAATTTGGTGTTATGATTGGGTTGGCAATTGTGGGACCGGATTTCAATTCTTCAGATCAAAGGCCTGGTGCTTTTCGTTCATTGGCAATTATCTTGATGTTTTCAAGACTCGTTTTAAGCTTTCAATATTCTGTTATACTAGTATGTTTCTCCGGCTCAATGATCCAAACATTTCGCCACTGACAAACACCTAGTACCACGTTTGGCATTACAAGAATTCCAAAATACCACTCTTTCTGATTGCTGTGGCAAACGCCATTGCTGCGCTAATATACTTTGGCACTTTCTTGTGCGTTATTTTCCATCACCCTAACTCCTTCCGAGACTGATGGAACTACAGTGGATTCACAGAAGAAACAGCTAAGACCGGGAAAGTCTTCGTAGTCTGGTATATCACAGCCGTCTTGGAAACCGCCGTTAACATTGCTATATCATCGAAATGGAAAGTCCTTAGCTTCAGGGGATCGCATCTTGTTCAACGAATGACTTTGCTTACTTTAATTATTTGTAAGTGCATCTCCATGAGATACAGATGGATGATTACTGACCATTTCTATAGTGGGAGAAGGTATAATTGGAATTAGCAAGAGCATTGCGGATGTAAGTCCCTTCATCCCATTTCTCTCTAGAATTTTTTTACTAACTATCTGTAGATTGCAGAACAAGAAGAGTCGTGGACTGCATCACTAATACTGACTGTTGTCTCAGCTGTTGGAATAATTGTAAGTTTCCAACCCTCAATTATTTCGACACAAACAACTACTGACATATCCATCAAGTACTTTCTCTACATGCTATATTTTGACTGGCTAAATCGATCTCAATTTGGATCCATCCGTCAACAAATATGGGCATTCCTACACTTTCCATTTCATCTCGCCCTAGTTTTCCTCGTCGAAGGCGCCGCCCAGTTCGTCCGATGGCGCAAGGTAGTCGAAGTCATCAAGTAAGTTCTCCAAACTAATCGAATCCCCTCGCTAATGTTACGATATTAACATCCATCCAGCCAAGTCAGCAAAGAGTATGTTGATCAATTCAAAATAAGCCCCGCAGTCAATAGTCTCGATCTCAAAACACGACTAGCAAACGTCACTGAAACAATCTTCAACAAATTCCCACCGGAATTCACGCAAACGTTTTCGGATACCCAAAAAGCTTTGTTCAATATTGGCAATACGACTTTCAAATCAACAGAACAGTTGGGGAACATCACCACTTTATTTTCGACAGTCCAAGATTCTCTATTTGATAATTTTGGCATAGACCCCCCAGAAAGTGACGCTGCCATTACCGATCCTAACGAAGAATGGAATGAAAATGTGGGAGTTCTAGCACTTGTAGTACGTATAATATATCTTCCCACCTCCTCCCCCTTTTCCCCAGTCCTCACTCCTCACTCCCCACTCTCCTCACTCTCCTCACCCCCTCCCCCCCCGCTCAAAACCACACAACCACCCCCAACACCCCCAATCAACTAACCCCCCACCCCGAATTCAACAGTTCACCTATTTCCACCTCGCCTCCGCCCTAACCCTTATCCTAATGAGCACCCTCCACTTCCTCAGCCGACCAACCATGACGCGCGCAGATAAAATACGTCTCGCTATCAACATCGTGTTATCTGCTATATTAGCTTGTCTGGCGGGAATATCTTATACGCAGGCTGGTTTTGAGTTTGCGCAGAGTGCGTGGGTATTGCCGGTTGTGGCGGGGTTTATTTTTGGGTATGTTTTTTAATTTTATTTTAGTTTTTTTTTGAGGAGATGAGGGGGAGATGAGGGGGGGAGAGAAGGGAGAAGGGAGATCATGGGAATTTTACTAATGGTGAATATGATATATAGTTATGCTATTAGGGTATACGAAGGTTTTGTGGTGAGTGTTTGAATGTCTGAGGAATTGGTGTATATTGTGCGAGAGAAAGAAAAAAGTACCGATATTCAAAACGTGGATTAAATTAATAATAGGAGATTAGAATAGAGTATAATACAGGACGAGTATAATGTTATATTATGTTTGGATGTTTTGATGAAGGAGGTCATATCATATATCTATTCTCCAATTTCATATATATGCTTCATCTCTTATGCTATTCATCATCTCAAACTATCTCATCCTATACCATCTCATATCATTCATACCATCCCACGTTACACAACCCATACATCCAATCATAAATACCCTAATCCAATCATAACTACCCAGTAACCAATATCCCCAATACCCTATTCCAATCCCATCCCATGTTATCTCATCCCATCATATCATATCCTGCTATCCCATCCAAACCCATCCAACGAGCCAAAAAAATCAAAAAAATCAAACGAATGATATCCATCGCATCCATCGCATCCCATCCACACACACCCCACACCCCGCATACTGCATACTGCATACCGGTTCCTTCCTTCCTTCATTTGTGTGTGTGTGTGTGTTTTGTTGTCAAGTGGATCCACAACCACCGTACCCTACCCTGCCCTACCCAATCCATGCGCCCCACATACACAGACCGAGTACAAAGTATCTTCTCATATATACCCTCAACCCCAATCTCTCACACCTCTCACTCCCTCCATCTCTCACTCACTCCCACCCTCTCTTACTCCCTCAAACCCTCCCTCCCCTCACCATCAACAACTCCCCCAAAACCCCTCTAAATCTTCCTCTCCAAACCCTCTTCTCCCTATGAACCCCCTCATCCTCTGTTTCCCACAATTTTTCAAATCTTTCTTTTACATTCATACCCGCATCCCTATCCCCAACATAAATCTCCGACATTTGTTCGAATCCATCCACACCCTCACCAAAATCCCCATCCCCATCCCCATCCAACTCCAATTTCCTAACCGGAATACCCGCTAACATGATCTCTGACATCATTTCATTACCATCATCTCCATATCCATCTCCTTCATCATCATCCTCATCTTCACCATCCTCATCCCCACCATCAAGCGCATGCGCGGAGCGTAATTTCGAGAGTGAGGTGTGGATATGTATATCTGTACTTGTACTTATACTCATTTTCCCCTTATCTTTCACCATTTCCATTTCACTCCCTTTTTCATTTTCATTTTCACTTCCAGTTTCCTTGACTTCTTTAATTGAGTCCAATCCCGACTCCAAACCCGAAGCCAAAACAGCAGACTCAAAACGCAAAGGACGAGGAGGAAGAGCCGGAGCAATTCTCATATCCTCATCCCGTTCTTCCCATTCATCCTGTTCAATTTGTTCCTGAACCTCCCTTTCCATTTGTGCCTGAATATCTTTTTCCATTTGTGCTTTTATTTCTGCTTCAGCTTCTGCTTCTGCTTGTAATTCAGCTTCAGCATCCATCTGTGCATGCATCTGCGCCTGCATCTGCGCATCAGTGAATTCGACGCGGAGACTCGAGCTTGCACTTTGGCTTTGGCTTTGATTTGCAACGGTGGGGGAAAGTTCAAAGGTTTGCGGATTGGGGAGGATGTCGATTGTGGGTGTGGGGTTTGGAGCACCGGTGGGGGCGGGGATGTTGATGTGGATTTGTTCGGTTTGAAGTGGAGATGTGGAGATGAGGGGTGAGAGGGGGAGTGAAGTTCTAGGTTGAAGCTGGGGCTGGATTGCGAGATCTTCGTTTGCTGCATCGGTTGCATTTGCATGAGATGTAGTGGTCAAAGGATTTTCCACGTGAACGATTTCATCACTCGCGGTTTCAGTTTCGACATCTGCTGCTGATCCCAATACCGGAGCCTCCTCAAGACCAGCAATCACGACTGTCTTCCCAACATCCCTCTCCCTCACATCTTTCACCACGACCCCCACCAGTTTTCGAATCTCCCCACTGGCCCCCTTAGCCTGTTCCGCCAACACTGCTTTCCCAGCCCTCACATCCCATATATTAACCGCGCGTTTCCCCTCATGTTTGCGTCTCCGCTCATCCGCACAATGCAATTCCTTCTCGAGTTGATGGTGCAATTCCGAGAGCGTAAGTGGTAATTCAACCACATCCTCCTCTCTACCATTCCCAGAAAGTAAATGCACCTTTGAATCCGAAAGATTCGAACCCGCCCGCAAATGCGATGGATACGGTGGTCTTAACCAAGCATCCATGATATTCGTCGCACTATGCAGCAGTGAAAAATTACTTTGATCCAACACCTTCTTCAAAACCCCCCTTCGAATCCCCTCTCGAAATTGATTTCTCTCCGCTCTCCCCTTTCCTGCCCCAATACCCCAACTTCCTAATCCCCATTTCGGAGGATTCCGAATTGGAATATTGAAATCCGTTTCGTCATGTCCAAAAACGACATCGAATTTGGCGTGCGGCACGATCCAAAATACCGTTCGTTGTGTGTATCGAGATAAGGGGGTGGATTTCCAATGAAGGGTTAGATCGCCCGTCATGGCGTTAGGATCCAGGTCCTCTTCCCGACCGCGGATTTCTTCGCCGATACCGAATCCCATGCCGATACCGGTGCCGATTCCCATCCCTTCGAGATTTCTTTCGGTTTCATTGGAAATTTCTTCGGTTTCATTGGAAATTTCTTCGGGTTCTTCGGAGATTCCTTCGGGTTCTTCGGTGAAGATGGTGGGGACATTTGTGATGGGGATCACGGGGTGAGAATTGAGGGCTTCGAAAAGACTGGGATGACCTTCTGTGTGAGTGTGTAATGGTTTTGGTCGCTGGGCTGTTCGGGGTGGTGTATCGGCAACCATTGCACCAAAAGTAGCTCCAGGCCTTGGTGAAAAGGGATTCAAATCCGCATCTGGAAATAATGGGCTCGTCAAACTTGATCTCGCGATGGCTTCTGGCGTTGGTTCAAGAAGTGAGAAAATGGGAGGAGCTTGGGAATTGGATGGAACGAGAGTAGCAGTCGTAGAAGTACGACGAGGTGGAAGTCTAGGTGGAAGAGGATAATTTGTAGATGTAGAAGCGGGTGTATCTTCCGAAATCGTATTTTCTCTATTCAGAGGTGCGAAAACTCTTCTAAAGAGCGGTTCCGTTATTGATCTCTGGAGAGGTTTAATTTCAGCAACCGGTGCAGTTTGAGATCTAGCCAAATGCTTTGGTTTAAAGGGAATCTTTGGTTTCGAGACGGATTTTGATCGTGGTTTAGCTTCACGATCCGCATCGGGTTTCAAACCAAGGGAAAAGGCGAATCGGGAGGAAATATAATTGTAATCTAAGGATTCATTATAATAGGCTTGAGTTTCGACCTCAGTGAACTCTGGTGAGGTGCTAGATGTAGTAGTGGATTTGGGTGAGGGCATGATTTTGATAGGGAAAGTATAAGTTGTCTGGAGATTTGTTAGAATTTTATTTTGGTATTGACAACATGAGTAAAACCGGTGATAAATCAACTGGTAAAAATAACAAGAATGTAAGGATCTCGAAGAAATAAACTTACTTTTCTCCTTTCAATCTTAGGTCTCTCAACCCGTTCACTGCTCGCAGCAACAACCTCAGATCCATCGGTATCCATGGTACCATAAGCCAAATTATCGCCGTTCAACATATTTGAAGAATTGACCAGCTTCGCTTTACCAGCGGACTTTCCAAGAACTTTTGAAGGAGAAGGCAAGCAGTCGAATATATTACTACAGGACATGAATACCCTTTCCGGCTTTCCACCAATTTTAAAAAATAGGTACGAGAGCAAAAAGCGGTGATGATAATGTGATACCGGTAGTAGCAAAAGTTACCCAAGTAATCAAGTAACTACCTAAGCTGTCCAGCAGCTAGAACCAAAAAACGAGGAGGCGGGGAAAGAAAGTATCGGTAAAGAGATGCAGTAAATGTAAGATGTGTGCCGTTCTTTCAATATGTATGGAGGAGAGTATGAATATATGATATGAATACTAGAGTATATGAATAAGACTCTCTCACACTTGGTATGGAAAAATCAAAAGTAAAAGAAGATATGAAGCTTTGAACAATCTTTGAACAATCTGCAAGCACCACAAGAGAAGATATGGATATATGCTTCAGAAATATATTTTCACAACTCACAACTGTTGACTCACCTACAGTAACATCCAAGCATATCGGGTATAATTCTAAACCATTCCATTCCATGACATGTATTCATTGACGATTTTTCATTTTTTTTCAATTTTCATTTTCACATCGGAAAACAAGGCAAGATTTTGATTCGTGGATAATGGGGACGCTTGGATGATGTTTCCCATCTTCACCTGACGTGGTTCCTATCACGATTCATTGATGAAGAAAACGAGTTAACTTTAAAGTAAGCAAGCGATGAACGAACAAAAAACGAACCAGATGAACCAAACGAACCAAACTTTGCCAGCGAGACTTTCAAGTTCTCGCCTCATCATGATGAAACACCAGAAGGGTAAAATCTTTGGAGTTGTGGGTTGGAGAATTGGCTTGGTACCGTATATTATGCTATATCCGTAAGTATTTGTACGAATAGATAGATTTGATAGGTATGAATGAATGAATGAATGAATGGGGGGGTAGATGATAAGACCAAGATATGACGATATGACGAATATGATGGATATGACGATATGTATGAAAAAATAATGACTCTTCATTTATGTACTTACTACTCAGTACAGTGCCGGGTATCCATACCATCCATACCATCCATAACCATCCATCCATCCATTGAACATCATGTTTCGAGTAAGAAAGAATACCCGCCCAGATGCATGAGTTTGCTGTACCTACCCATCTTGATTAGCCACTTGTAGTTTACAAGTCTGCAGCATATCCAGGACCAAGACCAGGACCCCCTCTGTACAGTGTACATACTATCATACTATACCAGGTATTAATAATTGCTAGCTCGTACTATACGCCGTACGGTATTTAAGTCCGCCAGAAAAGTCCGCAACTCGGATAAGCTAGCACATGTCACATAAGTGGTAAACTACAGCAGGAATAAGCCCTAGATAGTTTTTGACTTTTCCGAATTGCGGACTTTTTGGCGGGCATGAGTAAGTAACACGTGAGGTTGTTAGGCGTGCGTGGTGGGGGTTGGGAATAAAATATGGGGATTGCATCAAATAACGGTGAGAGAAAGAGAAGGAGAGGGTTGGTTGGCCGTGAAGTTCTGCATAGGTATATTGCGTAGAGTTGCAGTGTAGATCATCATCATCATAAGTATGCCATCGATCTGCTCCCCGTACATATGTATATATCAGTAGGATAAGATAAGACTCAGAGATGGTATGATATGAGGTAACCGGTAGTTATGGTATGGTATGATTGGGATGGGATAAGATAAGATAAATAAATACCCGAATACAAAGACAGATATCTATAGTATATTGTATATTATCAGAAAGTCCGCAATTTGGGAATTAAGACAGTATATCAGGTATATAGTAGTCTACCCGAGTTGCGGACTTTCTGGCAGCATGAGTACTCCGCACAAGTACAAGTATACATCGATCTGCTCCCCGTACGTATGGTTGGCTTCTGTTTGCTTGCTTGCTTATACAGTGTAACATTAACATTAACATGGAATAATAAATGATTAGGATTAGGATAAGGAGTTATGGGCTGGGTTTATGAAGTTGAGGGGGGTAGACGTACCGGTATGTGTGAAACACATGGCTATGGCTCGCTGGTTGTCCCTGATACAATTGTCCCTGATACAATTACAATTATTAATCAATAATTCAATCCAATAATTTGAATTAATCAAGAAACCCCTCATCTTAAATCACAATCACAATTCATAAATATATATATACATATACATCACATTTACATCACATTTACTCGAGTACATCACTCACTCACTCACTCACTATACATATATATACCATACCCCAACCAATCGAATCAAGAAAAAGGGAAAAAAGCGCCCCTATAAAGGTATATATGTAAATACTCGAATATATCAATAGATACCTAGATAGATAGATAGATAGATAGATAGATAGAGACCCAGTACGTGAGTAGAGAGATGAAATAAGTAGGATATGATATAGGATTTTTGATCTCCTCCATGATGACACATGGAAATCTATTTGTGATAAGATTCAAGATTCAAGATTCAAGATCCATTTATCCATCTATCCATCTATCCATCTATCCATATATCCACCTCTGCTGATGGGAATTGAAGTTAATTATCAAGGCAAATCCTACAAAAAAATAAAAAAGTCCTTGAAATATTTTTGTATTTGTACTCCGTAGTAAAAGAGTATTTATTTCATTGAGTAAAATATGTGGTGATATCTTTCCATTCCCCCAATCTATCTTTTGTATGGTGCTGTTGTGCACACACAAAAACCATATTTCATCTCAACCATCCCGATCTGCCATTGTACAATGTATGAAGCCCAATTCCCAGATGTAGTATCTTGCCAGCCCAGCCCAGTCGCCCATACCATAAACGCCGTGGTCTTTATCATAGATCCATCCATAAAATTTCCTCCATTGCTGCCGCTCATTGTAAGACCTTTAATATAATTTACCCCGTCCCATATGACACCGTCAGCTCTTCGTAGGTTTCTTGCCCATCTTGTTGGCTGTCATCAACTTGATCGCTATAGGGAATACGCCATTTCTGCATGGTGCTTGATTGGCGAGTATCATGGTGCTTACTGTACTTCGACAAACGGGACATGACTTTCTACCATTATTGCCTGCGTGTAAGGCTGAGTGAAGGCATTCGGAACAGAATAGATGTCCTATATTGTGTTAGAGATGCCAGAAAAAGAACCTTGAGAACAAAATACCACAATGTGTAACGGTCAAATCCGTAGGGTTATCCATACAAATGATACACTGAAAATCCACCAATTTGATCGGTTTCGTTGCTTCATCTTGATTTTGTTGTTTGATCAAATCCTCCTGTCGTTTGGCCTTTGCAGCTTCGTATTCTTGGAGATTGGAATTCTCCGCGAGATCCACTACTTCAACGTCTTCCTCGGAGTCGATTTTGGATGGTGAAGTCTTGCGGCGTTTTGAAGATCTTGAGCTTATTCCAGTCTTTCGTCGTTTTGGTGACTTGGGTCGTATGAACGTAGCTGGACGGAGACTCGTTCCGGAAAGGGCTCTGCGTCTTTCTGGTGGAGGAGCCATGACTGGTAATGAATCGGTAAGATCAACTACACCGTTAGTATCAGATGTTCGACTAGGTATCCGCGGTGGCGATTGAAATGGGTTGTCAATATCGTCGCTATGATCACCAAAATAGGAATCCCAGTCAAGATCTCTTATATCCTCCACGTCGTCGTCAAAAATAGAGGATCCTCTTACTGGTTGTTGGGATATGGGTGGATATAGTCGTGAGTTGTGTGTTACTGTTTGATTTGAATGCAGTGGAAGTGGAGGTGGTGATCGATATCGGTTATTTTCGTCGAAGGGTCCAAAAGACGAGAGATCGGTGGGAGATGCGCTACGAGGCCGTTTTATAGATGCAGTTGTAGTTGTAGTTGTATTTGCATTTCCTATTGATCTGTAAGAAGAGAGTTCTGGCTGTACCGGCGGCAGATGAGATTCTGGTATGAAAAGTGGTGAGGACGATAGAGCGGGAAGCTCTAGTCGATTTCCGGAATCTGTCTGACTAATTGGAGGTAGAATCAAAGATTCATTTTCCTCTCCTCTGCCACTAAAGGATGCGTTATTCCATGCTGAACGGTTATTCGAGTTGGGGGTTGAAGCCGTATTCAAATCTCTATTATGGTAATGAGGTGAATATTGATAGCTTGAGGTCATTTTGGTATGTAAGGGCAAATGGAATGCGACAACATAAGTACTCCGTTAATTCGAGTACAATACAAGATGTTTATGAACAAAACAAACAATGAAAAGTAGGTAATGTGCCAACTGTTGTGTCATACAACTATTGTGTGATTAAGTCAAAGAGGAAAGAAAATTAGAAATCAAAAGAATATTCTAAGGAGGTCGAGTACCAATACCGTCGATATTGGATTGATTGTAGAGTAGTTTGTGTCACATCTAACCGTAATGTACAGTATTGCCAATGATGAGAAGAGAGTTGAGTAGAGTAGAGTAGAGGAGTTGAGTTGAGTTTAGTTGAGGTTGGAAAGGGCAAGAAAAGGAAAGGAAAGGAAAGGAATGATTTTCCTTTGGGAGGTGTCGTAGTACTACTGCTGTAGTGCCAGTGTTCTGTGGATTTATTATCTATTATCTGTTGATTAGTGATAGATGAATGTTAATATAACTCCAAAATATAGGTAGGTACTGATTAGTTATACTTATAACTTATACTTGTATAAGTGTAAGTTTTCATACTACGAGTCAAGAATAGAACATTATATACGGGATGGATTTGACTGGCTAGCCTTGCATATCCAGGATTAGTATCGATAATCTAATTTTTAAAAATTATAAATATTTAGATATATAATAAGTATTATATAAACTTTAAAAAGTTCTAGTTGATTAAAGATTTGTTTTGAATTTAAAAATAAAAAGCTTAAATTATTAAACTCTTTTAAAATTTCATTTGTTGGTAGCCTTGCAGGGAGGTAGCCTTGTCATTGCCGAAAAAACTTTCAAGAATTTCGAAGGACGTCACTAGCAGATCCCGCGATATCGCGTTTACTTTACTCGAGTAGTTATTTCCATATTACTATGTAACATGACCAAGATAACGATTTAATAAGAGATTTATTCATTTTGTATTATGCTTCTTTCATTTCGTGCTGGTCGTGCAAGTAAGCCAAGCGCAAGCTTTGCTCGTCTAGCAAAATATCGAGCCCATAAACCTCAAGATCTCCCAATACCTTATCTGCGACGGCGAACATATGCCGCAGATGCAAATATATCAGGACAAGAGTCTACTAGTGCAAGCGATGAATTAAGTAGGTGGAGAGAGTTTCGACAATTGCGCTGAACAATAGCTAAGCAAGTGCAGAAGACCCAGAATCTCGATTTAATGAGATAGGAGTTCAACAAATAAGTCATCATGTATACACTCAAGTATTCACGGATGATAAGCCGCCTCCTTCCCAGGAACTCATAGAACTTTCGAAAGATCATCTGCTGAGGCATGAGTTACTTGGAAAGAATACAGACAATACCCCTCCAATATCCTTCGACCTTCCCGAATTACAAGGTACGACACTTGATGAGCATTTTTACAGATTAGGTAGTGATGCTTCCGAACCGTACTTGACCCATGCGAAGCAATTCGCTAACACAGAAACCCCTCAACGACCTCGAGAATGGTCACATAAAAGTGGGTGGACGAGGTACAATGGCGATGGTTCGATGGACGCGGTTGAGGCGCCAGATGAGGAAATGTTATGTTTCGATACGGAAGTGATGTGGAAAGAAAGTTCCTTTGCTGTGATGGCTTGCGCTGTTAGTCCTACACATTGGTATGCTTGGTTATCACCATGGCTGTTAGGGGAAACCGACAACGACCGTCAATTGATACCTCTCGGAGATCCAAACACACCTCGAATTATCGTTGGGCATAATATTGGTTATGATCGAGCAAGAGTAGCTGAGGAATATGATATAGCTCAGTCGAAGAATTATTTCATGGATACCATGTCATTACATGTTGCTGTCAATGGAATGTGTTCACGTCAAAGACCGACTTGGATGAAACATCGAAAGGATCGAGAATTACGGGAGAAGATCGCTAGTGAGACGGATAACGCGGATTTAGCATCATTACTAGGGAACAAGACTCTTTCGGAAGAAGAAGAAGCAGAGTTATGGATAGGCAGAAGTTCTGTCAATTCGTTAAGAGATGTTGCAAAGTTTCATCTGAATGTTACAATTGACAAATCGGCGAGAAACGCGTTTGGTGACTCTGATCGCCAAGGTATCAGAGCCAAGCTCGATGAACTTATTGATTATTGTGCGGCGGATGTTGATATTACTCATCGAGTTTACAAGAGAGTGTTTCCAAATTTCGTGGATACATGCCCACATCCGGTCAGCTTTGCAGCGCTAAGGCATCTCTCATCAGTCATTCTTCCAGTCGATGATAAGTCATGGGAATCTTATGTCGCCAATTCCGAAGCTACCTACCAGAAGTTATCAGATGCAGTACAAGACCGACTTCTTGCGCTGAAAGATAAAGTGTTAGAAATCAAAGATGATAAAGAGATATGGAGTACTGATCCCTGGCTAAGACAACTTGATTGGACTACTCAAGAGGTTAGGATGGTGAAGGTAACGAAAAAGGGCGAGCTACCCAGACAAGCTAAAGGGCAAAAGATGCCAGGCTTCCCGAAATGGTATAAGGATCTTTATCCGAGAACCGCCGCCCCTATTAATCTATCAGTTCGTACAAGAATTGCTCCGTTACTTCTCCGCCTGGCCTGGGATGGTTATCCATTAGTATGGTCCGATAAATATGGCTGGACTTTTAGAGTACCAATTGAAGAGGCTCATAAGTACACATCAAAACAAATGCAAGAGTGTAGTGCGTTTGAGACACCTGATTTGGCTCTACGAGACGATACATCTGCCGTTTACTTCAAAGTCCCGCACAAGGACGGTCCGTTGGCAAAATGTGGAAATCCGATGGCCAAAAGTTACGTGCAATACTTTGAGCTAGGTATACTTTCATCCGAGTACCCGTTTGCAAAAGAAGCACTTGAGATGAATGCTTCTTGCTCTTATTGGATAAGCGCTAGGAATCGTATACAGTCTCAGATGACTGTCTTTGAGCGCGATGGAGCAAAAGGACCATCATCCCCGGAATCCGAGTCGGAGACGGGTTACATTCTACCACAGATTATTCCCATGGGGACTGTGACTCGAAGAGCCGTGGAAAACACGTGGCTTACAGCGAGCAATGCCAAGAAGAATCGGGTTGGCTCAGAACTTAAGTCGATGATCAAGGCACCACATGGTTATTGTTTTGTGGGCGCAGATGTCGATTCTGAAGAGTTATGGATTGCTAGTCTTGTCGGTGATGCCCAGTTCAAGCTACATGGTGGGAATGCTGTCGGATTTATGACTTTGGAGGGTACTAAAGCAGCTGGTACAGATCTTCATTCTCGGACAGCTGCTATTCTTGGTATCACAAGAAATGATGCTAAGATCTTCAACTATGGTCGGATCTATGGAGCTGGTTTGAAGTTTGCTTCAACCTTACTTCGGCAATTCAATCCCAATCTCTCGGAATCTGAAACCACAGAGACGGCTGGCAACCTATACAAAGCTACCAAAGGTGTCAAGACTAATAGAAAGGCACTTAATTCCAGAGCTTTTTGGCGTGGAGGCACTGAAAGCTTTGTTTTCAATAAGTTAGAAGAATTCGCAGAAGAAGAGAAACCAAGAACACCTGTTCTTGGTGCTGGGATAACCCAAGCTCTCATGGCACGTTACGTTTCGAAGGGTGGCTTTATGACATCGCGCATCAATTGGGCAATTCAATCCTCGGGTGTAGATTATCTCCACCTACTCATCATCTCCATGGACTACCTGATTCGTCGCTTCAATATCAACGCTCGTCTATCCATTACCGTCCATGATGAAATCAGATATCTGGTTAAAGATCATGATAAATATCGTGCGGCACTAGCATTACAAGTATCAAATCTCTGGACTCGAGCCATGTTTTCCCAACAGATGGGAATCAACGATTTACCACAATCTTGCGCCTATTTCTCCGCGGTGGATATTGATCATGTGTTAAGGAAAGAGGTCGACATGGATTGTATAACCCCTTCACACGCCACCGCAATCCCCCACGGCGAATCAATAGATATCCAACGACTTCTCCTCGAACCTACCGCCCTTCTTGACCCCAACATTACCCCCACGGAACCTATAGACCTCTCCAATATCCTCTACGAATCCCGCATCCCCGTCATGGAATCCCTTCATAAATCTACCGACCTCATGTTCCTCAGAGCTCAAATCTCGGCTAGTGATCAAGAACTCAAAGATATCTTGAAGGAAAAAAGGAAATTGGATGATGCGAAATTACCACAAGAACCAAAGGTCAACAGGAATCGAAATCTCCCTTATGAATCCTATGCGCACTTAATGGAGGAACCTATTATGGTTAGCGATGCGTTGAGTGTGGGAAGAGCATTCGATGCTGCGAAAGGAAAGAACCTACCATGGGACGTCAAGGGGAAATTCGGGGGAACGAGGAGTGGTGCAGGAGCTAGATGGTAGACTTTTAAGAGTCAGCCGTGTCAGCAGGTTGGCAGTTTACTTTTTTGGGGGGGGGGGGGCTCACTCACTCACGTCTGTCTAGTCTGTTCATGCTTCATCTTTGATGTTCTTCTTCTCTTGTATGATTGTTATTATGAAGTTTTGGGTGGTCGTGAGTGGTAGGTAGGGTGGTAGGGTGATTGCGGCAACAGGCGTACGGTACGGTATCTGGGCGTGTTCATTATTTAGTTTGTTGAGTCGACTGATCTGTATTGTACAGTATGTATAATACTTTACGGCTTGCGGCTTGCGCTTGCGCGCGCGGTCTCTATTTAAGTTAAATCATAAGATATAAGGGGAAGGGAAAATTTCTTGGGTGTTATGTTATGTTATGATATGATATGATATGATATGACAAAGGGGATGGATGATTTGTATATGTGTATGTATTTATTTATTTCTTGGTTTATTTATCTGTTTATTTAATTGGTTCATTTATGATGTATCTGTATCTGTACTTATATATGTAGATATAAATGTATATCTAAAAGCGAGTACAATAAAAAAACAAAACGACCTAACCAAGGATTTTATAAAAGGAGATTGCTATGCTATGCTACTCGAGTATTTATACTCAATACTCAATACAGTCAGTACTCATTAAACGCAATATGATAAGATTGAAGAATCCAACTACTCGATCGAGTATCGAGTACTTGACTACTCGTGCTATATAAAAGAAAGCTAAAGAGTTGTATGTAAAGCTGAAGAGTTAATGCAAGTTAGTTGTTAGTAATGGATTAGGTGCGATTTGTGCCTTGTGTATGAAAGGCGGGGAGAGGAATAGGAAGAGGAAGAGGAACGGCAATATCGGAAACAAATATGAGCACTCGTAGAGGAGAGGAACTATTGTTGCTGATTCTGTAGTATTAATTACATGAAAAGCTTTTCATCATTAGAGTATACGAGTTAACTTCGATTTCCCCCAACCATATTTGATCATAACTCCTCTCTCATAAATAATGCTACAATTCTTTTCATTAGTCCTTTATAATAGTTCATGACCCCACTATACATATGAATTCATTAACATTCTCCCTCCCACCTTCCCTTCCTTTCCCAATACTTCCCTACCTAAAAAAATGAACACCACCCAATATACATAGCGGTCAAATTTCTCGGATCCGTCGCTTGTTTAATCAATTCATCCACATGGCCCTCCACACTAAGCGGTACACTCTCGCCCGGTAGCAAGCCCTTCACTTTTCTCTGTATAACATCCAGAACCGTCTGAGCACTCTGCGTTCCATCATTTGCCATCTCTCTCTTCTTCTTATCTACTTTCTTCATGAGATCTAGGGTTGGATCATAGATGAAGGCTTCGAGAATCGTCATTAATGTTTCTTCATGTTGGCGCAAGAGCTTCAGTGTAAGTTCCGAGGATTTGCGAAAGGGGCCTTCGTAGCCGTACAAGCCCATTGCATCGACCATGTTATGGGTGAGACGGAAGGGAACACGTTCGGGCTTTGTGAAGGTTTTGCCTTTGTCGAAGAGACAATTGAAATCGACGTGGAAGGTTCCTCCGTTTCCTTCCTCAAAAAGGATATTCTCGGTATGGCGATCTCCTAGACCCAGAATTGTGCCGACCATAGACATAACGGCACAAGAGCGAGTGTAACGAAGTCTAGCAGCAAACCAAGCTGAGGGTTCGGGAAATTGTTGAATAAACCATAAGTAGAAGACGGGCTTAAATCCACCGAGAACCTTGTCCGTGAAAAACGAGAGCTGCTTATCGCCTTTCATTGCTTCCTGACAAAACACATCGATTTCTCGATAATCGGGGTGTATGCCCATAGGTTTGTATAATTCCAATAAAATCTTGCGGAACGTTTGAAGTCCTTCTATCCATTCTATGATCCCACATTCCTCGTTGAGAGGGGTGACGGCATATGTCTTGACGTACAATTGACGTCTACTTGACTCTGCATCGCGTTTGAGAGCTCTATTCATCATACCATTGAATTCCATAAGACGCTGATCCATTCGGAGGTCATCTTTCGGTTTGCAAAGAAGACCATAGTGTTGTCCATTTGAGGCCAGAGCCTTCAACCGTCGCGGTTTCGCCAAGGAGTTTAGAACCAAAACGTCGTCTTCGAAAGCATTGATGGTAATAACGTCGCGGGAGAAAGCTTTGTGTGTTGTTACTCTATCCGTGAGAGTTGGCAAGGTTGCTGTCAATGCGGCCTCAACTGGGCAAGCAAGCAGACTTGGCAAGACCTTGTTTTTAAATTGTAGTTCCTTGGTCAAACTAGCTTTATACGTCTTTTGTCCTGGAAAATCTCCGGCTTTGCATATCTTCAAGATCTCGCTGGTAAGATCTTGACCGTTTCTGATTAGTGCTTTAATATCTATTGCACTGTTATCGACCCTACCTGAGGCGTTCGTTAACTTTTGGAGTAGCTCCTTTCCTTTGTTGCGACGATCCTGCTGCGTCGAAGTGCTCACAGCTAGCAAACTCCAAAGTGACTGTTGAGGATGCGCAGATACAACTTTCAAAATGATCAATTGAACGAATTGATTCACTTCCTTGTGTGGATGAGTAATCCGTGAAACAATTTGCGGTAAAGCGGTATAGAATATGTAGGCCGGCATTTTGGAAATGTATTTCTTGAACCGAAGATGAAGGTCGTCCAGAGTTTTCTTTCGCAATTGAGTCATCTTACTGACAAACTCTTGCGAATGACGCTTCGGATCAATTTTCTGACTGAGCTGCGTACCAAGATCTAACCAAAGCGTCAGGATACGAGGCAGGGTCTGGTAAACGTACTTAGTACCATGACCTAAGGAGCGAAGGTAGTTCGAAATGACCAGTGATGCGGTCTCCCCAGAAAGATAATTTTCATCTTGTCGCTCCAATGGTAAATTACTGGCCGATTCCAATAGTTTATTGTAATGACGTCCCAAATAATAGTGACCTTTCTCCCAAGCATTGTGTGTCTTTGCAGCGAGTTGGTATTGGGCCCGTAAGGCGGATGAGTTGGTTTGACCAGCACGGTCAAGCCATTTTGCAAGCAGAAGGTGAGCTCTTGCTTCGAGGAGATTTTGTTGTTGCTTCCGATGTGAATCATCAAAACTTATAGATGCCTTGCTTATCTCATTGTGAGATATAAAAGCATTACTGTCAATTGCACCCTGGAGGCTCTGAATCGCTTTTCGATGTTGTTCTTCCTTCCATAGAAGTCGTGCATGTTCTATCTTTGCCGATTCGTCGCCGAGCTGTGACGCATGGAGCACAGCATTGAAAGATTGATGTATTGCATTTCCTTTCCTAGCAAGGCGCGCACTGGTCAACCAGGCGGAGGCAAGATCTCCCTTTGTAAAATCGAGACTATGAGGAAGTTAGAAAAGTTGGAACACAGAAAGTATAGCTTACCTAGATAATTGCATGGCGGCTCGTCTTATCCCCAACAAGTATTGTTTGTCATTCAAATAACCACCGATTGTTTCGAGCCTTCGGTCAAGTGACTCTAAGAGCTCCTCCCTTGGCATAGGTTCAGTACGATCAAGACCAGTAATCATCTCTAATTCCGTGAGTACATGAAGCTTCAGCATTGGATCGTGACATGATCCAATCGACGATGTGGTAGCCCTTGATAAAGAGCAAGTAATCTGCTCTCTAAGTTCCTGAATGGTTGAGATAAACCTCTTTGACTCATTTTGATGTAAAGCAAGTAGAGCCTTTCCAATGCTGACATTGAAATCTTCCTCTAAATCACGACCAGCAATTGATGTATATTTTTCCAGGGCAGCCCACCGACCCGTTGCCCACGAGGCCTCCGTAGCGAACGGCAATAGTTTTCCTATTGTTTTGGTGGCAGTGTGCATACCCTCGACATAATTAAGTAAAACATCTGTAATTCATTAGCAACGGTTAATAACTGCACAGAATATAAGGACTGACCATGTTGCCCAGATTCCTTTAGGCAGGTAAGGAGATTGAGTTGAACATCGACATCTTCAGGATTTTCTGCAAGTTTGATCTCGTACCACCCTTGGGCAGCTGTCCAGCGCCCCGCCTTACGGTGCCCAAGAACTATTTGATCAATATCTAAGACATGAAGATGGGCCGATATTCCCTCGATACCATCGGGCTCGTCTATTTGGGTATATATCTCCTGCAATCGCTCGAGATCTGAAGTTTCTCTCGAAATGTCCTTCTTCGCTCGAACATTTCGAATGTGCTGTTCCCAATTAAACAAAGCCCTAGAGTATGACTTACACTGTATGGCTCGAGCTGAAACGATCTCAGCTGGGATACTCTCGATAAGTTTAGTGACCCTTCGAACTTGCTCCAAGGCCCCGGCGGTTGTACTTGCGCCACCAGCTCGCGTGTCTCGAAGGATCACGACCTGCTTCGCTTGAACCCAGCGAGAAAGGTAATCGAGGACACGAAAGACTGCCTGTGTATTTGGTGTCAATTCGATATCTCGCTAACAGAACATCAATGCTTACCTCGCTACATAACTTCAGCTCTTCTTGCTTGATATGAGATGTTGACGTCGGCTCGTATTCTAATATACCCAGCAATTCTGCCCCGATATTATCTCTTTCTTGATCTGTTCCTTCTGCGACTAGGTGGAGAATCAAGTATGGTAAGAGGAAACTTGCCACCGAAAGGTCCTTGATTCGGATTGCTCGGCCCAGGGGAGCAAAAATCAACTCGGCGTTGTAATTCTTAGGTTTCTGTAAAAGGTCAAGAACGAAAGTCTTCAGCCAGTTGTTATACTTGTTCATTCTGTCCGGTTGGTTATTGTCAGGCCGGAAAATGGGGTATGTAGTAATTGAAACCTCCATTTTCAATACAGCGAACATTGAGGTAAGGAAAGGCGTAAGGGTGGCCTGCACACTCTCTGGAAGAGACTCCCATTTCTTGCAAAGTGGATTATTGGAATCTCTTTCGCCAGCTGTCAGCATCGGTGCGCATACGTCTGCAAACCCAACTGTTAACAGTAATTCCTGCATGACGAATGATAAAAAGCTTTGTAATGATGTATCAGTCGCCGACAAAAATGCCTTCACAATGACTTCTTCCAGAATGAACAGCACAAAATCAGTTGTTTCCTCCGTGTCATTGAAATTCATAATAACCACCATTTCCCGTTGATTTCTGACGGCTTCAACTCTATTAGGATCAAGACAGCCTATCAAACCGATACAGTCTCCCGATAGTTTAGCGATATCATGATGTGATTCGTTGAACTTGATGCATGCATCCATGATCGAACGCACTAGCTTACCAACAACCACGTCTGGCTGTTCGCTCACAGCTGATGCCTGTAGATACGACTGCTGCGATTGAAGCAGATCTTTCAATTCAAACAAAGCTTGGGCGACAACCCCGGCGTTTTCATGTCGAATCCGACGACTGAAAATTTGAAACCCATTACTGACATCTGTCGGCCTCCTTATGCTGTTGAGCTTATGTTCGATATCAACGAGCTGCGAGAATTGAGAAAGGGATGGTAAGTTGACTATCTTATTTCGGATAAGGTGGGCTCGCTTTTGAAGAAGGTATTGCAAGATCTCCTCGGCTGCTTTCTTGGTAAAGTCATCAAAAGATTCCCAGTGTTGTATAATGATCACAAAAGTGCTTTCAAGCATCCATTCTACATCTGCATCATCAAGATATCGGAGCATAGCTGACCATGCTGAAAATGCTGAAGCTTGAAGGTCTTTTTGAGCCAAGGCGGACTGCAGACAAGCACATATCTAAAGAGATTAGCCATCAAGTAGAAACCAGATTCAATGACTGTACTCACTTGTGGTCGAGCTGCCCTAGTATAGGTCTTTCCAATGGTGACCATTTCTTCGATCGCTCTCACATTTCGCTTCTTCTCCCAGCTAGATTTCTCATCCTTGTTGTCATTCACAATCTCCGAGATATGGGTGACTAGACCGAGATTGTGCTGTTCCAAAAATGCCGCCATTGGATTCTTCCCCGCTCGGTCTTGTTCTGGACTTTGTAAATTCTTAACAAGAAATTGTAGAGCAAGTTGAATCTAAGAGAATTAGCTTCCGGCACATCGAATACAAGAAATTATACCTACTCCTGATTTTTTACTATCATCAACATCCCCGGCTACCTTGAGAAGATGAAGAAAAATAGTTGGTGAGTCTATCCTAAGAAGATACTCAAAATCCAGTTGTCGCATCTCGAAGTCTGAAGAGACAGAGTTCAGCACAGACATTGTGTGGATTTCAATATCTCGTACATCCTGCACAAGTAATAATGCCATGATATGAGCAACATTAGGCCTTTGCGTACATATTCGCCAAGATTCTTCGTTCCGAGCTTGAGCAATCTTTTTGATAGTCTTTCCATCGCGCCATAACACTAGCCACGGCAATGTGTAAGCTTGTGTAAGAATGAGGAAATCGGGAACGGTGATCTCTAGCAAATCGGCCATCAAGTGGGTAGTCTGTGGACGACTAAGCAAGTTCTTCACGGCAGCAATGGCGACACTTCCCCAGAAAGGACTAAATAAACGTCCCACAGGCCTGTCGACAGTGCTGTTACGACTGGCCAATTTCAATATCTAAACGAGATTTAGTAAATTACGTTTTGGTCGACGATGCAAACTCGCTTACTTCGTTGTAGGCTGCGTTTGACACAATTGGATTGGAATGCCCTAAGTATCCAACGAGCTTTGTCAAGACGATACTTAGCTCCCCATCAATCAAAACCCTAAGGTTGTAAGCATGAGAATAACGCGCGATCGATTAAGTCATACGGACCTTGCAAGTTGACCCCATGCAAGAACACATGACTCCTGCCAATGAATGTTGGGCTTTTCGCATAGATCGCGTAGTATAATCAGTACATTTGTTCTATTTTTTAAGACCAGATCTTGTGGGGCTCCTGGTCCCTGCAGAAACCCGGGTAATGTGCGACTAGAATCATTCAGCAAAAGCCTAATATACGCCATGAGTAGACAGCAACGTACCCGGCCGCGATTCGCAATTCACGCATGGAACTTTGAAGAGATTGTAAACACCACTGACCAAGTGCAGAAGTTTCTAAATTGAAAAATCCCTCGTCTCTAAAATGTGTGGCAAAAGCCTTGACGGCTACCATTGCCATGACCCTCGATTGTCGTGAGCTTTGGAACGCAGGTGACTTAACCAAAGTGGTTAAAATTAAAATTGCCTCATTGCCGGTTTTTTGACACAAATCATTGTCCAATGTCGTGATACTCGGAGGAGGACGCTTTTCGCACATAAAACATTGAGATGTGATTATGTTTTCAAATTTGTCTCTAGTAACGGCCAAAGACCCATATGCCGCACATGGAATCATAGATAAATAATCAATAGCTTTGCATCGGTCAGAATCTTTCAAGTCCGCAAAATATTTCCTAAAGAAACGTTAGAGTTTAACGAGTGGTATCAACGGTCATACTAACTCAGCCAGATGGCATAAACCATCCATATCCATCACCTCTTGGTCACCGAGAAGAGAATATAGCTTGGCAATAATCTCTTGTAAGAGGCCTTCTTCGGCATGTATTTTTCGACGTTTGCTAGCTGGAGCTGATTTATTCGATCGACCTTTAGTGTCCTTCAACATGAGTAGGCTGAGATCGGCGTTGAGAGAATCCGTTTCAAAACTTATATGAGGTAGAACAAGTTCAATATCGGTATTCTCTGTTGATTGGCAAGCCCAAATCAAAGCAGTTGAAGCATTCTATGTAAGAGTGAGTCAAAACTCAGAAGGTGGGAAGATTGCATACCTGAAAGTCTTTTCCCGCTATACTACACGCATCCTTATCATCAAGCACAGTGCGAAGCTTTGGTAGCAGGCACAAACGAACAGTTCTGCAGTTCGAGTCGTACTTTCTACAGATTTTTGCCAAATCCAACAGAGCTTGGCAGAAAACGAGATTCACATCCCTATCGGTCACATATGATGAATCTCTAATTATATCTGCACTGATGAGTGCAAGATAAGCATACCCCTTTCGGACCAAAGACTCTGAAACCGATTTCTGAGTGGATGTTAAGAGGGCGTGAAGGGCACAGAAAAGCGAAATTTTTGGGACTTCATAATCTTGATGTAACGTGCCAGGAGATATCCAGACCTTTTGCAACTCGTAGGATGAATAAAACGAGTCAAGCATCCACGCTAAGTAGTCTTGGAAGGCGGTTGTTGCGTCGTGAAAAGACGCAGCTTGAATCGAGACCTTTACCAAGATAGATAGGACACATATAGCATGTTGAATCCCACCTGCAGCATCGTGTATTCTATATGTGCATGGGAGGGATGATTGGTTTAGATCTTCCTCGATATTGAAGTAAAATGCTGAAAGATCGAACTGATCAGAGGGTAGTACAAATTCAGTTACCTCTCCACGCGCAATGAGGCTTATATTTTGGAGAACATTAAGAATAGCTGCGGGATATAAGCGGATATCGGGTGATGTGTGCTTTTAGGTGTACTTACTAGATATACTATCCTTTAGATAGGAGAAAAAGTTGGAACTAAGTCCCCAAAGCTTTGGTGATCTTGCTACAACCTCGAACGAGGTAGAAAAAAACACCTGTATTTTTGCAGTGAGCTTTTGGCAATTCCAACGACCTAGACATGACAGGATGCGTGGAAATAGCCATATCCAGAAGGGCTCTGAGCCGCGTGTTTTTAAAGGGTGATCCTGAGTAGATATATAATTGAGTATATTTGGCACATCTTTGACAGTCGAAATGATGACATCGAGTGTTTCAGAAGCCTGATTAATGACATTTTGAACATTCATAAAAGGGTCATCTTTGTTGAGTTTATCCAGGACTACTTTTGCGATAACATATAAAAGCTTATGTTTGTGCTCAAGCATGGCATCGGGATCCGTGAAATCGGAAGGATCATTTTCCCGAATGGAAACTTCAATCATGAGCGACTGTAAATCATCATGTTCAATCTGACGGGATGGCTTTTTCGTCGAGAGGTTATTGATTAATTGTGCAGCCATAGTTGATGGAGGTGCTTCCCAACGTCCTGGAGTGCCATTTGGCGGTTCATGAGGTACCATTTTTGCATGGCCATTTATTATTACGATCGCTTTCGACAGGAATATTTGAATATTTGGCCATTGGTTGATTGTTGGGAAAAGAAAGTTGTTGGACGCGTTCCTTTCCACGAAAAACAATTAAGAGATTCACGATTGCACGTGACTCAAACGCTTTCCAAGATGGAGGAAGGCGATTTTGGTCATTTGTCATCAGTTAAGTTCACTTTGGCGACAAGTACGATTGATTGTATGAGAGAATCAAACATTCACTAGGTATTCACATGCCCTAATCTACAATCGACAAATCACTTATACGTTATTTTCTCAAGGGACTCACAAAATGGCAATCTTTGGAAGCAAGAAGTTTCGCGGAGCAGCAGAATCAAATACCTTCGCCGCAAAATATCGCAGCGCTCTTGCCAAGCATCCCTTCGCTCTCTTCGGTTTGCCATTTATTGCAACCATGGTTGCTGGATCCTTCTTTCTTACGCCCGCCGCAGCTATCAGATACGAGAAACACGATAGACGTGTGCGAAGGTTAAGTAAAGAAGAGGAGCTGGGAATTGGTAAGACTGGAAGACGAGTGGATATGAAGGAAGAATACTATGTCAGTGTGCCGTTTTAGATTTCTGCTAGGGAAAGATGTGCTGATATTCATTGATGCTACAGAGACTTGCCGCTAAAGATTTAGACGATTGGGAACAAAAGAGAGTCAAGAGACTTCCGGGAGAACATGATGGTAAATTGTAGTAAGATGTTTGAGGAGAAAGAGGAGAGACAAGGCGAGGTTTGCAACCACCGATATCGAACTCGAATATTTACGCAATTTCGACGCGGCTCAAAAATTCTGAGCTGTGTGGACTTGAGAGCATATTTCATCACGTCAGACGATGACACGAGCAATTTAAAGCTACGGCCAATCCATCAAGGCATCGTTAGGGTCTATGAAGCGGCGCTTATGTAGTAGGTCTCACATACTCGATACTAGAAGAGCTCTTCATTTGACAGCAGGTACACTTCTTCACCTATGAACTAAATGCCATACCAATCGCAACTCAATTCGTACATGTCGAACTTAAAAAATCTCGGCATAAGCAGTCAATGTTACATGCACCATGCTATTGATCCTTCATTGAGTCCATTCAACGAATCTTTCAGCCCACGCTCCCGAAACGAGTGCCATACAAAACTTTCAGTTCTCGAACCTACACTTCCTAGATTTCACCGCTTAACCCGCCTAGTAATGTCGTGGTAGTCTGCAATATCCGTAGCAGTATGGAAGGTTTGACTCTTTCTCAAGATCTCCGCCATCCTCAAAACTTTCAAACACATCCACTCTGGTTGTTTCCAGTTCTACTTGAGTACGGCGATACCATGTTCAAGTCCTAGACATTTAATTGTATCCAAAAGTTTGGGGCCAATTATATATGTTATTAATATGGACACATTCTTTCCAGGTCAGTTTGACGTCTAACACCCCGGAATCTAGGTTTGCGAATCTGGGGCGGCAATTGGAGTGATTCTCTAGGGAATCTCCATTAAAATATCGATTGGGCATGTTGTCGCAGAGCAGTAGTGCGATTTTTAAAACATGATGCTCGATGGGAAGAAGTGTTTACGAACACCCAAAATTACGGACATCTGAACTGGATTCTGCGATGTTAGCATGCACGTCAAATACATTACTGAATGCTGGAAATTTGACAAGAATGGTAATCCGATGGGATCTCCGCCCTATATTTTGCTATCGAGGCTCTTGAACACTTCTGGCTCCCAGGTTGGCATTTACAACCAGCATGAAAACGAGAAATTCACAACGCTTCCAAATATCCAACCTCCACAATTTCGTCCATCTCCTCAGGAATGACAAGAGGCACCAAACATTGTCGATAGTCTCTCGTCTGCTCGAAATGTGTCGCCACATATCTTAAATATTCACCCCAAGTTCCAGGCCTCGAATCCGCTTCTTCATTGCCGGCTCTTTTCCAGAAGGATGTCACAGCTAGTGGCATACCGGGCTGCCAGAATCCCTGACTGAATTTTGCAACGGATGAATGCACCAGGAGATTATGAACGAATCTCTCTGCTTCTTGTTGAAGATCCCTATTTGATGCGTTTGAGGAGGTATCTCGTACAGTATTTAGCAATTCGAACATCGTTTCTCCGTCTATGACGTCTTGGTCACGATACATCTCCGGCCAAGCATCTAATAGGAAAAAATGCTCTTTGAAGTAAGAAGCACCATCAAACCCCTTCTCACCGGGTTCTCGAAGCAAACGTAATCGTTCATATGCGAGAAAATGAGAAGCATAGTCGGTGAAAGCTTCGTAATCGGGATTCTCCCCAAATGTCGGATCATCTGGCCTTAGTAGTCCTAAATGGCGTACTAAAGGATGTCGATGGATGTTTGTAACGTCGGTACTATTGCCCCACATCTTGACATATATCTCATGCCCTGGTCATATCATTTAGCTGATAGCATGTTACTTTGTGTAGAAGCATCGCCTACATCTTCTGATGAATGGGTTGTGTTTCTGGCACGCGATAAAATTATTCATCATCTGTCCGAAATATCTGCGGAATTGCAAAGCGAATCCAGCGACTTTATATGGAGTTCTTGAATCTTCGATAGCAGACCAGCAAATATCATCGAGAGTTCGGAACAGCATAGTACCGACGTCCATATATACACCACCAAACTATGAGGTCAAGAAGTCAGCACAACCTTTAAAACCCACGATGTAAGTTCTGCGCACATGGTACAACACAACAAGCCTGACAAGATCTCCGGCATGTTGACCAGCCCCTTTACCGCTCATCTTTCTATTGTTGAAAGCTGGTGGGAACTCTTTCCTTGCCGACATTGGAATATATTGAAACACATTATTGTTAGATCCGGTGGCTAGATTCACTACTCTAACTGTCCATGTTGGCCCAAGACGACGAACCCAATTGATCACGTTTCGTTTAGTCCATGCCGGCATATGTTCAAACCCTTTGTCCCAAAACCCCCAAACATTCTTCTCTGAGGTAATGGGTTGGTATGTGTTTAGCTTCGCAATGATTTCGGCATCGCTTCGAAAGTCGAGTTGAGATACTGGTATTGGTACCATGCCATCGACAACGATATCTTCGGTTTTCAACATCTCGGTCGGAGCTAGAGGGGCCATTTTCTGGATTTGAAAGCTTTTTAGTACTTCTCTTGGTACTTCTACCTCATGGAGCCTATTTAATGAATTGGTTCAAGTACCTTCAATAAATATCAAAAGTTAAGAGGGAGCTCGAATGACGATTTTCACGCTTCCTCAAAACTACTGTGCCGTTGGAACAAACACTGAGTTGAAAAAAACAAGGAAAATGCAAGAGAACGAATCACATTTGCGGAATATAGATCAACAACCACATTTTGGAAGATTACGCCAGGTAAAACAATGTTTCACAAACTCACCGATAAATCATTGATGGAATCGGACTTACTAATGAACGAGAGTCCGAGGTTTGTAACCTACGATCTAGGGGTCGTGTATATTCGCTTGTACTCCGATTCTAAAGTCGTCTGTCTCGGAAAGTAATTCGCCCTGTAACATTGCGTCGATTTTCTCTGATACAAATGAAGCATCAATATGCAGACGATTGAAAGTTCAATTGGCCTAATTGGTATGAATGAAGTGAGCTCGGCACAGGAAAAGGCTTGCTGAATGTGAATATTCGTTGAATGGCTGGATTGAGCTCGGCGCAGGAAAAGGCTTGCTGGATGGCTGAGCCAAGTAGGTCTCGTCTGGGAAATTTGCAAATATTGAGTTGTCTGAGACTTTGTACTCCCCACGCCAATCCGCGGGATATCCTGTAGTACTAACACCAAAATTCATTATTTCTCCTGTCCCGGTTTCAATTTTTTATGAAAGCCTCACGTCATAGTAGACCTGGATGCTGCAAAACTGTTCGTGGATTACTGCCTTTCTCGCTTGCGGTTAGTCTTTGATGAGGCTCCGAAGATACTTGGGGGAAGCCTGAGACAATATCATATTCTCCTATCTACAAAGCAATCATTGCAGGATTCGGAACTTCATCATCTCAATGTTTCTTGAAGGACTGGAATGCATAACTTTGATCTACAGTTCGACTGCCGAGCTAGTTACCTAGGCACATTAAGGTCAGTATATCTGAAGATTGTGAACTTGTTCTAAAGCAGTTGGCCATAGCAATTCCGAAAAATAGTTGATTATGCAAACAATATTAACTCACTTCTGTTAATCAATATATCATCTATTGACTCAAAAATCGGACTTCTTAGATATAATCTCCGGAATAAGTGATACTTAATACATCTCGTCAGCCTTTGCCCTCCTCTCTTTTGACTTTCAGAATCAGACACTTCATTTTCAACTATTCGTATTGTGGCTGTGATATAAATTCGCTACACTATCTTACAGATCTCGACCCTCTAAGTCATTAAGCCCAAACATATTCTGCAACTCGTACGACTACCGGTTTTAAGAATGCAAGACCCAAAGAAAACCCAGCCTATTTATACAACATCTAATGGTCGACCAATGACAAAGCCCGAGGGCTCTCAGCGTGCTGGCAGTCATCTTTTACTTCAAGATTTTCATCTCATAGACCTACTATCTCATTTTAATCGAGAACGTATACCAGAGAGGGTTGTTCATGCGAAGGGAGCGGGAGCATTTGGAGAATTCGAGGTAATGACCTTTCAAAAAACTCATGATATCAGGGCTAAATTACTTTCAGGTTACACATGACATATCCGATATCTGTTCGATTGATATGCTCCTGGGCATTGGCAAGAAAACAAAATGTTTAACTCGCTTCTCTACCAGTGCAGGTGAACGAGGAGCAGCCGACAGTCAACGCGATCCTCGCGGTTTCTCCGTCAAAATGTACACGGAGGAGGGAAATTGGGATTGGGTTTACAACAGCGTTCCCTTTTTCTTTATACGCGACCCCATCAAATTTCCCGCTATGATCCACGCTGTCAAACGCGACCCTCGCACCAATCTCCCCAACCCTAATTCCTTCTGGGACTGGGTAACCAGCAATCAAGAATCTCTCCATATGATCATGTGGCTCTTCAGCGAATACGGCACCTTCACCTCCTATAGACACATGAACGGCTACCAAGCCAATGTTCACAAATGGACCATGCCAGACGGGTCCTTCAAATACGTTCACATGTATCTTCAAGCCGATCTGGGCTATAAATTCCACACCGACGACGAGATCCCTCATCTTGCTGGTACAGATCCAGATCACGCAACTCGTGATCTATCCGAAGCGATCGATGCCGGTAATTTCCCAACATACACAGCCTACGTACAAGTCCTCGACCCCGCCGACGCCCCAAACATCGGCTACAACATCTTTGACATGACCAAACATTGGGACATGGGAACCTACCCCAAAGATCTCGGGCACATCGGAGCCATCCCCTTTGGAAAGATGACTCTCAACCGCAACCCCGACAACTATTTCGCAGAAATCGAACAAGCTGCTTTTTCGCCCAGTCATCTTGTTCCGGGTATTGAACCCAGTGCCGATCCCATGTTACAGGCGCGCATGTTTGCATATCCCGACACGCAACGCTACAGACTGGGTGTGAATTACCAACAAATCCCCGTCAATAGGCCTCTTCATGCATTTAACCCTCTTCTGCGCGATGGAGCGGCCAATTGCGATAATTATGGTTCGTACCCGGGGTATCCGACGGATAGTAAACCGATGCATTATACGCCTACGTATGCTGATCCGGCTCATGAGGAATGGGTGGGCCGCATGACGAGCGATCCATTTTTGGAGGTGACGGATGTAGACTATAAATTTGCGCGGACATTCTGGGAACATTTGGCGTGGGAGGATCAGTTTAAGGGGTGGCAGGAGAAGTTGCCGGGGAATGTGGCGGCAAATTTGAGTGGAGCGGGGAAGGAGGTTAGGGAGAGGGCTTATAAGATGTTTGGAAAATTGACAAAGGAATTGGAGGAGAAGATTAGAGAGGCGACGGAAAAACTTGTTGTGGAGAAGGCAAAGGAGAATGGGATGGAGCAGGTGGAGCAGGTGGAGAAGATGGAAAATGGTGTCGGGGGTGAGAAACCGAATTTGTTGTTTACGAATGGGAGTGTAAATGGAAATGGAAATGGAATTGCGACTAATGGTAATGGGAGTGTGTATGGAAATGGCAATGGGAGTGCTACTAATGGGATCCTGAATGGAAATGGAAATGGAAATGGCACCAAAAGCCATAACCACAACCACAACCACGAAAACACCTTCCTCATCACCACGAACGGCGATGCTTTATCTCCTGCAACCAATGGCAATGGTGTCGTCCATGACAAGTTCGCCAATGGCAATGGTAGTGGTAATGGCATTGGCAATGGTAACGGCAACGTAAATGGCTCCAGCGATGTCGCTGCCATTGACATTGACGCGAAGAAAGTGGTGGGTACTTTGGTTGCTATTTAGATTTCTTTTTCTTTTTCTTTATTTCAACCAGCCAGCGGGGGGGGAAAGAAAATGTAATAGGGTCTTAGGTTTCTGATATGATTCGTATATTCTTGCTTACCTTTTAATTCGGTTCGATTGGTTAGATGGGTTAGATGGATGGATTAGATAAGACAGGAGAAGTCAAGACAAGACAAAATCTATTTATTTTTATCTTTTTTTTTTTT